GTCTAGAGGAACACCAACTTCAGCAAGGCAATTCGAGGAATGCTCCGTGTACCCCAAATCGTCTCGAGATGAGAGCTGATTCCCAGGCTTAGGATCAATACGTATGCCAACTTTCCAGAAGCACCTCAAGAGGAGGCTTCTCTCAGCAAAAGGTATGTGGGAGGGACCCCGAGTTTGCTGCCTCAAGTGGAATATACAGCGAGAAGCCCTAACTTGAAAGGAGGCCGGATTTCCTTGCAGTGGCTTGAATACAGGCTCGTCTTTGATCTCACAACATGGAGGGATGTCTGAATCCCCTGTGGAGACCTTAGAGAAAGCCTTAGGTCCCTGCCTCATTTTGACGGCATGCCTCACATCCCGCTGACACCTCGAGAGGCACGCGGAGTTGATTGCTTCAAAAGGTAACGATGCCTGACTCCTCTTGAATACTGATAGGAATGCCAAAATCACTGTGGCTACTGGAAAGTGTCCTTGGGTGCCTTGACTCACCTCGAGAAGAGTCCCTTTTGCCCTGCCAAGCCTCGAAGTGATTCCTGAGGTGTCCCTCGTTACTAGACAGGAGTCCTGACGTCACTGAAGAAACTCGTGTTTTGAAGGGCCATCCCCGCCGTAAGTCGAGAATATACCCCAGGTCCCCGCCACAACTCGAGAAAAACCAGGAGACTTCCCCCTAGCGGCGAGATGAGGCCCCATTCCCCTGCAGTGCATGCAGAGCTATTGCCTGATCCCATTCAAACAAGTCAGGAGCTTCGACTTGCTTAATGGATCTCGAGACAGTCCCCAAGAACACTGTCACCAGTCCAGACGGACCCTGAGGTCACCCCAGCAACACAAAGCAGCTCCAGGTGCCCCAAATCAACTCGAGATGAGGCCCGATTCCCCTGCATTGACTCCAGAGCCATTCCTCGTTCCCCATTCTACACGACCGGTGGCTCGACTTCCTTCAGGCAACTCCAGAGATGCCCCTAGAACACTGTCCCATGTCTAGAGGAACACCAACTTCAGCACAGCAACTCGGGGAATGCTCCGTGTACACCAAATCGTCTCGAGATGAGAGCTGATTCCCAGGCTTAGGATCAATACGTATGCCAACTTTCCAGAAGCACCTCAAGAGGAGGCTTCTCTCAGCAAAAGGTATGTGGGAGGGACCCCGAGTTTGCTGCCTCAAGTGGAATATACAGCGAGAAGCCCTAACTTGAAAGGAGGCCGGATTTCCTTGCAGTGGCTTGAATACAGGCTCGTCTTTGATCTCACAACATGGAGGGATGTCTGAATCCCCTGTGGAGACATTAGAGAAAGACCTAGGTCCCTGCCTCATTTTGACGGAATGCCTCACATCCCGCTGACACCTCGAGAGGCAAGCAGAATTTACTGCTTCAAAAGGTGAGGATGCCTGACTCCTCTTGAATACTGATAGGAATCCCAAAATCCCTGTGGCTACTGGAAAGGATCCTTGGGTGCCCTGCCTCACCTCGACAAGTGTCCCATTTGCCCTGCCAAGACTCGAAGAGATTCCTGAGGTGTCCCTCGTTACTAGACAGGAGTCCTGACGTCACAGAAGAAACTCGTGTTTTGAAGGGTCATCCCTGCCATAAGTCGAGAACATACCCCAGGTCCTCGCCGCAACTCGAGAAAAACCATGAGACTTCCCCCTAGAAGCGAGATGAGGCCCCAATCCCCTGCAGTGTATGCAGAGCTATTCCGTGATCCCATTCAAACAAGTCAGGAGCTTCGACTTGCTTAATGGATCTCGAGACAGTCCCCAAGAACACTGTCACCAGTCTAGACGGACCCTGAGGTGACCCCAGCAAAGCAAAGCAGCTCCATGTGCCCCAAATCAACTCGAGATGAGGCCCGATTCCCCTCCATTGATTCCAGAGCCATTCCCCGTTCCCCATTCAACACGACCGGTGTCTCAACTTCCTTCAGGCAATCCAGAGATGCCCCGAGAACACTGTCCCAAGTCTAGAGGAACACCAACTTCAGCACAGCAACTCGAGGAATGCTCCGTGTACCCCAAACCGTCTCGAGATGAGAGCTGATTCCCTTGCTTAGGCTCAAGACGTATGCAAACTTTCCAGAAGCAACTCAGGAGGAGGTTTCTCTCAGCAACAGTTATGTGGGAGGGACCCCGAGTTTGCTGCCTCAATGGGAATATACAGCCAGAAGCCCTAACTTGAAAGGAGGCCAGATTTCCTTGCAGTGGCTTGAATACAGGCTCGTCTTTGATCTCACAATATGCAGGGATGTCTGAATCCCCTGTGGAGACCTTAGAGAATGCCCTAGGTCCCTGTCTCATTTTGACGGAATGCCTCACATCCCCCTGACACCTCGAGAGGCATGCGGACTACATCGCTTCAAAAGGTGACGATGCCTGACTCCTCTTGAATACTGATAGGAATCCCAAAATCCCTGTGGCTACTGGAAAGTGTCCTTGGATGCCCTGCCTCACCTCGAGAAGGGTCCCTTTTGCCCTGCCAAGCCTCGAAGAGATTCGTGAGGTGTCCCTCGTTACTAGCGAGGAGTCCTGACGTCACTGAAGAAACTCGTGTTTTGAAGGGCCATCCCCGCCGTAAGTCGAGAACATACCCCAGGTCCCTGCCGCAACTCGAGAAAAACCATGAGACTTCCCCCTAGAGGCGAGGTGAGGCCCCATTCCCATACAGTGCATGCAGAGCTATTCCGTGATCCCATTCAAACAAGTCAGGAGCTTCGACTTGCTTAATGTATCTCGAGACAGTCGCCAAGAACACTGTCACCAGTCTAGACGGACCCTGAGGTCACCCAAGCAACGCAAAGCAGCTACATGTGCCCCAAATCAACTCGAGATGAGGCCCGATTCCCCTGAATTGACTCCAGAGCCATTCCCCGTTTCCCATTCAACACGACCGGTGGCTCGACTTCCTTCAGGCATCTCCAGAGATGCCCCGAGAACACTGTCCCAAGTCTAGAGGAACACAAACTTCAGGACAGCAACTCGAGGAATGCTCCGTGTACACCAAAGCGTCTCGAGATGAGAGCTGATTCCCGGGCTTAGGCTCAATACGTATGCCAACTTCCCAGAAGCACATAAAGAGGAGGCTTCTCTCAGCAAAAGGTATGTTAGAGGGACCCCGAGTTTGCTGCCTCAAGGGGAATATACAGCGAGAAGCCCTAACTTGAAAGGAGGCCAGATTTCCTTGCAGTGGCTTGAATAAAGGCTCGTCTTTGATCTCACAACATGGAGGGATGTCTGATTCCCCTGTGGAGACCTTAGAGAAAGCCCTAGGTCCCTGCCTCTTTTTGACGGAATGCCTCACATCCCGCTGACACCTCGAGAGGCACGTGGAGTACATCGCTTCAAAAGGTGACGATGCCTGACTCCTCTTGAATACTGATAGGAATCCCAAAATCCCTGTGGCTACTGGAAAGGGTCCTTGGGTGCCCGTCCTCACCTCGAGAAGCGTCCCTTTTGCCCTGCCAAGCCTCGAAGAGATTACTGAGGTGTCCCTCGTTACTAGACAGGAGTCCTGACGTCACTGAAGAAACTCGTGTTTTGAAGTGCCATCCCCGCCGTAAGTCGAGAACATACCCCAGGTCCCCGCCGCAACTCGAGAAAAACCATGAGACTTCCCCCTAGAAGCGAGATGAGGCCCCAATCCCCTGCAGTGCATGCAGAGCTATTCCGTGATCCCATCAAAAAAGTCAGGAGCTTCGTCTTGTTTAATGGATCTCGAGACAGTCCCCAAGAACAGTGTCACCAGTCTAGACGGACCCTTAGGTCACCCTAGCAATGCAAAGCAGCACCATGTGCCGCAAATCAACTCGAGATGAGGCCCGATTCCCCTGCATTGACTCCAGAGCCATTCCCCATTCCCCATTCAACACGACCGGTGGCTCGACTTCCTTCAGGCAACTAGAGAGATGCCCCGAGAACACTGTCCCAAGTCTAGAGGAACACCTACTTCAGCACAGCAACTCGAGGAATGCTCCGTGTACCCCAAATCGTCTCGAGATGAGAGCTGATTCCCTTGCTTAGGCTCAAGACGTATGCAAACTTTCCAGAAGCAACTCAGGAAGAGGTTTCTCTCAGCAACAGTTATGTGGGAGGGACCCCGAGGTTGCTGCCTCAAGGGGAATATACAGCGAGAAGCCCTAACTTGAAAGGAGGCCGGATTTCCTTGCAGTGGCTTGAATACAGGCTCGTCTTTCATCTCACAACAAGAAGGGTTGTCTGAATCCCCTGTGGAGAACTTAGAGAAAGCCCTAGGTCCCTGCTTCATTTTGACGGAATGCCTCACATCCCGCTGACACCTCGAGAGGCACGCGGAGTTCATTGCTTCAAAAGGTGACGATGCCTGACTCCTCTTGCATACTGATAGGAATGCCAAAATCACTGTGGCTACTGGAAAGGGTCCTTGGCTGCCCTGCCTCACTTCGAGAAGCGCCCCTTTTGCCCTGCCAAGCCTCGAAGAGATTCCTGAGGTGTCCCTCGTTACTAGACAGGAGTCCTGACGTCACTGAAGAAACTCGTGTTTTGAAGGGCCATCCCCGCCGTAAGTCGAGAACATACCCCAGGTCCCAGCCGCAACTCGAGAAAAAGCATGAGACTTCCCCCTAGAGGCGAGGTGAGGCCCTATTCCCATACAGTGCATGCAGAGCTATTCTGTGATCCCATTCAAAAAAGTCAGGAGCTTCGACTTGCTTAATGTACCTCGAGAGAGTCGCCAAGAACACTGTCACCAGTCTAGACGGACCCTGAGGTCACCCCAGCAATGCAAAGCAGCTCCATGTGCCCCAAATATCTCGAGATGAGACCAGATTCCCCTGCATTGACTCCAGAGCCATTCCTCGTTTCCTCATTCAACACGACCGGTGGCTCGACTTCCTTCAGGCAACTCCAGAGATACCCCTAGAACACTGTCCCAAGTCTAGAGGAACACCAACTTCAGCACAGCAACTCGAGGAATGCTCCGTGTACCCCAAAACGTCTCGAGATGACAGCTGATTCCCTGGCTTAGGCTCAAGACGTATGCCAACTTCCCAGAACCACCTCAGGAGGAGGCTTCTCTCAGCAATAGGTATGTGGGAGGGACCCCGAGTTTGCTGCCTCAAGGGGAATATACAGCGAGAAGCCCTAACTTGAAAGGAGGCCGGATTTCCTTGCAGTGGCTTGAATACAGGCTCGTGTTTCATCTCACAACATGAAGGGATGTCTGAATCCCCTCTGGAGACCTTAGAGAAAGCCCTAGGTCCCTGCCTCATTTTGACGGAATGCCTCACATCCTGCTAACATCTCGAGAGGCACGCAGAGTTCATTGCTTCAAAAGGTGACGATGCCTGACTCCTCTTGAATACTGATAGGAATCCCAAAATCCCTGTGGCTACTGGAAAGGGTCCTTGTGTGCCCTGCCTCACCTCGAGAAGCGGCCCTTTTGCCCTGCCAAGCCTCGAAGAGATTCCTGAGGTGTCCCTCGTTACTAGACAGGAGTCCTGACGTCACTGAAGAAACTCGTGTTTTGAAGGGCCATCCCCGCCGTAAGTCGAGAACATTCCCCAGGTCCCCGCCGCAACTCGAGAAAAACCATGAGACTTCCCCCTAGAGGCGAGATGAGGCTCCATTCCCCTGCAGAGCATGCAGAGCTATTCCGAGATCCCATTCAAACAAGTCAGGAGCTTCGACTTGCTTAATGGATCTCGAGACAGTCCCGAAGAACACTGTCACCAGTCTAGACGGACCCTGAGGTCACCCCAGCAACGCAAAGCAGCTCCATGTGCCCCAAATCAACTCGAGATGAGGCCCGATTCCCCTGCATTGACTCCAGAGCCATTCCCCGTTCCCCATTCAACACGACCGGTGGCTCGACTTCCTTCAGGCAACTCCAGAGATGCCCCGAAAACACTGTCCCAGGTCTAGAGGAAGACCCACTTCAGCACAGCAACTCGAGGAATGCTCCGTGTACCCCAAATCATCTCGAGATGAGAGCTGATTCCCTGGCTTAGTCCCAAGACGTATGCCAACTTTCCAGAAGCACCTCAGGAGGAGGCTTCTCTCAGGAATAGGTATGTGGGAGGGACCCTGAGTTTGCTGCCTCAAGGGGAATATACAGCGAGAAGCCATAACTTGAAAGGAGGCCGGATTTCCTTGCAGTGGCTTGAATACAGGCTCGTGTTTCATCTCACAACATGAAGGGATGACTGAATCCCCTGTGGAGACCTTAGAGAAAGCCCTAGGTCCCTGCCTCATTTTGACGGACTGCCTCACATCCACCTGACACCTCGAGAGGCCCACGGAGTTCATTGTTTCAAAAGGTGACGATACCTGACTCTTTTTGAATACTGATAGGCATCCGAAAAACCCTGTGGCTACTGGAAAGGGACCTTGGGTGCCCTGCCTCACATGTAGAAGCGTCCCTTTTGCCCTGCCAAGCCTCGAAGAGATTCCTGAGGTGTCCCTCGTTACTAGACAGGAGTCCTAACGTCACTGAAGAAACTCGTGTTTTGAAGGGCCATCCCAGCCGTAAGTCGAGAACATACCCCAGGTCCCCGCCGCAACTCGAGAAAACCATGAGACTTCCCCCTAGAGGCGAGATGAGGACCCATTCCCCTGCAGTGCAGGCAGAGCTATTCCGTGATCCCATGCAAACAAGTCAGGAGCTTCGACTTGCTTAATGGATCTCGAGACAGTCCCCAAGAACACTGTCAGCAGTCTAGACGGACCCTGAGGTCACCCCAGCAACGCAAAGCAGCTCCATGTGCCCCAAATCAACTCGAGATGAGGCCCGATTCCCCTGCATTGACTTCAGAGCCATTCCCCATTCCCCATTCAACACGACCGGTGGCTCGACTTCCTTCAGGCAACTCCAGAGATGCCCCGAGAACACTGTCCCAAGTCTAGAGGAACACCCACTTCAGCACAGCAACTCGAGTAATGCTCCGTGTACCCCAAATCATCTCGAGATGAGAGCTGATTCCCTGGCTTAAGCTCAAGTCGTATTCCAACTTTCCAGAAGAATCTCAGGAGGAGGCTTCTCTCAGTAATAGGTATGTGGGAGGGACCCCGAATTTGCTGCCTCAATGGGAATATACAGCGCAAAGCCCTAACTTGAAAGGAGGCCGGATTTCCTTGCAGTGGCTAGAATACAGGCTCGTCTTTGATCTCAAAACCTGAAGGGTTGTCTGAATCCCCTGTGGAGACCTTAGAGAAAGCCCTAGGTCCCTGCCTCATTTTGACGGAATTCCTCAAATCCCGTTGACACCTCGAGAGGCACGCGGAGTTCATTGCTTCAAAAGGTTACGATGCCTGACTCCTCTTGAATACTGATAGGAATCCCAAAATGCCTGTGGCTACTGGAAAGGGTCCTTGGGTGCCCTGCCTCACCTCGAGAAGCGTCCCTTTTGCCCTGCCAAGCCTCGAAGAGATTCCTGAGGTGTCCCTCGTTACTAGACAGGAGTCCTGACGTCACTGAAGAAACTCGTGTTTTGAAGGGCCATCCCCGCCGTAAGTCGAGAACATACCCCAGGTCCCCGCCGCAACTCGAGAAAAACCATGAGACTTCCCCCTAGAGGCGAGATGAGGCCCCATTCCCCTGCAGTGTATGCAGAGCTATTCCGTGATCCCAATCAAACAAGTCAGGAGCTTCGACTTGCTTAATGGATCCCGAGACAGTCCCCAAGAACACTGTCACCAGTCTAGACGGACCCTGCGGTCACCCCAGCAACGCAAAGCAGTTCCATGTGCCCCAAATCAACTCGAGATGAGGCCGATTCCCCTGCATTGACTCCAGAGCCATTCCCGGTTCCCCATTCAACACGACCGGTGGCTCGACTTCCTTCAGGCCACTCCAGAGATACCCCGAGAACACTGTCCCAAGTCTAGAGGAACACCAACTTCAGCACAGCAACACGAGGAATGCTCCGTGTACTCCAAATCGTCTCGAGATGAGAGCTGATTCCCTGGCTTAGGCTCAAGACGTATGCCAACTTTCCAGAAGCACCCCAGGAGGAGGCTCCTCTCAGCAATAGGTATGTGTGAGGGCCCCCGAGTTGCTGCCTCAAGGGGAATATACATCAAGAAGCCCTAACTTGAAAGGAAGCCGGATTTCCTTGCAGTGGCTTGAATACAGGCTCATGTTTCATCTCACAACATGGAGGGATGTCTGAATCCCCTGTGTAGACCTTAGAGAAAGCCCTAGGTCCCTGCCGCATTTTGACGGAATGCCTCACATCCCGTTGACACCTCGAGAGGCACGCAGAGTTCATTGCTTCAAAAGGTGACGATGCCTGACTCCTCTGGAATACTGATAGGAATCCCAAAATCCCTGTGGCAACTGGAATGGGTCCTTGGGTGCCCTGCCTCACCTCGAGAAGCGTCCCTTTTGCACTGCCAAGCCTCAAAGAGATTCCTGAGGTGTCCCTCGTTACTAGACAGGAGTCCTGACGTCACTGAAGAAACTCGTGTTTTGAAGGGCCATCCCCGCCGTAAGTCGAGAACATACCCCAGGTCCCCGCCGCAACTCGAGAAAAACCATGAGACTTCCCCCTAGAGGCGAGATGAGGCCCCATTCCCCTGCAGTGCATGCAGAGCTATTCCGTGATCCCAATCAAACAAATCAGGAGCTTCGACTTGCTTAATGGATCTCGAGAACGTCCCCAAGAACACTGTCACCAGTCTAGACGGACCCTGAGGTCACCCCAGCAACGCAAAGCAGCTCCATGTGCCCCAAATCAACTCGAGATGAGGCCGATTCCCCTGCATTGACTCCAGAGCCATTCCCCGTTCCCCATTCAACAAGACCGGTGGCTCGACGTCCTTCAGGCAACTCCAGAGATGCCCCGAGAACACTCTCCCAAGTCTAGAGGAACACCAACTTCAGCACAGCAACTCGAGGAATGCTCTGTGTACACCTAATCGTCTCGAGATGAGAGCTGATTCCCTGGCTTAGGCTCAAGACGTATGCCAACTTTCCAGAAGCACCTCAGGAGGACGCTTCTCTCAGCAATTGGTACGTGGGAGGGACCCCGAGTTTGCTGCCTCAAGGGGAATATACAGCGAGAAGACCTAACTTGAAAGGAGGCCGGATTTCCTTGCAGTGGCTTGAATACAGGCTCGTCTTTCATCTCACAACATGAAGGGATGAATGAATTCCCTGTGGAGACCTTAGAGAAAGCCCTAGGTTCCTGCCTCATTTTGACGGAATGCCTCACATCCCGCTGACACCTCGAGAGGCATGCGGAGTTCATTGCTTCAAAAGGTGACGATGCCTGATTCCACTTGAATACTGATAGGAATACCAAAATCCCTGTGGCTACTGGAAAGGGTCCTTGGGTGCCCTGCCTCACCTCGAGAAGCGTCCCTTTTGCCCTTCCAAGCCTCGAACAGATTCCTGAGGTGCTCCACGTTACTAGACAGGAGTCCTAATGTCACTGAGGAAACTCGTGTTTTGAAGAGCCATCCCCGCCGTAAGTCGAGAACATACCCCAGGTCCCCGCCGCAACTCGAGAAAAACCATGAGACTTCCCCCTAGAGGCGAGATGAGGCCCCATTCCCCTGCAGTGCATGCAGAGCTATTCAGTGATCCCATTCAAACGAGTAGGTAGCTTCGACTTGCTTAATGGATCTCAAGACAGTCCCCAAGAACACTGTCACCAGTCTAGACGGACCCTGAGGTCACCCCAGCAACGCAAAGCAGCTCCATGTGCCCCAAATCAACTCGAGATGAGGCCCGATTCCCCTGCATTGACTCCAGAGCCATTCCCCGTTCCCCATTCACAACGATCTGTAGCTCGACTTCCTTCAGGCAACTCCAGAGATGCCCCAAGAACACTCTCCCAAGTATAGAGGAACACCAACTTCAGAACAGCAACTCGAGGAATGCTCCGTGTTCCCCAAATCGTCTCGAGATGAGAGCGGATTCCCTGGCTTAGGCTCAAGACGTATGCCAACTTTCCAGAAGCACCTCAGGAGGAGGCTTCTCTCAGCAATAGGTATGTGGGAGGGACCCCGAGTTTGCTGCCTCAAGGGGAATATACAGCGAGAAGCCCTAACTTGAAAGGAGGCCAGATTTCCTTGCAGTGCCTTGAATACAGGCTCGTCTTTGATCTCAAAACATGGAGGGATGTCTGAATCCCCTGTGGAGACCTTAGAGAAAGCCCTAGGTCCCTGCCTCATTTTGACGGAATGCCTCACATCCCGCTGACACATCCAGAGGCACACGGAGTTCATTGCTTCAAAAGGTGACGATGCCTGACTCCTCTTATATACTGGTAGGAATGCCAAAATCCCTGTGGCTACGGGAAAGGGTCCGTGGGTGCCCTGCCTCACATCGAGAAGCGTCCCTTTTGCCCTGCCAAGCCTCGAAGAGATTCCTGAGGTGTCCCTCGTTACTAGGCAGGATTCCTGACGTCACTGAAGAAACTCGTGTTTTGAAGGGCCATCCCCGCCGTAAGTCGAGGACATACCCTAGGTCCCCGCCGCAACTCCAGAAAAACCATGAGACTTCCCCCTAGAGGCGAGATGAGGCCCCATTCCCCTGTAGTGCATGCAGAGCTATTCCGTGATCCCATTCAAACAAGTCAGGAGCTTCGACTTGCTTAATGGATCTCGAGACAGTCCCCAAGAACACTGTCACCAGTCTAGACGGACCCTGACGTCACCCCAGCAACGCAAAGCAGCTCCATGTGCCCCAAATCAACTCGAGATGAGGCCCGATTCCCCTGCATTGACTCCAGACCCATTCCCCGTTCCTCATTCAACACGACCGGTGGCTCGACGTCCTTCAGGCAACTCCAGAGATGCCCCGAGAACACTGTCCCAAGTCTAGAGGAACACCAACTTCAGCACAGCAACTCGAGGAATGCTCCGTGTACCCCAAATCTTCTCAAGATGAGAGCTGATTCCCTGGCTTAGGCTCAAGACATATGCCAACTTTCCAGCAGCACCTCAGGGGGAGGCTTCTCTCAGCAATAGTTATGTGGGAGGGACCCCGAGTTTGCTGCCTCAAGGGGAATATACAGCGAGAAGCCCTAACTTGAAAGGAGGCCGGATTTCCTTGCAGTGGCTTGAATACAGGCTCGTCTTTCATCTCACAACATGAAGGGTTGTCTGAAACCCCTGTGGAGACCTTAGAGAAAGACCTAGATCCCTGCCTCATTTTGACGGAATGCCTCACATCCCGCTGACACCTCGAGAGGCACGCGGAGTTCATTGCTTCAAAAGGTGACGATGCCTGACTCCTCTTGAATACTGATAGGAATCCCAAAATCCCTGTGGCTACTGGAAAGGGTCCTTGGGAGCCCTGCCTCACCTCGAGAAGCGTCCCTTTTGCCCTGCCAAGCCTCGAAGAGATTCCTGAGGTGTTCCTCGTTACTAGACAGGAGTCCTTACGTCACTGAGGAAACTCGTGTTTTGAAGAGCCATCCCCGCCGTAAGTCGAGAACATACCCCAGGTCCCCGCCGAACTCGTGAAAAACCATGAGACTTCCCCCTAGAGGCGAGATGAGGCCCCATTCCCCTGCAGTGCATGCAGAGCTATTCCGTGATCCCATTCAAACAAGTCAGGAGCTTCGACTTGCTTAATGGATCTCGAGACAGTCCCCAAGAACACTGTCACCAATCTAGACGGGCCCTGAGGTCACCCCAGCAAAGCAAAGCAGCTCCATGTGCCCCAAATCAACTCGAGATGAGTCCCGATTCCCCTGCATTGACTCCAGAGCCATTCTCCGATCCCCATTCAACACGACCGGTGGCTCGACTTCCTTCAGGCAAATCCAGAGATGCCCCTAGAACACTGTCCCAAGTCTAGAGGAACACCAACTTCAGCACAGCAACTCGAGGAATGCTCCGTGTACCCCAAATCGTCTCGAGATGAGAGCTGATTCCCTGGCTTAGGCTCAAGAGGTATGCCAACTTTCCAGAAGCACCTCAGGAGGAGGTTTCTCTCAGCAATAGGTATGTGGGAGGGACCCCGAGTTTGCTGCCTCAAGGGGATTATACAGCGAGAAGACTTAACTTGAAAGGAGGCCGGCTTTCCTTGCAGTGGCTTGAATACAGGCTCGTCTTTCATCTCACAACAAGAAGGGTTGTCTGAATACCCTGTGGAGACCTTAGAGAAAGCCCTAGGTCCCTGCCTCATTTTGATGGAATGCCGCACATCCCGCTGACACCTCGAGAGGCACATGGAGTTCATTGCTTCAAAAGGTGACGATGCCTGACTCCTCTTGAATACTGATAGGAATGCCAAAATCCCTGTTTCTACTGGAATGGGTCCTTGGGTGCCCTGCCTCACCTCGAGAAGCGTCCCTTTTGCCCTGCAAAGCCTCGAAGAGATTCCTGAGGTGTTCCTCTTTACTAGACAGGATTCCTGACGTCACTGAAGAAACTCGTGTTTTGAAGGTCCATCCCCGCCGTAACTCGAGAACATACCCCAGGTCTCCGCCGCAACTCGAGAAAAACCATGAGACTTCCCCCTAGAGGCGAGATGAGGCCCCATTCCCCTGTAGTGCATGCAGAGCTATTCCGTGATCCCATTCAAACAAGTCAGGAGCTTCAACTTGCTTAATGGATCTCGAGACAGTCCCCAAGGACACTGTCACCAGTTTAGACGGACCCTGATGTCACCCCAGCAACGCAAAGCAGCTCCATGTGCCCCAAATCAACTCGAGATGAGGCCCGATTCCCCTGCATTGACTCCAGAGCCATTCCCTGTTCCCCATTCAACACGACCGGTGGCTCGACTTCATTCAGGCAACTCCAGAGATGCCCCGAGAACACTGTCCTAAGTCTAGAGGAACACCAACTTCAGCACAGCAACTCGAGGAATGCTCCGTGTACCCCAAATCGTCTCGAGATGAGAGCTGATTCCCGGGCTTAGGCTCAAGACGTATGCCAACTTTCCAGAAGCACCTCAGGAGGAGGCTTCTCTCAGCAATAGCTATGTGGGTGGGACCCCGAGTTTGCTGCCTCAAGGGGAATATACAGCGAGAAGCCCTAACTTGAAAGGAGGCCTGATTTCCTTGCAGTGGCTTGAATACAGGCTCGTCTTTGATCTGAAAACATGGAGGGATGTCTGAATCCCCTGTGGAGACCTTAGAGAAAGCCCTAGGTCCCTGCCTCATTTTGAAGGAATGCCTCAGATCCCGCTGACACCTCGAGAGGCACGTGGAGTTCATTGCTTCAAAAGTTGACGATGCCTGACTCCTCTTGAATACTGATAGGAATGCCAAAATCCCTGTGGCTAGTGGAAAGGGTCTTGGGTGCCCTGCCTCACCTCGAGAAGCATCCCTTTTGCCCTGCCAAGCCTCGAAGAGATTCCTGAGGTGTCCCTCGTTACTAGACAGGATTCCTGACATCACTGAACAAACTCGTGTTTTGAAGGGCCATCCCCGCCGTAAGTCGAGGACATAACCTAGGTCCCCGCCGCAACTCGAGAAAAAACAGGAGACTTCCCCCTAGAGGCGAGATGAGGCCCCATTCCCCTGCAGTGCATGCAGAGCTCTTCCGTGATCCCACTCAAACAAGTCAGGAGCTTCGACTTGCTTAATGGATCTCGAGACAGTCCCCAAGATCACTGTCACCAGTCTAGTTGGACCCTGAGGTCAACCCAGCAACGCAAAGCAGCTCCATGTGCCCCAAGTCAACTCGAGATGAGGCCCGATTCCCCTGCATTGACTCCAGACCCATTCCCCGTTCCTCATTCAACACGACCGGTGGCTCGACTTCCTTCAGGCAACTCCAGAGATGCCCCGAGAACACTGTCCCAAGTCTAGAGGAAAACCAACTTCAGCACAGCAACTCGAGGAATGCTCGGTGTACCCCAAATCGTCTCGAGATGAGAGCTGATTCCCTGGCTTAGGCTCAAGACCTATGCCAACTTTCCAGAAGCACCTCAGGAGGACGCTTCTCTCAGCAATAGGTATGTGGGAGGGACCCCGAGTTTGCTGCCTCAAGGGGAATATACAGCGAGAAGCCCTAACTTGAAAGGAGGCCGTATTTCCTTGCAGTGGCTTGAATACAGGCTCGTCTTTCATCTCAAAACATGAAGGGATGTCTGAATCCCCTGTGGAGACCTTAGAGAAAGCCCTAGGTCCCTGCCTCATTTTGATGGAATGCCTCACATGCCGCTGACACCTCGAGAGGCACGCGGAGTTCATTGCTTCAAAAGGTGACGATGCCTGACTCTTCTTGAATACTGATAGGAATCCCAAAATCCCTGTGGCTACTGGAAAGGGTCCTTTGGTGCCCTGCCTCACCTCGAGAAGCGTCCCTTTTGCCCTGCCAAGCCTCGAAGAGATTCCTGAGGTATCCCTCGTTACTAGACAGGAGTCCGGACGTCACTGAAGAAACTCGTGTTTTGAAGGGCCATCCCCGCCATAAGTCGTGAACATACCCCAGGTCCCCGCCGCAACTCGAGAAAAACCATGAGACTTCCCCCTAGAGGCGAGATGAGGCCCCATTCCCCTGCAATGCATGCAGAGTTATTCCGTGATCCCACTCAAACAAGTGAGGAGCTTGGACTTGCTTAATGGATCTCGAGACAGTCCCCAAGAACATTGTCACCAGTCTAGACTGATCCTGAGGTCACCCCAGCAACGCAAGGCAGCTGGATGTGCCCCAAATCAACTCGAGATGAGGCCCGATTCCCCTGCATTGACTCCAGAGCCATTCCCCGTTCCCCATTCAACACGACCGGTGGATCGACTTCCTTCAGGCAACTTCAGAGATGCCCCGAGAACACTGTCCCAAGTCTAGAGGAAAACAAACTTCAGCACAGCAACTGGAGGAATGCTCCGTGTACCCCAAATCGTCTCGAAATGAGAGCTGATTCCCGGGCTTAGGCTCAAGAGGTATGCCAACTTTCCAGAAGCACTTCAGGAGGAGGCTTCTCTCAGCAATAGGTATGTGGGAAGGACCCCGAATTTGCTGCCTCAAGGGGAATATACAGCGAGAAGCCCTAACTTGAAAGGAGGCCAGATTTCCTTGCAGTGGCTTGAATACAGGCTCGTCTTTCATCTCACAACATGAAGGGTTGTCTGAAACCCCTGTGGAGGCCTGAGAGAAAGCCCTAGGTCCCTGCCTCATTTTGACGGAATGCCTCACATCCCGCATAGAGCTCGAGAGGCACGCGGAGTTCATTGCTTCAAAAGGTGACGATGCCTGACTCCTCTTGAATACTGTTAGGAATCCCAAAATCCCTGTGGCTACTGGAAAGGGTCCTTGGGTGCCCTACATCACTTCGAGGAGCGTCCCTTTTGCCCTGCCAAGCCTCGAAGAGAATCCTGAGGTGTCCCTCGTTACTAGACAGAAGTCCTGACGTCACTGAAGAAACTCGTGTTTTGAAGGGCCATCCCCGCCGTAAGTCGAGAACATACCCCAGGTCCCCGCCACAACTCGAGAAAAACCATGAGACTTCCCCCTAGAGGCGAGATGAGGCCCAGTCCCCTGCAGTGCATGCAGAGCTATTCCGTGATCCCATTCAAACAAGTCAGGAGCTTCGACTTGCTTAATGGATCTCGAGACAGTCCCCAAGAACACTGTCACCAGTCTAGACGGACCCTGAGGTCAACCCAGCAATGCAAAGCAGCTCCATGTGCCCCAAATCAACTCGAGATGAGGCCCGATTCCCCTGCATTGACTTCAGAGCCATTCCCCGTTCCCCATTCTACAAGACCGGTGACTCGACTTCCTTCAGGCAACTCCAGAGATGCCCCGAGAACACTGTCCCAAGTCTAGAGGAACACCAGCTTCAGCACAGCAACTCGAGGAATGCTCCGTGTACCCCAAATCGTCTCGAGGGGAGAGCTGATTCCCAGGCTTAGGCTCAAGACGTATGCCAACTTTGCAGAAGCACCTCAGGAGGGGGTTTCTCTCAGCAATAGGTATGTGGGAGGGACCCCAAGGTTGCTGCCTCAAGGGGAATATACAGCGAGAAGCCCTAACTTGAATGGAGGCCGGATTTCCTTGCAGTGTCTTGAATACAGGCTCGTCTTTAATCTCACAACATGAAGGGATGCCTGAATCCTCTGTGGAGACCTTAGAGAAAGCCCTAGGTCCCTGCCTCATTTTGACGGAATGCCTCACATCCCGCTGACACCTCGAGAAGCACGCGGAGTTCATTGCTTCAAAATGTGACGATGCCTGTCTCTTCTTGAATACTGATAGGAATCCCAAAATCCCTGTGGCTACTGGAAAGGGTCCTTGGGTGCCCTGCCTCACCTCCAGAAGCGTCCCTTTTGCCCTGCCAAGCCTCGAAGAGATTCCTGAGGTGTCCCTCGTCACTAGACAGGAGTCCTGACGTCACTGAAGAAACTCGTGTTTTGAAGGGCCATCCCCACCGTAATATGAGAACATAGCCCAGGTCCCCGCCGCAACTCGAGAAAAACCATGAGACTTCCCCCTAGAGGCGAGATGAGTCCCCATTCCACAGCAGTGCGTGCAGAGCTATTCCGTATTCCATTTCAAACAAGTCAGGAGCTTCGACTTGCTTAATGGATCTCGAGACAGTCCCCAAGAACACTGTCACCAGTCTAGACGGACCCTGAGGTCACCCCAGCAACGCAAAGCAGGTCCATGTGCCCCAAATCAACTCGAGATGAGGCCCGATTCCCATGCATTGACTCCAGAGCCATTCCCCGTTCCCCATTCAACACGACCGGTGGCTCGACTTCCTTCAGGCAACTCCAGAGATGCCCCGAGAACACTGTCCCAAGTCTAGAGGAACACCACCTTCAGCACAGCAACTCGAGGAATGCTACTGAACCCCAAATCGTCTCGAAATGAGAGCTGATTCCCTGGCTTAGGCTCAAGAGGTATGCCAACTTTCCAGAAGCACTTCAGGAGGAGGCTTCTCTCAGCAATAGGTATGTGGGAAGGACCCGAATTTGCTGCCTCAAGGGGAATATACAGCGAGAAGCCCTAACTTGAAAGGAGGCCAGATTTCCTTGCAGTGGCTTGAATACAGGCTCGTCTTTCATCTCACAACATGAAGGGTTGTCTGAAACCCCTGTGGAGGCCTGAGAGAAAGCCCTAGGTCCCTGCCTCATTTTGACGGAATGCCTCACATCCCGCATAGAGCTCGAGAGGCACGCGGAGTTCATTGCTTCAAAAGGTGACGATGCCTGACTCCTCTTGAATACTGTTAGGAATCCCAAAATCCCTGTGGCTACTGGAAAGGGTCCTTGGGTGCCCTACATCACTTCGAGGAGCGTCCCTTTTGCCCTGCCAAGCCTCGAAGAGATTCCTGAGGTGTCCCTCGTTACTAGACAGGAGTCCTGACGTCACTGAAGAAACTCGTGTTTTGAAGGGCCATCCCCGCCGTAAGTCGAGAACATACCCCAGGTCCCCGCCGCAACTCGAGAAAAACCATGAGACTTCCCCCTAGAGGCGAGATGAGGCCCCATTCCCCTGCAGTGCATGCAGAGCTATTCCGTGATCCCATTCAAACAAGTCAGGAGCTTCGACTTGCTTAATGGATCTCGAGACAGTCCCCAAGAACACTGTCACCAGTCTAGACGGACCCTGAGGTCAACCCAGCAATGCAAAGCAGCTCCATGTGCCCCAAATCAACTCGAGATGAGGCCCGATTCCCCTGCATTGACTTCAGAGCCATTCCCCGTTCCCCATTCTACAAGACCGGTGACTCGACTTCCTTCAGGCAACTCCAGAGATGCCCCGAGAACACTGTCCCAAGTCTAGAGGAACACCAGCTTCAGCACAGCAACTCGAGGAATGCTCCGTGTACCCCAAATCGTCTCGAGGGGAGAGCTGATTCCCAGGCTTAGGCTCAAGACGTATGCCAACTTTGCAGAAGCACCTCAGGAGGAGGTTTCTCTCAGCAATAGGTATGTGGGAGGGACCCCAAGGTTGCTGCCTCAAGGGGAATATACAGCGAGAAGCCCTAACTTGAATGGAGGCCGGATTTCCTTGCAGTGTCTTGAATACAGGCTCGTCTTTCATCTCACAACATGAAGGGATGCCTGAATCCTCTGTGGAGACCTTAGAGAAAGCCCTAGGTCCCTGCCTCATTTTGACGGAATGCCTCACATCCCGCTGACACCTCGAGAGGCACGCGGAGTTCATTGCTTCAAAATGTGACGATGCCTGTCTCTTCTTGAATACTGATAGGAATCCCAAAATCCCTGTGGCTACTGGAAAGGGTCCTTGGGTGCCCTGCCTCACCTCCAGAAGCGTCCCTTTTGCCCTGCCAAGCCTCGAAGAGATTCCTGAGGTGTCCCTCGTCACTAGACAGGAGTCCTGACGTCACTGAAGAAACTCGTGTTTTGAAGGGCCATCCCCGCCGTAATACGAGAACATAGCCCAGGTCCCCGCCGCAACTCGAGAAAAACCATGAGACTTCCCCCTAGAGGCGAGATGAGTCCCCATTCCACAGCAGTGCGTGCAGAGCTATTTCGTATTCCATTTCAAACAAGTCAGGAGCTTCGACTTGCTTAATGGATCTCGAGACAGTCCCCAAGAACACTGTCACCAGTCTAGACGGACCCTGAGGTCACCCCAGCAACGCAAAGCAGGTCCATGTGTCCCAAATCAACTCGAGATGAGGCCCGATATCCATGCATTGACTCCAGAGCCATTCCCCGTTCCCCATTCAACACGACCGGTGGCTCGACTTCCTTCAGGCAACTCCAGAGATGCCCCGAGAACACTGTCCCAAGACTAGAGGAACACCACCTTCAGCACAGCAACTCGAGGAATGCTCCGTGAACCCCAAATCGTCTCGAAATGAGAGCTGATTCCCTGGCTTAGGCTCAAGAGGTATGCCAACTTTCCAGAAGCACTTCAGGAGGAGGCTTCTCTCAGCAATAGGTATGTGGGAGGGACCCCGAGTTTGCTGCCTCAAGGGGAATATACAGCGAGAAGCCCTAACTTGAAAGGAGGCCAGAGTTCCTTGCAGTGGCTTGAATACAGGCTCGTCTTTCATCCCACAACATGAAGGGTTGTCTGAAACCCCTTTGGAGACCTTAGAGAAAGCCCTAGGTCCCTGCCTCATTTTGACGGAATGCCTCACATCCCGCTGACACCTCGAGAGGCACGCGGAGTTCATTGCTTCAAAAGGTGACGATGCCTGACTCCTCTTGAATACTGATAGGAATCCCAAAATCCCTGTGGCTAATGGAAAGGGTCCTTGGGTGCCCTGCCTCACCTCGAGAAGCGTCCCTTTTGCCCTGCCAAGCCTCGAAGAGATTCCTGAGGTGTCCCTCGTTACTAGACAGGAGTCCTGACGTCACTGAAGAAACTCGTGTTTTGAAGGGCCATCCCCGCCGTAAGTCGAGAACATACCCCAAGTCCCCGGCGCAACTCGAGAAAAACCATGAGACTTCTCCCTAGAGGCGAGATGAGGCCCCATTCCCCTACAGTGCATGCATAGCTATTCCGTGATCCCATTCAAACAAGTCAGGAGCTTCGACTTGCTTAATGGATCTCGTTACAGTCCCCAAGGACACTGTCACCAGTCTAGACGGACCCTGAGGTCACCCCAGCAACGCAAAGTAGCTCCATGTGCCCCAAATCAACTCGAGATGAGGCCCGATTCCCCTGCATTGACTCCAGAGCCATTCCCCGTTCCCCATTCTACACGACCGGTGACTCGACTTCCTTCAGGCAACTCCAGAGATGCCCCGAGAACACTGTCCCAAGTTAGAGGAACACCAGCTTCAGCACAGCAACTCAAGGAATGCTCGTGTACCCCAAATCGTCTCGAGGTGAGAGCTGATTCCCAGGCTTAGGCTCAAGACGTATGCCAACTTTGCAGAAGCACCTCAGGAGGAGGTTTCTCTCAGCAATAGGTATGTGGGAGGGACCCCGAGTTTGCTGCCTCAAGGGGAATATACAGCGAGAAGCCCTAACTTGAATGGAGGCCGGATTTCCTTGCAGTGGCTTGAATACAGGCTCGTCTTTCATCTCACAACATGAAGGGATGTCTGAATCCCCTGTGGAGACCTTAGAGAAAGCTCTAGGTCCCTGCCTAATTTTGACGGAATGCCTCACATCCTGCTGACACCTGAGAGGCACGCGGAGTTCATTGCTTCAAAATGTGACGATGCCTGACTCTTCTTGAATACTGATAGGAATCCCAAAATCCCTGTGGCTACTGGAAAGGGTCCTTGGGTGCCCTGCCTCACCTCGAGAAGCGTCCCTTTTGCCCTGCCAAGCCTCGAAGAGATTCCTGAGGTGTCCCTCGTCACTAGACAGGAGTCCTGACGTCACTGAAGAAACTCGTGTTTTGAAGGGCCATCCCGCCGTAATTCGAGAACATAGCCCAGGTCCCCACCGCAACTCGAGAAAAGCCATGAGACTTCCCCCTAGAGGCGAGATGAGGCCCCATTCCCCTACAGTGCATGCATAGCTATTTCGTGATCCCATTCAAACAAGTCAGGAGCTTCGACTTGCTTAATGGATCTCGTTACAGTCCCCAAGAACACTGTCACCAGTCTAGACGGACCCTGAGGTCACCGCAGCAACGCAAAGCAGGTCCATGTGCCCCAAATCAACTCGAGATGAGGCCCGATTCCCATGCATTGACTCCAGAGCCATTCCCCGTTCCCCATTCAACACGACCAGTGGCTCGACTTCCTTCAGGCAACTCCAGAGATGCCCCGAGAACACTGTCCCAAGTCTAGAGGAACACCACCTTCAGCACAGCAACTCGAGGAATGCTCCGTGAACCCCAAATCGTCTCGAAATGAGAGCTGATTCCCTGGCTTAGGCTCAAGAGGTATGCCAACTTTCCAGAAGCACTTCAGGAGGAGGCTTCTATCAGCAATAGGTATGTGGGAAGGACCCCGAATTTGCTGCCTCAAGGGGAATATGCAGCGAGAAGCCCTAACTTGAAAGGAGGCCAGATTTCCTTGCAGTGGCTTGAATACAGGCTCGTCTTTCATCTCACAACATGAAGGGTTGTCTGAAACCCCTGTGGAGGCCTGAGAGAAAGCCCTAGGTCCCTGCCTCATTTTGACGGAATGCCTCACATCCCGCATAGAGCTCGAGAGGCACGCGGAGTTCATTGCTTCAAAAGGTGACGATGCCTGACTCCTCTTGAATACTGTTAGGAATCCCAAAATCCCTGTGGCTACTGGAAAGGGTCCTTGGGTGCCCTACATCACTTCGAGGAGCGTCCCTTTTGCCCTGCCAAGCCTCGAAGAGATTCCTGAGGTGTCCCTCGTTACTAGACAGGAGTCCTGACGTCACTGAAGAAACTCGTGTTTTGAAGGGCCATCCCCGCCGTAAGTCGAGAACATACCCCAGGTCCCCGCCGCAACTCGAGAAAAACCATGAGACTTCCCCCTAGAGGCGAGATGAGGCCCCATTCCCCTGCAGTGCATGCAGAGCTATTCCGTGATCCCATTCAAACAAGTCAGGAGCTTCGACTTGCTTAATGGATCTCGAGACAGTCCCCAAGAACACTGTCACCAGTCTAGACGGACCCTGAGGTCAACCCAGCAATGCAAAGCAGCTCCATGTGCCCCAAATCAACTCGAGATGAGGCCCGATTCCCCTGCATTGACTTCAGAGCCATTCCCCGTTCCCCATTCTACAAGACCGGTGACTCGACTTCCTTCAGGCAACTCCAGAGATGCCCCGAGAACACTGTCCCAAGTCTAGAGGAACACCAGCTTCAGCACAGCAACTCGAGGAATGCTCCGTGTACCCCAAATCGTCTCGAGGGGAGAGCTGATTCCCAGGCTTAGGCTCAAGACGTATGCCAACTTTGCAGAAGCACCTCAGGAGGAGGTTTCTCTCAGCAATAGGTATGTGGGAGGGACCCCAAGGTTGCTGCCTCAAGGGGAATATACAGCGAGAAGCCCTAACTTGAATGGAGGCCGGATTTCCTTGCAGTGTCTTGAATACAGGCTCGTCTTTCATCTCACAACATGAAGGGATGCCTGAATCCTCTGTGGATACCTTAGAGAAAGCCCTAGGTCCCTGCCTCATTTTGACGGAATGCCTCACATCCCGCTGACACCTCGAGAGGCACGCGGAGTTCATTGCTTCAAAATGTGACGATGCCTGTCTCTTCTTGAATACTGATAGGAATCCCAAAATCCCTGTGGCTACTGGAAAGGGTCCTTGGGTGCCCTGCCTCACCTCCAGAAGCATCCCTTTTGCCCTGCCAAGCCTCGAAGAGATTCCTGAGGTGTCCCTCGTCACTAGACAGGAGTCCTGACGTCACTGAAGAAACTCGTGTTTTGAAGTGCCATCCCCGCCGTAATACGAGAACATAGCCCAGGTCCCCGCCGCAACTCGAGAAAAACCATGAGATTTCCCCCTAGAGGAGAGATGAGTCCCCATTCCACAGCAGTGCGTGCAGAGCTATTTCGTATTCCATTTCAAACAAGTCAGGAGCTTCGACTTGCTTAATGGATCTCGAGACAGTCCCCAAGAACACTGTCACCAGTCTAGACGGACCCTGAGGTCACCCCAGCAACGCAAAGCAGGTCCATGTGCCCCAAATCAACTCGAGATGAGGCCCGATTCCCATGCATTGACTCCAGAGCCATTCCCCGTTCCCCATTCAACACGACCGGTGGCTCGACTTCCTTCAGGCAACTCCAGAGATGCCCCGAGAACACTGTCCCAAGTCTAGAGGAACACCACCTTCAGCACAGCAACTCGAGGAATGCTCCGTGAACCCCAAATCGTCTCGAAATGAGAGCTGATTCCCTGGCTTAGGCTCAAGAGGTATGCCAACTTTCCAGAAGCACTTCAGGAGGATGCTTCTCTCAGCAATAGGTATGTGGGAGTGACCGAGAGTTTGCTGCCTCAAGGGGAATATACAGCGAGAAGCCCTAACTTGAAAGGAGGCCAGACTTCCTTGCAGTGGCTTGAATACAGGCTCGTCTTTCATCCCACAACATGAAGGGTTGTCTGAAACCCCTGTGGAGACCTTAGAGAAAGCCCTAGGTCCCTGCCTCATTTTGACGGAATGCCTCACATCCCGCTGACACCTCGAGAGGCACGCGGAGTTCATTGCTTCAAAAGGTGACGATGCCTGACTCCTCTTGAATACTGATAGGAATCCCAAAATCCCTGTGGCTAATGGAAAGGGTCCTTGGGTGCCCTGCCTCACCTCGAGAAGCGTCCCTTTTGCCCTGCCAAGCCTCGAAGAGATTCCTGAGGTGTCCCTCGTTACTAGACAGGAGTCCTGACGTCACTGAAGAAACTCGTGTTTTGAAGGGCCATCCCCGCCGTAAGTCGAGAACATACCCCAAGTCCCCGGCGCAACTCGAGAAAAACCATGAGACTTCTCCCTAGAGGCGAGATGAGGCCCCATTCCCCTACAGTGCATGCATAGCTATTCCGTGATCCCATTCAAACAAGTCAGGAGCTTCGACTTTCTTAATGGATCTCGTTACAGTCCCCAAGGACACTGTCACCAGTCTAGACGGACCCTGAGGTCACCCCAGCAACGCAAAGTAGCTCCATGTGCCCCAAATCAACTCGAGATGAGGCCCGATTCCCCTGCATTGACTCCAGAGCCATTCCCCGTTCCCCATTCTACACGACCGGTGACTCGACTTCCTTCAGGCAACTCCAGAGATGCCCCGAGAACACTGTCCCAAGTTAGAGGAACACCAGCTTCAGCACAGCAACTCGAGGAATGCTCGTGTACCCCAAATCGTCTCGAGGTGAGAGCTGATTCCCAGGCTTAGGCTCAAGACGTATGCCAACTTTGCAGAAGCACCTCAGGAGGAGGTTTCTCTCAGCAATAGGTATGTGGGAGGGACCCCGAGTTTGCTGCCTCAAGGGGAATATACAGCGAGAAGCCCTAACTTGAATGGAGGCCGGATTTCCTTGCAGTGGCTTGAATACAGGCTCGTCTTTCATCTCACAACATGAAGGGATGTCTGAATCCCCTGTGGAGACCTTAGAGAAAGCTCTAGGTCCCTGCCTCATTTTGACGGAATGCCTCACATCCTGCTGACACCTCGAGAGGCACGCGGAGTTCATTGCTTCAAAAGGTGACGATGCCTGACTCTTCTTGAATACTGATAGGAATCCCAAAATCCCTGTGGCTACTGGAAAGGGTCCTTGGGTGCCCTGCCTCACCTCGAGAAGCGTCCCTTTTGCCCTGCCAAGCCTCGAAGAGATTCCTGAGGTGTCCCTCGTCACTAGACAGGAGTCCTGACGTCACTGAAGAAACTCGTGTTTTGAAGGGCCATCCCGCCGTAATTCGAGAACATAGCCCAGGTCCCCGCCGCAACTCGAGAAAAACCATGAGACTTCCCCCTAGAGGCGAGATGAGGCCCCATTCCCCTGCAGTGCGTGCAGAGCTATTCCGTATTCCAATTCAAACAAGTCAGGAGCTTCGACTTGCTTAATGGATCTCGAGACAGTCCCCAAGAACACTGTCACCAGTCTAGACGGACCCTGATGTCACCCCAGGAACGCAAAGCAGGTCCATGTGCCCCAAATCAACTCGAGATGAGGCCCGATTCCCCTGCATTGACTCCAGAGCCATTCCCCGTTTCCCATTCAACACGACCAGTGGCTCGACTTCCTTCAGGCAACTCCAGAGATGCCCCGAGAACACTGTCCCAAGTCTAGAGGAACACCAACTTCAGCACAGCAACTGGGGAATGCTCCGTGTACCCCAAATCGTCTCGAGATGAGAGCTGATTCCCTGGCTTAGGCTCAAGACGTATGCCAACTTTCCAGAAGCACTTCAGGAGGAGGCTTCTATCAGCAATAGCTATGTGGGAAGGACCCCGAGTTTGCTGCCTCAAGGGGAATATACAGCGAGAAGTCCTAACTTGAAAGGAGGCCGGATTTCCTTGCAGTGTCTGGAATACAGGCTCGTCTTTCATCTCACTACATGAAGGGATGTCTGAATCCCCTGTGGAGACCTTAGAGAAAGCCCTAGGTCCCTGCCTCATTTTGACGGAATGCCTCACATCCCGCTGACACCTCGAGAGGCACGCAGAGTTCATTGCTTCAAAAGGTGACGATGCCTGACTCCTCTTGAATACTGATAGGAATCCCAAAATCCATGTGGCTAATGGAAAGGGTCCTTGGGTGCCCTGCCTCACCTCGAGAAGCGTCCCTTTTGCCCTGCCAAGCCTCGAAGAGATTTCTGAGGTGTCCCTCGTTACTAGACAGGAGTCCTGACGTCACTGAAGGAACTCGTGTTTTGAAGGACCATCCCCGCCGAAAGTCGAGAACATACACCAAGTCCCCTCCGCAACTCGAGAAAAACCATGAGACTTCCCCCTAGAGGCGAGATGAGGCCCCATTCCCCTAAAGTGCATGCAGAGCTATTCCGTGATCCCATTCAAACAAGTCAGGAGCTTCGACTTGCTTAATGGATCTCGAGACAGTCCCCAAGAACACTGTCACCAGTCTAGACGGACCCTGAGGTCACCGAAGCAACGCAAAGCAGCTCCATGTGCCCCTAATCAACTCGAGATGAGGCCCGATTCCCCTGCATTGACTCCAGAGCCATTCCCCGTTCCCCATTCAACACGACCGGTGGCTCGACTTCGTTCAGGCAACCCCAGAGATGCCCCGAGAACACTCTCCCAAGTCTAGAGGAACACCAACTTCAGCACAGCAAATCGAGGAATGCTCCGTGTACCCCAAATCGTCTCGAAATGAGAGCTGATTCCCGGGCTTAGGCTCAAGAGGTATGCCAACTTTCCAGAAGCACTTCAGGAGGAGGCTTCTCTCAGCAATAGGTATGTGGGAGGGACCCCGAGTTTGCTGCCTCAAGGGGAATATACAGAGAGAAGCCCTAACTTGAAAGGAGGCCAGATTTCCTTGCAGTGGCTTGAATACAGGCTCGTCTTTCATGTCACAACATGAAGGGTTGTCTGAAACCCCTGTGGAGGCCTTAGAGAAAGCCCTAGGTCCCTGCCTCATTTTGACGGAATTCCTCACATCCCGCTGACACCTCGAGAGGCACGCGGAGTTCATTGCTTCAAAAGGTGACGATACCTGACTCCTCTTGAATACTGATAGGAATCCCAAAATCACTGTGGCTACTGGAAAGGGTCCTTGGGTGCCCTGCCTCACATCGAGAAGCGTCCCTATTGGCCCTGCCAAGCCTCGAAGAGATTCCTGAGGTGTCCCTCGTTACTAGACAGGAGTCCTGACGTCACGGAAGAAACTCATGTTTGGAAGGGCCATCCCCGCCGTAAGTCGAGAACATACCCCAGGTCCCCGCCGCAACTCAAGAAAAACAATGAGACTTCCACCTAGAGGCGAGATGAGGCCCCATTCCCCTCCAGTGCATGCAGAGATATTCAGTGATCCCATTCAAACAAGTCAGGAGCTTCGACTTGCTTAATGGATCTCGAGACAGTCCCCAAGAACACTGTCACCAGTCTAGACGGACCCTGAGGTCACCCAAGCAACGTAAAGCAGCTCCATGTGCCCCAAATCAACTCGAGATGAGGCCCGATTACCCTGCATAGAATCCAGAGCCATTCCCCGTTCCCCATTCAACACGACTGGTGGCTCGACTTCCTTCAGGCAACTCCAGAGATGCCCCGAGAACACTGTCCCAAGTCTAGAGGAACACCAACTTCAGCACAACAACTCGAGGAATGCTCCGTGTACCGCAAATCGTCTCGAGATGAGAGCTGATTCCCTGGCTTAGGCTCAAGACGTATGCCAACTTTCCAGAAGCACCTCAGGAGGAGGTTTCTCTCAGCAACAGTTATGTGGGAGGGACCCCGAGTTTGCTGCCTCAAGGGGAATATACAGCGAGAAGCCCTAACTTGAAAGGAGGCCGGATTTCCTTGCAGTGTCTTGAATACAGGCTCGTCTTTCATCTCACAACATGAAGGGATGCCTGAATCCTCTGTGGATACCTTAGAGAAAGCCCTAGGTCCCTGCCTCATTTTCACGGAATTCCTCACATCCCGCTGACACCTGGAAAGGCACGCGGAGTTCACTGCTTCAAAAGGTGATGATGCCTGACTCCTCTTGAATACTGATAGGAATCGCAAAATCCCTGTGGCTACTGGAAAGGGTCCTTGGGTGCCCTGCCTCACCTCGAGGAGCGTCCCTTTTGCCCTGCCAAGCCTCGAAGAGATTCCTGAGGTGTTCCTCGTTACTAGACAGGAGTCCTGACGTCACTGAGGAAACTCGTGTTTTGAAGAGCCTTCCCCGCCGTAAGTCGAGAACTTACCCCAGGTCCCCGCCGCAACTCGAGAAAAACCATGAGACTTCCCACTAGAGGCGAGATGAGGCCCCATTCCCCTGCAGTGCATGCAGAGCTATTCCGTGATCCCATTCAAACAAGTCAGGAGCTTCGACTTGCTTAATGGATCTCGAGACAGTCCCCAAGAACACTGTCACCAGTCTAGACGGACCCTGAGGTCACCCCAGCAACGCAAAGCAGCTCCATGTGCCCCAAATCACTCGAGATGAGGCCCGATTCCCCTGCATTGACTCCAGAGCCATTCCTCATTCCCCGTTCAACACGACCGGTGGCTCAACTCCCTTCAGGCAACTCCAGAGATGCCCCTAGAACACTGTCCCAAGTCTAGAGGAACACCAACTTCAGCACAGCAACTCGAGGAATGTTCCGTGTACACCAAATCGTCTCGAGATGAGAGCTGATTCCCTGGCTTAGGATCAATACGTATGCCAACTTTCCAGAAGCACCTCAAGAGGAGGCTTCTCTCAGCAAAAGGTATGTGGGAGGGACCCCGAGTTTGCTGCCTCAAGGGGAATATACAGCGAGAAGCCCTAACTTGAAAGTAGGCCGGATTTCCTTGCAGTGGCTTGAATACAGGCTCGTCTTTGATCTCAAAACATGGAGGGATGTCTGAATCCCCTGTGGAGACCTTAGAGAAAGCCCTAGGTCCCTGCCTCATTTTGACGGAATGCCTCACATCCCGCTGACACCTCGAGAGGCACGCAGAGTTCATTGCTTCAAAAGGTGACGATGCCTGACTACTCTTGAATACTGATAGGAAACCTAAAATCCCTGTGGCTACTGGAAAGGGTCCTTGGGTGCCCTGCCTCACCTCGAGAAGCGTCCCTTTTGCCCTGCCAAGCCTCGAAGAGATTCCTGAGGTGTCCCTCGTTATTAGACAGGAGTCCTGACGTCACTGAAGAAACTCGTGTTTTGAAGGGCCATCCCCGTCGAAAGTCGAGAACATACCCCAGGTCCCCGCCGCAACTCGAGAAAAACCATGAGACTTCCCCCTAGAGGCGAGATGAGGCCCCATTCACCTGCAGTGCATGCTGAGCTATTCCGTGATCCCATTCTAACAAGTCAGGAGCTTCGACTTGCTTAATGGATCTCGAGACAGTCCCCAAGAACACTGTCACCAGTCTAGACGGACCCTGAGATCAACCCAGCAAGGCAAAGCAGCTCCATGTGCCCCAAATCAAATCGAGATGAGGCCCGATTCCCCTGCATTGACTGCAGAGCCATTCCCCGTTCCCCATTCAACACGACCGGTGGCTCGACTTCCTTCAGGCAACTCCAGAGATGCCCCGAGAACACTCTCCCAAGGCTAGAGGAACACCAACTTCAGCAGAGCAACTCAAGTAATGCTCCGTGTACCCCAAATCGTCTCGAGATGAGAGCTGATTGCCTTGCTTAGGCTCAAGACGTATGCCAACTTTCCAGAAGCACCTCAGGAGGAGGTTTCTCTCAGCAATAGGTATGTGGGGGGACCCCGAGTTTGCTGCCTCAAGGGGAATATACAGCGAGAAGCCCTAACTTCAAAGGAGGCCGGATTTCCCTGCAGTGGCTTGAATACAGGCTCGTCTTTCATCTCACAACATGAAGGGATGTCTGAATCCCCTGTGGAGACCTTAGAGAAAGACCTAGCTCCCTGCCTCTTTTTGACGGAATGCCTGACATCCCGCTGACACCTCGAGAGGCATTCGGAGTTCATTGCTTCAAAAGGTGAAGATGCCTGACTCCTCTTGAATACTGATAGGAATCCCAAAATCCCTGTGGCTACTGGAAAGGATCCTTGGGTGCCCTTCCTCACCTCGAGAAGCATCCCTTTTGCCCTGCCAAGCCTCGAAGAGATAACTGAGGTGTCCCTCGTCACTAGACAGGAGTCCTGACGTCACTGAAGAAACTCGTGTTTTGAATTGCCATCCCCGCCGTAAGTCGAGAACATACCCCAGGTCCCCTCCGCAACTCGAGAAAAACCATGAGACTTCCCCCTAGAGGCGAGATGAGGCCCCATTCCACTGCAGTCCATGCAGAGCTATTCCGTGATCCCATTCAAACAAGTCAGGAGCTTCGACTTGCTTAATGGATCTCGAGACAGTCCCCAAGAACCCTGTCACCAGTCTAGACGGACCCTGAGATCAACCCAGCAAGGCAAAGCAGTTCCATGTGACCCAAATCAACACGAGATGAGGCCCGATTCCCCTGCATTGACTCCAGAGCCATTCCCCGTTCCCCATTCAACAGGACCGGTGGCTCGACTTCCTTCAGGCAACTCCAGAGATGCCCCGAGAACACTGTCCCAAGTCGAGAGGAACACCAACTTCAGCACAGCAACTCGAGGAATGCTCCGTGTACCCCAAATCGTCTCGAGATGAGAGCTGATTCCCTGGCTTAGGCTCAAGAGGTATGCCAAATTTCCAGAAGCACCTCAGGAGGAGGCTTCTCTCAGCAAAAGGTATGAGGGAGGGACCCCGAGTTTGCTGCCTCAAAGGGAATATACAGCGAGAAGCCCTAACTTGAAAGGAGGCCAGATTTCCTTGCAGTGGCTTGAATACAGGCTCGTCTTTCATCTCACAAAAAGAAGGGTTTTCTGAATCCCCTGTGGAGACCTTAGGGAAAGCCCTAGGTCCCTGCCTCATTTTGACGGAATGCCTCACATCCAGCTGACATCTCGAGAGGCACGCGGAGTTCATTGCTTCAAAAGGTGACGATGCCTGACTCCTCTTGAATACTGATAGGAATCCCAAAATCCCTGTGGCTACTGGAAAGGGTCCTTGGGTGCCCTGCCTCACCTCGAAAAGCGTCCCTTTTGCCCTGCCAAGCCTCGAAGAGATTCCTGAGGTGATCCTCTTTACTAGACAGAAGTCCTGACGTCACTGAGGAAACTCGTGTTTTGAAGGGCCATCCCCGGCGTAAGTCGAGAACATATCCCAGGTCCCCACCGCAACTCGAGAAAAACTATGAGACTTCTCCCTAGAGGCGAGATGATGCCACATTCCCCTGCAGTGCATGCAGAGCTATTCGTGAACCCATTCAAACAAGTCAGGAGCTTCGACTTGCTTAATGGATCTCGAGACAGTCCCCAAGAACACTGTCACCAGTCTAGACGGACCCTGAAGTCAACCCAGCAACGCAAAGCAGCTCCATGTGCCCCAAATCAACTCGAGATGAGGCCCGATTCCCCTGCATTGACTCCAGAGCCATTCCCCGTTCCCCATTCAACACGACCGGTGGCTCGACTTCCTTCAGGCAACTCCAGGGATGCCCCGAGAACACTCTCCCAAGTCTAGAGGAACACCAACTTCAGCACAGCAACTCGAGGAATGCTCCGTGTACCCCAAATCGTCTCGAGATGAGAGCTGATTCCCTGGCTTAGGCTCAATACGTATGCCAACTTTCCAGAAGCACCTCAGGAGGAGGCTTCTCTCAGCAACAGGTATGTGGGAGGGACCCCGAGTTTGCTGCCTGAAGGGGAATATACAGCGAGAAGCCCTAACTTGAAAGGAGGCCAGATTTCCTTGCAGTGGCTTGAATACAGGATCGGCTTTGATCTCAAAACATGGAGGGATGTCTGAATCCCCTGTGGAGACTTTAGAGAAAGCCGTAGGTCCCTGCCTCATTTTGACGTAATGCCTCACATCCCGCTGACACCTCGAGAGGCATGCGGAGTTCATTGCTTCAAAAGGTGACGATGCCTGACTCCTCTTGAATACTGATAGGAATGCCAAAATCACTGTGGCTACTGGAAAGGTTCCTTGGGTACCCTGCCTCACCTAGAGAAGCGTCCCTTTTGCCCTGCCAAGCCTCGAAGAGATTCCTGAGGTGTCCCTCGTTACTAGACAGGAGTCCTGACGTCACGGAAGAAACTCGTGTTTTGAAGGGCCATCCCCGCCGTAAGTCGAGAACGTACCCCAGGTCCCCGCCGCAACTCGAGAAAAACAATGAGACTTCCCCCTAGAGGCGAGATGAGGCCCCATTCCCCTGCAGTACATGCAGAGCTTTTCTGTGATCCCATTCAAACAAGTCAGGAGCTTCGACTTGCTTAATGGATCTCGAGACAGTCCCCAAGAACACTGTCACCAGTCTAGACGGACCCTGAGGTCACCCAAGCAACGTAAAGCAGCTCCATGTGCCTCAAATCAACTCGAGATGAGGCCCGATTCCCCTGCATTGACTCCAGAGGCATTCCCCGTTCCCCATTCAACACGACCGGTGGCTCGACTTCCTTCAGGCAACTCCAGAGATGCCCCGAGAACACTGTCCCAAGTCTAGAGGAACACAAACTTCAGTACAGCAACTCGAGGAATGCTCCGTGTACACCAAATCGTCTCGAGATGAGAGCTGATTCCCGGGTTTAGGCTCAATACGTATGCCAACTTTCCAGAAGCACCTCAAGAGGAGGCTTCTCTCAGCAAAATGTATGTGGGAGGGACCCCGAGTTTGCTGCCTCAAGGGGAATATACAGCGTGAAGCCCTAACTTGAAAGGAGGACAGATTTCCTTGCAGTGGCTTGAATACAGGCTCGTCTTTGATCTCACAACATGGAGGGATGTCTGAATCCCCTGTGGAGACCTTAGAGAAAGCCCTAGGTCCTGCCTCATTTTGACGGAATGCCTCACATCCCGCTGACACCTCGAAAGGCACGCGGAGTACATCGCTTCCAAAGTTGACGATGCCTGACTCCTCTTGAATACTGATAGGAAACCTAAAATCCCTGTGGCTACTGGAAAGGGTCCTTGGGTGCCCTGCCTCACCTCGAGAAGCGTCCCTTTTGCCCTGACAAGCCTCGAAGAGATTCCTGAGGTGTCCCTCGTTATTAGACAGGAGTCCTGACGTCACTGAAGAAACTCGTGTTTTGAAGGGCCATCCCCGCCGAAAGTCGAGAACATACCCCAGGTCCCCGCCGCAACTCGAGAAAAACCATGAGACTTCCCCCTAGAGGCGAGATGAGGCCCCATTCAGCTGCAGTGCATGCAGAGCTATTCCGTGATCCCATTCAAACAAGTCAGGAGCTTCGACTTGCTTAATGGATCTCGAGACAGTCCCCAAGAACCCTGTCACCAGTCTAGACGGACCCTGAGATCAACCCAGCAAGGCAAAGCAGATCCATGTGCCCCAAATCAACTCGAGATGAGGCCCGATTCCCCTGCATTGACCCCAGGGCCTTTCCCCGTTCCCCATTCAACAGGACCGGTGGCTCGACTTCCTTCAGGCAACTCCAGAGATGCCCCGAGAACACTGTCCCAAGTCGAGAGGAACACGAACTTCAGCACAGCAACTCGAGGAATGCTCCGTGTACCCCAAATCGTCTCGAGATGAGAGCTGATTCCCTGGCTTAGGCTCAAGAGGTATGCCAAATTTCCAGAAGCACCTCAGGAGGAGGCTTCTCTCAGCAATAGGTATGAGGGAGGGACCCCGAGTTTGCTGCCTCTAGGGGAATATACAGCGAGAAGCCCTAACTTGAAAGGAGGCCGGATTTCCTTGCAGTGGCTTGAATACAGGCTCGTCTTTCATCTCACAACAAGAAGGGTTTTCTGAATCCCCTGTGGAGACCTTAGGGAAAGCCCTAGGTCCCTGCCTCATTTTGACGGAATGCCTCACATCCCGCTGACACCTCGAGAGGTACGAGGAGTTCATTGCTTCAAAAGGTGACGATGCCTGACTCCTCTTGAATACTGATAGGAATCCCAAAATCCCTGTGGCTACTGGAAAGGGTCATTGGGTGCCCTGCCTCACCTCGAGAAGCGTCCCTTTTGCCCTTTCAAGCCTCGAAGAGATTCCTGAGGTGTCCCTCGTTACTAGACAGGAGTCCTGACGTCACTGAAGAAACTCGTGTTTTGAAGGGCCATCCCCGCTGTAAGTCGAGAACATACCCCAGTTCCCCGTGGCAACTCGAGAAAAACCATGAGACTTCCCCCTAGAGGCGAGTTGAGGCCCCATTCCACTACAGTGCATGCAGAGCTATTCCGTGACCCCGTTCAAACAGGTCAGGAGCTTCTACTTGTTTAATGGATCTCGAGACAGTCCCCAAGAACAGTGTCACCAGTCTAGACGGACCCTGAGGTCACCCGAGCAACGTAAAGCAGCACCATGCGCCCCAAATCAACTCGAGATGAGGCCCGATTCCCCTGCATTGACTCCAGAGCCATTCCCCGTTCCCCATTCAAGACGACCGGTGGCTAGACTTTCTTCAGGCCACTCCAGAGATGCCCCGAGAACACTGTCCCAAGTCGAGAGGAACACCAACTTCAGCACAGCAACTCGAGGAATGCTCCGTGTACCCCAAATCGTCTCGAGATGAGAGCTAATTCCCTGGTTAGGCTCAAGACGTATGCCAACTTTCCAGAAGCATCTCAGGAGGACGCTTCTCTCAGCAATAGGTATGTGGGAGGGACACCGAGTTTGCTGCCTCAAGGGGAATATACAGCGAGAAGACATAACTTGAAAGGAGGCCGGATTTCCTTGCAGTGGCTTGATTACAGGCTCGTCTTTCATCTCACAACATGAAGGGATGAATGAATTCCCTGTGGAGACCTTAGAGAAAGCCCTACGTCCCTGCCTCATTTTGACGGAATGCCTCACATCCAGCTGACACCTCGAGAGGCACGCGGAGTTCATTGCTTCAAAAGGTGACGATGCCTGACTCCTCTTGAATACTGATAGGAATGCAAAAATCCCTGTGGCTACTGGAAAGGGTATTTGGGTGCCCTGCCTCACCTCGAGAAGCGTCCCTTTTGCCCTGCCAAGCCTCGAAGAGATTCCTGAGGTGATCCTCGTTACTAGACAGAAGTTCTGACGTCACTGAGGAAACTCGTGTTTTGAAGGGCCATCCCCGGCGTAAGTCGAGAACATATACCAGGTCCCCGCCGCAACTCGAGAAAAACCATGAGACTTCCCCCTAGAGGCGAGATGATGCCACATTCCCCTGCAGTGCATGCAGAGCTATTCGTGAACCCATTCAAACAAGTCAGGAGCTTCGACTTGCTTAATGGATCTCGAGACAGTCCCCAAGAACACTGTCACCAGTCTAGACGGACCCTGAGGTCACCCCAGCAATGCAAAGCAGCTCCATGTGCCCCAAATCAACTCGAGATGAGGCCCGATTCCCCTGCATTGACTCCAGAGCCATTCCCCGTTCCCCATTCAACACGACCGGTTGCTCGACTTCCTTGAGGCAACTCCAGGGATGCCCCGAGAACACTGCCCCAAGTCTAGAGGAACACCAACTTCAGCACAGCAACTCGAGGAATGCTCCGTGTACCCCAAATCGTCTCGAGATGAGAGCTGATTCCCTGGCTTAGGCTCAAGACGTATGCCAACTTTCCAGAAGCACCTCAGGAGGAGGCTTCTCTCAGCAATAGGTATGTGGGAGGGACCCCGAGTTTGCTGCCTGAAGGGGAATATACAGCGAGAAGCCCTAACTTGAAAGGAGGCCGGATTTCCTTGCAGTGGCTTGAATACAGGCACGTCTTTAATCTCACAACATGAAGGGATGTCTGAACCCCTGTGGAGACCTTAGAGAAAGCCTTAGGTCCCTGCCTCATTTTGACGGCATGCCTCACATCCCGCTGACACATCGAGAGGCACGCGGAGTTGATTGCTTCAAAAGGTGACGATGCCTGACTCCTCTTGAATACTGATAGGAATCCGAAAATCCCTGTGGCTACTGGAAAGTGTCCTTGGATGCCCTGCCTCACCTCGAGAAGCGTCCCTTTTGCCCTGCCAAGCCTCGAAGAGATTCCTGAGGTGTCCCTCGTTACTAGATAGGAGTCCTGACGTCACTGAAGAAACTCGTGTTTTGAAGGGCCATCCCCGCCGTAAGTCGAGAACATACCCCAGGTCCCTGCCGCAACTCGAGAAAAACCATGAGACTTCCCCCTAGAGGCGAGGTGAGGCCCCATTCCCATACAGTGCATGCAGAGCTATTCCGTGATCCCATTCAAACAAGTCAGGAGCTTCGACTTGCTTAATGTATCTCGAGACAGACGCCAAGAACACTTTCACCAGTCTAGACGGACCCTGAGGTCACCCCAGCAACGCAAAGCAGCTCCATGTGCCCCAAATCAACTCGAGATGAGGCCCGATTCCCCTGCATTGACTCCAGAGCCATTCCCCGTTCCCCATTCAACACGACCGGTGGCTCGACTTCCTTCAGGCAACTCCAGAGATGCCCCGAGAACACTGTCCCAAGTCTAGAGGAACACAAACTTCAGTACAGCAACTCGAGGAATGCTCCGTGTACACCAAAGCGTCTCGAGATGAGAGCTGATTCCCTGGCTTAGGCTCAATACGTATGCCAACTTTCCAGAAGCACCTAAAGAGGAGGCTTCTCTCAGCAAAAGGTATGTTAGAGGGACCCCGAGTTTGCTGCCTCAAGGGGAATATACAGCGAGAAGCCCTAACTTGAAAGGAGGCCGGATTTCCTTGCAGTGGCTTGAATAAAGGCTCGTCTTTGATCTCACAACATGGAGGGATGTCTGAATCCCCTGTGGAGACCTTAGAGAAAGCCCTAGGTCCCTGCGTCATTTTGACGGAATGCCTCACAACCCGCTGACACCTCGAGAGGCAAGCAGAATTTACTGCTTCAAAAGGTGAGGATGCCTGACTCCTCTTGAATACTGATAGGAATCCCAAAATCACTGTGGCTACTGGAAAGGGTCCTTGGGTGCCCTGCCTCACCTCGGCAAGTGTCCCATTTGCCCTGCCAAGACTCGAAGAGATTCCTGAGGTGTCCCTCGTTACTAGACAGGAGTCCTGACATCACAGAAGAAACTCGTGTTTTGAAGGGCCACCCCGCCGTAATTCGAGAACATACCCCAGGTCCTCGCCGCAACTCGAGAAAAACCATGAGACTTCCCCCTAGAAGCGAGATGAGGCCCCAATCCCCTGCAGTGCATGCAGAGCTATTCCGTGATCCCATTCAAACAAGTCAGGAGCTTCGACTTGCTTAATGGATCTCGAGACAGTCCCCAAGAACACTGTCACCAGTCTAGACGGACCCTGAGGTGACCCCAGCAAAGCAAAGCAGATCCATGTGCCCCAAATCAACTCGAGATGAGGCCCGATTACCCTCCATTGATTCCAGAGCCATTCCCCGTTCCCCATTCAACACGACCGGTGTCTCAACTTCCTTCAGGCAACTCCAGAGATGCCCCGAGAATACTGTCCCAAGTCTAGAGGAAAACCAACTTCAGCACAGCAACTCGAGGAATGCTCCGTGTACCCCAAATCGTCTCGAGATGAGAGCTGATTCCCTTGCTTAGGTTCAAGACGTATGCAAACTTTCCAGAAGCAACTCAGCAGGAGGTTTCTCTCAGCAACAGTTATGTGGGAGGGACACCGAGTTTGCTGCCTCAATGGGAATATACAGCCAGAAGCCCTAACTTGAAAGGAGGCCAGATTTCCTTGCAGTGGCTTGAATACAGGCTCGTCTTTGATCTCAAAATATGGAGGGATGTCTGAATCCCCTGTGGAGACCTTAGAGAAAGCCCTAGGTCCCTGTCTCATTTTGACGGAATGCCTCACATCGCCCTGACACCTCGAGAGGCACGCGGAGTACATCGCTTCAAAAGGTGACGATGCCTGACTCCTCTTGAATACTGATAGGAATCCCAAAATCCCTGTGGCTACTGGAAAGTGTCCTTGGATGCCCTTCCTCACCTCGAGAAGCGTCCCTTTTGCCCTGCCAAGCCTCGAAGAGATTCCTGAGGTGTCCCTCGTTACTAGATAGGAGTCCTGACGTCACTGAAGAAACTCGTGTTTTGAAGGGCCATCCCCGCCGTAAGTCGAGAACATACCCCAGGTCCCTGCCGCAACTCGAGAAAAACCATGAGACTTCCCCCTAGAGGCGAGGTGAGGCCCCATTCCCATACAGTGCATGCAGAGCTATTCCGTGATCCCATTCAAACAAGTCAGGAGCTTCGACTTGCTTAATGTATCTCGAGACAGACGCCAAGAACACTTTCACCAGTCTAGACGGACCCTGAGGTCACCCAAGCAACGCAAAGCAGCTCCATGTGCCCCAAATCAACTCGAGATGAGGCCCGATTCCCCTGCATTGACTCCAGAGCCATTCCCCGTTCCCCATTCAACACGACCGGTGGCTCGACTTCCTTCAGGCAACTCCAGAGATGCCCCGAGAACACTGTCCCAAGTCTAGAGGAACACAAACTTCAGTACAGCAACTCGAGGAATGCTCCGTGTACACCAAAGCGTCTCGAGATGAGAGCTGATTCCCGGGCTTAGGCTCAATACGTATGCCAACTTTCCAGAAGCACCTAAAGAGGAGGCTTCTCTCAGCAAAAGGTATGTTAGAGGGACCCCGAGTTTGCTGCCTCAAGGGGAATATACAGCGAGAAGCCCTAACTTGAAAGGAGGCCAGATTTCCTTGCAGTGGCTTGAATACAGGCTCGTCTTTCATCTCACAACAAGAAGGGTTGTCTGAATCCCCTGTGGAGACCTTAGAGAAAGCCCTAGGTCCCTGCTTCATTTTGACGGAATGCCTCACATCCCGCTGACACTTCGAGAGGCACGCGGAGTTAATTGCTTCAAAAGGTAACGATGCCTGACTCCTCTTGAATACTGATAGGAATGCCAAAATCACTGTGGCTACTGGAAAGGGTCCTTGGGTGTCCTTCCTCACTTCGAGAATCGTCCCTTTTGCCCTGCCAAGCCTCGAAGAGATTCCTGAGGTGTCCCTCGTTACTAGACAGGAGTCCTGACGTCACTGAAGAAACTCGTGTTTTGAAGGGCCATCCCCGCCTTAAGTCGAGAACATACCCCAGGTCCAAGCCGCAACTCGAGAAAAACCATGAGACTTCCCCCTAGAGGCGAGGTGAGGCCCCATTCCCATACAGTGCATGCAGAGCTATTCCGTGATCCCATTCAAACAAGTCAGGAGCTTCGACTTGCTTAATGTACCTCGAGAGAGTCGCCAAGAACACTGTCACCAGTCTAGACGGACCCTGAGGTCACCCCAGCAACGCAAAGCAGCTCCATGTGCCCCAAATCAACTCGAGATGAGGCCCGATTCCCCTGCATTGACTCCAGAGCCATTCCCCATTCCCCATTCAACACGACCGGTGGCTCGACTTCCTTCAGGCAACTACAGAGATGCCCCGAGAACACTGTCCCAAGTCTAGAGGAACACCAACTTCAGCAAGGCAATTCGAGGAATGCTCCGTGTACCCCAAATCGTCTCGAGATGAGAGCTGATTCCCTGGCTTAGGCTCAAGACGTATGCCAACTTTCCAGAAGCACCTCAGGAGGGGGCTTCTCTCAGCAATAGGTATGTGGGAGGGACCCCGAGTTTGCTCCCTCAAGGGGAATATACAGCGAGAAACCCTAACTTGAAAGGAGGCCGGATTTCCTTGCAGTGGCTTGAATACAGGCACGTCTTTAATCTCACAACATGAAGGGATGTCTGAATCCCCTGTGGAGACCTTAGAGAAAGCCTTAGGTCCCTGCCTCATTTTGACGGCATGCCTCACATCCCGCTGACACCTCGAGAGGCACGCGGAGTTGATTGCTTCAAAAGGTGACGATGCCTGACTCCTCTTGAATATTGATAGGAATCCCAAAATCACTGTGGGTACTGGAAAGTGTCCTTGGGTGCCTTGACTCACCTCGAGAAGAGTCCCTTTTGCCCTGCCAAGCCTCGAAGAGATTCCTGAGGTGTCCCTCGTTACTAGACAGGAGTCCTTACGTCACTGAAGAAACTCGTGTTTTGAAGGGCCATCCCCGCCGTAAGTCGAGAATATACCCCAGGTCCCCGCCACAACTCGAGAAAAACCAGGAGACTTCCCCCTAGAGGCGAGATGAGGCCCCATTCCCCTGCAGTGCATGCAGAGCTATTGCCTGATCCCATTCAAACAAGTCAGGAGCTTCGACTTGCTTAATGGATCTCGAGACAGTCCCCAAGAACACTGTCACCAGTCCAGACGGACCCTGAGGTCACCCCAGCAACACAAAGCAGCTCCAGGTGCCCCAAATCAACTCGAGATGAGGCCCGATTCCCCTGCATTGACTCCAGAGCCATTCCTCGTTCCCCATTCTACACGACCGGTGGCTCGACTTCCTTCAGGCAACTCCAGAGATGCCCCTAGAACACTGTCCCATGTCTAGAGGAACACCAACTTCAGCACAGCAACTCGGGGAATGCTCCGTGTACACCAAATCGTCTCGAGATGAGAGCTGATTCCCAGGCTTAGGATCAATACGTATGCCAACTTTCCAGAAGCACCTCAAGAGGAGGCTTCTCTCAGCAAATGGTATGTGGGAGGGACCCCGAGTTTGCTGCCTCAAGTGGAATATACAGCGAGAAGCCCTAACTTGAAAGGAGGCCGGATTTCCTTGCAGTGGCTTGAATACAGGCTCGTCTTTGATCTCACAACATGGAGGGATGTCTGAATCCCCTGTGGAGACCTTAGAGAAAGCCCTAGGTCCCTGCCTCATTTTGACGGAATGCCTCACATCCCGCTGACACCTCGAGAGGCAAGCACAATTTACTGCTTCAAAAGGTGAGGATGCCTGACTCCTCTTGAATACTGATAGGAATCCCAAAATCCCTGTGGCTACTGGAAAGGGTCCTTGGGTGCCCTGCCTCACCTCGACAAGTGTCCCATTTGCCCTGCCAAGACTCGAAGAGATTCCTGAGGTGTCCCTCGTTACTAGACAGGAGTCCTGACGTCACAGAAGAAACTCGTGTTTTGAAGGGTCATCCCTGCCATAAGTCGAGAACATACCCCAGGTCCTCGCCGCAACTCGAGAAAAACCATGAGACTTCCCCCTAGAAGCGAGATGAGGCCCCAATCCCCTGCAGTGTATGCAGAGCTATTCCGAGATCCCATTCAAACAAGTCAGGAGCTTCGACTTGCTTAATGGATCTCGAGACAGTCCCCAAGAACACTGTCACCAGTCTAGACGGACCCTGAGGTGACCCCAGCAAAGCAAAGCAGCTCCATGTGCCCCAAATCAACTCGAGATGAGGCCCGATTCCCCTCCATTGATTCCAGAGCCATTCCCCGTTCCCCATTCAACACGACCGGTGTCTCAACTTCCTTCAGGCAACTCCAGAGATGCCCCGAGAACACTGTCCCAAGTCTAGAGGAACACCAACTTCAGCACAGCAACTCGAGGAATGCTCCGTGTACCCCAAACCGTCTCGAGATGAGAGCTGATTCCCTTGCTTAGGCTCAAGACGTATGCACACTTTCCAGAAGCAACTCAGGAGGAGGTTTCTCTCAGCAACAGTTATGTGGGAGGGACCCCGAGTTTGCTGCCTCAATGGGAATATACAGCCAGAAGCCCTAACTTGAAAGGAGGCCAGATTTCCTTGCAGTGGCTTGAATACAGGCTCGTCTTTGATCTCACAATATGGAGGGATGTCTGAATCCCCTGTGGAGACCTTAGAGAATGCCCTAGGTCCCTGTCTCATTTTGACGGAATGCCTCACATCCCCCTGACACCTCGAGAGGCATGCGGACTACATCGCTTCAAAAGGTGACGATGCCTGACTCCTCTTGAATACTGATAGGAATCCCAAAATCCCTGTGGCTACTGGAAAGTGTCCTTGGATGCCCTGATTCACCTCGAGAAGGGTCCCTTTTGCCCTGCCAAGCCTCGAAGAGATTCGTGAGGTGTCCATCGTTACTAGCGAGGAGTCCTGACGTCACTGAAGAACCTCGTGTTTTGAAGGGCCATCCCCGCCGTAAGTCGAGAACATACCCCAGGTCCCTGCCGCAACTCGAGAAAAACCATGAGACTTCCCCCTAGAGGCGAGGTGAGGCCCCATTCCCATACAGTGCATGCAGAGCTATTCCGTGATCCCATTCAAACAAGTCAGGAGCTTCGACTTGCTTAATGTATCTCGAGACAGTCGCCAAGAACACTGTCACCAGTCTAGACGGACCCTGAGGTCACCCAAGCAATGCAAAGCAGCTACATGTGCCCCAAATCAACTCGAGATGAGGCCCGATTCCCCTGAATTGACTCCAGAGCCATTCCCCGTTCCCCATTCAACACGACCGGTGGCTCGACTTCCTTCAGGCAACTCCAGAGATGCCCCGAGAACACTGTCCCAAGTCTAGAGGAACACAAACTTCAGTACAGCAACTCGAGGAATGCTCCGTGTACACCAAAGCGTCTCGAGATGAGAGCTGATTCCCGGGCTTAGGCTCAATACGTATGCCAACTTCCCAGAAGCACATAAAGAGGAGGCTTCTCTCAGCAAAAGGTATGTTAGAGGGACCCCGAGTTTGCTGCCTCAAGGGGAATATACAGCGAGAAGCCCTAACTTGAAAGGAGGCCGGATTTCCTTGCAGTGGCTTGAATACAGGCTCGTCTTTCATCTCACAACATGAAGGGATGACTGAATCCCCTGTGGAGACCTTTGAGAAAGCCCTAGGTCCCTGCCTCATTTTGACGGAATGCCTCACATCCAGCTGACACCTCGAGAGGCACGCGGAGTTCATTGTTTCAAAAGGTGACGATGCCTGACTCCTCTTGAATACTGATAGGAATCCCAAAATCCCTGTGGCTACTGGAAAGGGTCCTTGGGTGCCCTGCCTCACCTCGAGAAGCGTCCCTTTTGCCCTGCCAAGCCTCGAAGAGATTCCTGAGGTGTCCCTCGTTACTAGACAGGAGTCCTGACGTCACTGAAGAAACTCGTGTTTTGAAGGGCCATCCCCGCCGTAAGTCGAGAACATACCCCAGGTCCCCGCCGCAACTCGAGAAAAACCATGAGACTTCCCCCTAGAGGCGAGATGAGGCTCCATTCCCCTGCAGAGCATGCAGAGCTATTCCGTGATCCCATTCAAACAAGTCAGGAGCTTCGACTTGCTTAATGGATCTCGAGACAGTCCCCAAGAACACTGTCACCAGTCTAGACGGACCCTGAGGTCACCCCAGCAACGCAAAGCAGCTCCATGTGCCCCAAATCAACTCGAGATGAGGCCCGATTCCCCTGCATTGACTCCAGAGCCATTCCCCGTTCCCCATTCAACACGACCGGTGGCTCGACTTCCTTCAGGGAACTCCAGAGATGCCCCGAAAACACTGTCCCAGGTCTAGAGGAAGACCCACTTCAGCACAGCAACTCGAGGAATGCTCCGTGTACCCCAAATCATCTCGAGATGAGAGCTGATTCCCTGGCTTAGTCCCAAGACGTATGCCAACTTTCCAGAAGCACCTCAGGAGGAGGCTTCTCTCAGCAATATTCATGTGGGAGGGACCCCGAGTTTGCTGCCTCAAGGGGAATATACAGCGAGAAGCCCTAACTTGAAAGGAGCCCGGATTTCCTTGCAGTGGCTTGAATACAGGCTCGTCTTTCATCTCACAACATGAAGGGATGTCTGAATCCCCTGTGGAGACCTTAGAGAAAGCCCTAGGTCCCTGCCTCATTTTGACGGAATGCCTCACATCCCGTTGACACCTCGAGAGGAATGCAGAGTTCATTGCTTCAAAAGGTGACGATGCCTGACTCCTCTTCAATATTGTTAGGAATCCCAAAATCACTGTGGCTACTGGAAAGGGTCCTTGGGTGCCCTGCCTCACCTCGAGAAGCGTCCCTTTTGCCCTGCCAAGCCTCGAAGAGATTCCTGAGGTGTCCCTCATTACTAGACAGGAGTTCTGACGTCATTGAAGAAACTCGTGTTTTGAAGGGCCATCCCCGCCGTAAGTCGAGAACATACCCCAGGTCCCCGCCGCAACTCGAGAAAAACCATGAGACTTCCCCCTAGAGGCGAGATGAGGCTCCATTCCCCTGCAGAGCATGCAGAGCTATTCCGTGATCCCATTCAAACAAGTCAGGAGCTTCGACTTGCTTAATGGATCTCGAGACAGTCCCGAAGAACACTGTCACCAGTCTAGACGGACCCTGAGGATACCCCAGCAACGCAAAGCAGCTCCTTTTCCCCCATTTCAACTCGAGATGAGGCCCGATTCCCCTGCATTGACTCCAGAGCCATTCCCCGTTCCCCATTCAACACGATCGGTGGCTCGACTTCCTTCAGGCAACGCCAGAGATGCCCCGAGAACACTGTCCCAAGTCTAGAGGAACACCAACTTCACCACAGCAACTCGAGGAATGCTCCGTGTACCGCAAATCGTCTCGAGATGAGAGCTGATTCCCTGGCTTAGGCTCAAGACGTATGCCAACTTTCCAGAAGCACCTCAGGAGGAGGCTTCTCTCAGCAATAGGTATGTGGGAGGGACCCCGAGTTTGCTGCCTCAAGGGGAATATACAGCGAGAAGCCCTAACTTGAAAGGAGGCCGGATTTCCTTGCAGTGGCTTGAATACAGGCTCGTGTTTCATCTCACAACATGAAGGGATGTCTGAATCCCCTGTGGAGACCTTAGAGAAAGCCCTAGGTCCCTGCCTCATTTTGACGGAAATCCTCACATCCCGCTGACACCTCGAGAGGCACGCGGAGTTCATTGCTTCAAAAGGTGACGATGCCTGACTCCTCTTGAATACTGATAGGAATCCCAAAATCCCTGTGGCTACTGGAAAGGGTACTTGGGTGCGCTGCCTCACCTCGAGAAGCGTCCCTTTTGCCCTGCCAAGCCTCGAAGAGATTCCTGAGGTGTCCCTCATTACTAGACAGGAGTCCTGACGTCACTGAAGAAACTCGTGTTTTAAAGGGCCATCCCCGCCGTAAGTCGAGAACATACCCCAGGTCCCCGCCACAACTCCAGAAAAACCATGAGATTTCCTCCTAGAGCCGAGATGAGGCCCCATTCCCCTGCAGTGCATGCAGAGCTATTCCGTGATCCCATTCAAACAAGTCAGGAGCTTCGACTTGCTTAATGGATCTCGAGACAGTCCCCAAGAACACTGTCACCAGTCTAGATGGACCCTGAGGTCACCCCAGCAACGCAAAGCAGCTCCATGTGCCCCAAATCAACTCGAGATGAGGCCCGATTCCCCTGCATTGACTCCAGAGCCATTCCCCGTTCCCCATTCAACACGACCGGTGGCTCGACTTCCTTCAGGAAACTCCAGAGATGCCCCGAGAACACTCTCCCAAATCAAGAGGAACTACAACTTCAGCACAGCAACTCGAGGAATGCTCCATGTACCCCAAATCATCTCGAGATGAGAGCTGATTCCCTGGCTTAGTCTCAAGACGTATGCCAACTTTCCAGAAACACCTCAGGAGGAGGCTTCTCTCAGCAATAGGTATGTGGGAGGGACCCCGAGTTTGCTGCCTCAAGCGGAATATACAGCGAGAAGCCCTAACTTGAAAGGAGGCCGGATTTCCTTGCAGTGGCTTGAATACAGGCTTTCTTTCATCTCACAACATGAAGGGATGTCTGAATCCCCTGTGGAGACCTTAGAGAAAGCCGTAGGTCCCTGCCTCATTTTGACGGAATGCCTCACATCCCGTTGACACCTCGAGAGGCACGCGGAGTTCATAGCTTCAAAAGGTGACGATGCCTGACTCCTCTTGAATACTGATAGGAATCCCAAAATCCCTGTGGCTACTGGAAAGGGTACTTGGGTGCCCTGCATCACCTCGAGAAGCGTCCCTTTTGCCCTGCCAAGCCTCGAAGAGATTCCTGAGGTGTCCCTCGTTACTAGACAGGAGTCCTGACGTCACTGAAGAAACTCGTGTTTTGAAGGGCCATCCCCGCCATAAGTCAAGAACATACACCAGGTCCCCGCCGCAACTCGAGAAAAACCATGAGACTTCCCCCTAGAGGCGAGATGAGGCCACATTCCCCTGCAGTGCATGCAGAGCTATTCCGTGATCCCATTCAAACAAGTCAGGAGCTTCGATTTGCTGAATGGATGGCGACACAGTCCCCAAGAACACTGTCACCAGTCTAGACGGACCCTGAGGTCACCCCAGCAACGCAAAGCAGCCCCATGTGCCCCAAATCAACTCGAGATGAGGCCCGATTCCCCTGCATTGACTCCAAAGCCATTGCCCGTTCCCCATTCAACACGATCGGTGGCTCGACTTCCTTCAGGCAACTCCAGAGATGCCCCGAGAACACTGTCCCAAGTCTAGAGGACAACCAACCTCAGCAGAGCAACTCGAGGAATGCTCCGTGTACCCCAAATCGTCTCGAAATGAGAGCTGATTCCCGGGCTTAGGCTCAAGAGGTATGCCAGCATTCCAGAAGCACCTCAGGAGGAGGCTTCTCTCAGCAATAGGTATGTGGGAGGGACCCCGAGTTTGCTGCCTCAAGGGGAATATACAGCAAGAAGCCCTAACTTGAAAGGAGGCCGGATTATCTTGCAGTGGCTTGAATACAGGCTCGTCTTTCATCTCGCAACATGAAGGGATGACTGAATCCCCTGTGGAGACCTTTGAGAAAGCCCTAGGTCCCTGCCTCATTTTGACGGAATGCCTCACATCCAGCTGACACCTCGAGAGGCACGTGGAGTTCATTGTTTCAAAAGGTGACGATGCCTGACTCCTCTTGAATACTGATAGGAATCCCAAAATCCCTGTGGCTACTGGAAAGGGTCCTTGGGTGCCCTGCCTCACCTCGAGAAGCGTCCCTTTTGCCCTGACAGGCCTCGAAGTGATTCCTCAGGTGTCCCTCGTTACTAGACAGGAGTCCTGACGTCACTGAAGAAACTCGTGTTTTGAAGGGCCATCCCCTCCGTAAGTCGAGAACATACCCCAGGTCCCCGCCGCAACTCGAGAAAAACCATGAGTCTTCCCCCTAGAGGCGAGATGAGGCTCCATTCCCCTGCAGAGCATGCAGAGCTATTCCGTGATCCCATTCAAACAAGTCAGGAGCTTCGACTTGCTTAATGGATCTCGAGACAGTCCCCAAGAACACTGTCACCAGTCTAGACGGACCCTGACGTCACCCCAGCAACGCAAAGCAGCTCCATGTGCCCCAAATCAATTCGAGATGAGGCCGATTCCCCTGCATTGACTCCAGAGCCATTCCCCGTTCCCCATTCAACAAGACCGGTGGCTCGACGTCCTTCAGGCAACTCCAGAGATGCCCCGAGAACACTGTCCCAAGTCTAGAGGAACACCAACTTCAGCACAGCAACTCGAGGAATGCTCTGTGTACCCCAAATCGTCTCGAGAAGAGAGCTGATTCCCTGGCTTAGGCTCAAGACGTATGCCAACTTTCCAGAAGCACCTCAGGAGGAGGCTTCTCTCAGCAATAGTTATGTGGGAGGGACCACGAGTTTGCTGCCTCAAGGGGAATATACAGCGAGAAGCCCTATCTTGAAAGGAGGCAGGATTTCCTTGCAGTGGCTAGAATACAGGCTCGTCTTTGATCTCAAAACCTGAAGGGTTGTCTGAGTCCCCTGTGGAGACCTTAGAGAAAGCCGTAGGTCCCTGCCTCATTTTGACGGAATGCCTCACATCCAGTTGACACCTCGAGAGGCACACAGAGTTCATTGCTTCAAAAGGTGACGATGCCTGACTCCTCTTGAATACTGATAGGAATCCCAAAATCACTGTGGCTACTGGAAAGGGTCCTTAGGTGCCCTGCCTCACCTCGAGAAGCGTCCCTATTGCCCTGCCAAGCCTCGAAGAGATTCCTGAGTTGTCCCTCGTTTCCAGACAGGTGTCCTGACGTCACTGAGGAAACTCGAGTTTTGAAGGGCCATCCCCGCCGTAAGTCGAGAACATAACCCAGGTCACCGCCGCAACTCGAGAAAAACCATGAGACTTCCCCCTAGAGGCGAGATGAGGCCCCATTCCCCTGCAGAGCATGCAGATCTATTCCGTGATCCCATTCAAACAAGTCAGGAGCTTCGACTTGCTTAATGGATCTCGAGACAGTCCCCAAGAACACTGTCACCAGTCTAGACGGACCCTGAGGTCACCCCAGCAATGCAAAGCAGTTCCATGTGCCCCAAGTTAACTCGAGATGAGGCGCGATTCCCTTGCATTGACTCCAGAGCTATTCCCCGTACCACATTCAACACGACCGGTGGCTCGACTTCCTTCAGGCAACTCCAGAGATGCCCCGAGAACACTGTCCCAAGTCTAGAGGAACTCCAACTTCAGCACAGCAACTCGAGGAATGTTCCGTGTACCCCAAATCGTCTCGAGATGAGAGCTGATTCCCTGGCTTAGGCTCAAGACATATGCCAACTTTCCAGAAGCACCACAGGTGGAGGCTTCTCTCAGCAATAGATATGTGGGAGGGACCCCGAGTTTGCTGCCTCAAGCGGAATATACAGCGAGAAGCCCTAACTTGAAAGGAGGCCGGATTTCCTTGCAGTGGCTAGAATACAGGCTCGTCTTTGATCTCAAAACCTGAAGGGTTGTCTGAATCCCCTGAGGAGACCTTAGAGAAAGCCCTAGGTCCCTGCCTCATTTTGACGGAATGCCTCACATCCCGTTGACACCTTGAGAGGCACGCAGAGTTTATTGCTTCAAAAGGTGACGATGCCTGACTCCTCTGGAACACTGATAGGAATCCCAAAATCCCTGTGGCTACTGGAAAGGGTCCTTGGGTGCCCTGCCTCACCTCGAGAAGCGTCCCTTTTGCCCTGCCAAGCCTCGAAGAGATTCCTGAGGTGTCCCTCGTTACTAGACAGGAGTCCTGACGTCACTGAAGAAACTCGTGTTTTGAAAGGCCATCCCCGCCGTAAGTCGAGAACATACCCCAGGTCCCCGCCCCAACTCGAGAAAAACCATGAGACTTCCCCCTAGAGGCGAGATGAGGCTCCATTCCCCTGCAGAGCATGCAGAGCTATTCCGTGATCAGATTCAAACAAGTCAGGAGCTTCGACTTGCTTAATGGATCTCGAGACAGTCCCGAAGAACACTGTCACCAGTCTAGACGGACCCTGAGGTCACCCCAGCAACGCAAAGCAGCTCCATGTGCCCCAAATCAACTCGAGATGAGGCCCGATTCCCCTGCATTGACCCAGAGCCATTCCCCGTTCCCCATTCAACACGACCGGTGGCTCGACTTCCTTCAGGCAACTCCAGAGATGCCCCGAGAACACTGTCCCAAGTCTAGAGGAACACCAACTTCAGCACAGCAACTCGAGGAATGCTCCGTGTACCCCAAAACGTCTCGAGATGACAGCTGATTCCCTGGCTTAGGCTCAAGACGTATGCCAACTTTCCAGAAGCACCTCAGGAGGAGGCTTCTCTCAGCAATAGGTATGTGGGAGGGACCCCGAGTTTGCTGCCTCAAGGGGAATATACAGCGAGAAGCCCTAACTTGAAAGGAGGCCGGATTTCCTTGCAGTGGCTTGAATACAGGGTCGTGTTTCATCTCAAAACATGAAGGGATGTCTGAATCCCCTGTGGAGACCTTAGAGAAAGCCCTAGGTCCCTGCCTCATTTTGACGGAATGCCTCACATCCCGCTAACATCTCGAGAGGCACGCAGAGTTCATTGCTTCAAAAGGTGACGATGCCTGACTCCTCTTGAATACTGATAGGAATCCCAAAATCCCTGTGGCTACTGGAAAGGGTCCTTGTGTGCCCTGCCTCACCTCGAGAAGCGGCCCTTTTGCCCTGCCAAGCCTCGAAGAGATTCCTGAGGTGTCCCTCGTTACTAGACAGGAGTCCTGACCTCACTGAAGAAACTCGTGTTTTGAAAGGCCATCCCCGCTATAAGTCGAGAACATACCCAAAGTCCCCGCCGCAACTCGAGAAAAACCATGAGACTTCCCCCTAGAGGCGAGATGAGGCCCCATTCCCATGCAGTGCATGCAGAGCTATTCTGTGATGCCATTCAAACAAGTCAGGAGCATCGACTTGTTTAATGGATCTCGAGAGAGTCCCCAAGAACACTTTCACCAGTCTAGACGGACCCTGAGGTCACCCCAGCAACGCAAAGCAGCTCCATGTGCCCCAAATCAACTCGAGATGAGGCCCGATTCCCCTGCATTGACTCCAGAGCCATTCCCCGTTCCCCATTCAACACGACCGGTGGCTCGACTTCCTTCAGGCAACTCCAGAGATGCCCCGAGAACACTGTCCCAAGTCGAGAGGAACACCAACTTCAGCACAGAAACTCGAGGAATGCTCCGTGTACCCCAAATCGTCTGGATATAAGAGCTGATTCCCTGGCTTAGGCTAAAGACGTATGCCAACTTTCCAGAAGCACCTCAGGAGGAAGCTTCTCTCAGTGATAGGTATGTGGGAGGGACCCCGATTTTGCTGCCTCAAGGGGAATATACAGCGAGAAGCCCTAATTTGAAAGGAGGCCGGATTTCCTTGCAGTGGCTTGAATACAGGCTCGTCTTTCATCTCACAACATGATGGGATGTCTGAATCCCTGTGGAGACCTTAGAGAAAGCCCTAGGTCCCTGCCTCATTTTGACGGACTGCCTCACATCCAGCTGACACCTCGAGAGGCCCGCGGAGTTCATTGTTTCAAAAGGTGACGATGCCTGACTCCTCTTGAATACTGATAGGAATCCCAAAATCCCTGTGGCTACTGGAAAGGGTCCTTGGGTGCCCTGCCTCACCTCGAGAAGCGTCCCTTTTGCCCTGACAAGCCTCGAAGAGATTCCTCAGGTGTCCCTCGTTACTAGACAGGAGTCCTGACGTCACTGAAGAAACTCGTGTTTTGAAGGGCCATCCCCGCCGTAAGTCGAGAACATACCCCAGGTCCCCGCCGCAACTCGAGAAAAACCATGAGACTTCCCCCTAGAGGCGAGATGAGGCTCCATTCCCCTGCAGAGCATGCAGAGCTATTCCGTGATCCCATTCAAACAAGTCAGGAGCTTCGACTTGCTTAATGGATCTCGAGACAGTCCCCAAGAACACTGTCACCAGTCTAGACGGACCCTGACGTCACCCCAGCAACGCAAAGCAGCTCCATGTGCCCCAAATCAACTCGAGATGAGGCCGATTCCCCTGCATTGACTCCAGAGCCATTCCCCGTTCCCCATTCAACAAGACCGGTGGCTCGACGTCCTTCAGGCAACTCCAGAGATGCCCCGAGAACACTGTCCCAAGTCTAGAGGAACACCAACTTCAGCACAGCAACTCGAGGAATGCTCTGTGTACCCCAAATCGTCTCGAGAAGAGAGCTGATTCCCTGGCTTAGGCTCAAGACGTATGCCAACTTTCCAGAAGCACCTCAGGAGGAGGCTTCTCTCAGCAATAGTTATGTGGGAGGGACCACGAGTTTGCTGCCTCAAGGGGAATATACAGCGAGAAGCCCTATCTTGAAAGGAGGCAGGATTTCCTTGCAGTGGCTAGAATACAGGCTCGTCTTTGATCTCAAAACCTGAAGGGTTGTCTGAGTCCCCTGTGGAGACCTTAGAGAAAGCACTAGGTCCCTGCCTCATTTTGACGGAATGCCTCACATCCAGTTGACACCTCGAGAGGCACACAGAGTTCATTGCTTCAAAAGGTGACGATGCCTGACTCCTCTTGAATACTGATAGGAATCCCAAAATCCCTGTGGCTACTGAAAAGGGTCCTTGGGTGCCCTGCCTCACCTCGAGAAGCGTCCCTATTGCCCTGCCAAGCCTCGAAGAGATTCCTGAGTTGTCCCTCGTTTCCAGACAGGTGTCCTGACGTCACTGAGGAAACACGAGTTTTGAAGGGCCATCCCCGCCGTAAGTCGAGAACATAACCCAGGTCACCGCCGCAACTCGAGAAAAACCATGAGACTTCCCCCTAGAGGCGAGATGAGGCCCCATTCCCCTGCAGAGCATGCAGATCTATTCCGTGATCCCATTCAAACAAGTCAGGAGCTTCGACTTGCTTAATGGATCTCGAGACAGTACCCAAGAACACTGTCACCAGTCTAGACGGACCCTGAGGTCACCCCAGCAATGCAAAGCAGTTCCATGTGCCCCAAGTCAACTCGAGATGAGGCGCGATTCCCTTGCATTGACTCCAGAGCTATTCCCCGTACCACATTCAACACGACCGGTGGCTCGACTTCCTTCAGGCAACTCCAGAGATGCCCCGAGAACACTGTCCCAAGTCTAGAGGAACTCCAACTTCAGCACAGCAACTCGAGGAATGTTCCGTGTACCCCAAATCGTCTCGAGATGAGAGCTGATTCCCTGGCTTAGGCTCAAGACATATGCCAACTTTCCAGAAGCACCACAGGTGGAGGCTTCTCTCAGCAATAGATATGTGGGAGGGACCCCGAGTTTGCTGCCTCAAGCGGAATATACAGCGAGAAGCCCTAACTTGAAAGGAGGCCGGATTTCCTTGCAGTGGCTAGAATACAGGCTCGTCTTTGATCTCAAAACCTGAAGGGTTGTCTGAATCCCCTGAGGAGACCTTAGAGAAAGCCCTAGGTCCCTGCCTCATTTTGACGGAATGCCTCACATCCCGTTGACACCTTGAGAGGCACGCAGAGTTTATTGCTTCAAAAGGTGACGATGCCTGACTCCTCTGGAACACTGATAGGAATCCCAAAATCCCTGTGGCTACTGGAAAGGGTCCTTGGGTGCCCTGCCTCACCTCGAGAAGCTTCCCTTTTGCCCTGCCAAGCCTCGAAGAGATTCCTGAGGTGTCCCTCGTTACTAGACAGGAGTCCTGACGTCACTGAAGAAACTCGTGTTTTGAAAGGCCATCCCCGCCGTAAGTCGAGAACATACCCCAGGTCCCCGCCCCAACTCGAGAAAAACCATGAGACTTCCCCCTAGAGGCGAGATGAGGCTCCATTCCCCTGCAGAGCATGCAGAGCTATTCCGTGATCAGATTCAAACAAGTCAGGAGCTTGGACTTGCTTAATGGATCTCGAGACAGTCCCGAAGAACACTGTCACCAGTCTAGACGGACCCTGAGGTCACCCCAGCAACGCAAAGCAGGTCCATGTGCCCCAAATCAACTCGAGATGAGGCCCGATTCCCCTGCATTGACCCAGAGCCATTCCCCGTTCCCCATTCAACACGACCGGTGGCTCGACTTCCTTCAGGCAACTCCAGAGATGCCCCGAGAACACTGTCCCAAGTCTAGAGGAACACCAACTTCAGCACAGCAACTCGAGGAATGCTCCGTGTACCCCAAAACGTTTCGAGATGACAGCTGATTCCCTGGCTTAGGCTCAAGACGTATGCCAACTTTCCAGAAGCACCTCAGGAGGAGGCTTCTCTCAGCAATAGGTATGTGGGAGGGACCCCGAGTTTGCTGCCTCAAGGGGAATATACAGCGAGAAGCCCTAACTTGAAAGGAGGCCGGATTTCCTTGCAGTGGCTTGAATACAGGCTCGTGTTTCATCTCACAACATGAAGGGATGTCTGAATCCCCTGTGGGGACCTTAGAGAAAGCCCTAGGTCCCTGCCTCATTTTGACGGAATGCCTCACATCCCGCTAACATCTCGAGAGGCACGCAGAGTTCATTGCTTCAAAAGGTGACGATGCCTGACTCCTCTTGAATACTGATAGGAATCCCAAAATCCCTGTGGCTACTGGAAAGGGTCCTTGTGTGCCCTGCCTCACCTCGAGAAGCGGCCCTTTTGCCCTGCCAAGCCTCGAAGAGATTCCTGAGGTGTCCCTCGTTACTAGACAGGAGTCCTGACCTCACTGAAGAAACTCGTGTTTTGAAAGGCCATCCCCGCTGTAAGTCGAGAACATACCCCAGGTCCCCGCCGCAACTCGAGAAAAACCATGAGACTTCCCCCTAGAGGCGAGATGAGGCCCCATTCCCATGCAGTGCATGCAGAGCTATTCTGTGATGCCATTCAAACAAGTCAGGAGCATCGACTTGCTTAATGGATCTCGAGACAGTCCCCAAGAACACTTTCACCAGTCTAGACGGACCCTGAGGTCACCCCAGCAACGCAAAGCAGCTCCATGTGCCCCAAATCAACTCGAGATGAGGCCCGATTCCCCTGCATTGACTCCAGAGCCATTCCCCGTTCCCCATTCAACACGACCGGTGGCTCGACTTCCTTCAGGCAACTCCAGAGATGCCCCGAGAACACTGTCCCAAGTCTAGAGGAACACCAACTTCAGCACAGCAACTCGAGGAATGCTCCGTGTACCCCAAATCGTCTGGAGATAAGAGCTGATTCCCTGGCTTAGGCTCAAGACGTATGCCAACTTTCCAGAAGCACCTCAGGAGGAAGCTTCTCTCAGTGATAGGTATGTGGGAGGGACCCCGAGTTTGCTGCCTCAAGGGGAATATACAGCGAGAAGCCCTAATTTGAAAGGAGGCCGGATTTCCTTGCAGTGGCTTGAATACAGGCTCGTCTCTCATCTCACAACATGAAGGGATGTCTGAATCCCTGTGGAGACCTTAGAGAAAGCCCTAGGTCCCTGCCTCATTTTGACGGACTGCCTCACATCCAGCTGACACCTCGAGAGGACCGCGGAGTTCATTGTTTCAAAAGGTGACGATGCCTGACTCCTCTTGAATACTGATAGGAATCCCAAAATCCCTGTGGCTACTGGAAAGGGTCCTTGGGTGCCCTGCCTCACCTCGAGAAGCGTCCCTTTTGCCCTGACAAGCCTCGAAGAGATTCCTCAGGTGTCCCTCGTTACTAGACAGGAGTCCTGACGTCACTGAAGAAACTCGTGTTTTGAAGGGCCATCCCCGCCGTAAGTCAAGAACATACCCCAGGTCCCCGCCGCAACTCGAGAAAAACCATGAGACTTCCCCCTAGAGGCGAGATGAGGCTCCATTCCCGTGCAGAGCATGCAGAGCTATTCCGAGATCCCATTCAAACAAGTCAGGAGCTTCGACTTGCTTAATGGATCTCGAGACAATCCCGAAGAACACTTTCACCAGTCTAGACGGACCCTGAGGTCACCCCAGCAACGCAAAGCAGCTCCATGTGCCCCAAATCAACTCGAGATGAGGCCCGATTCCCCTGCATTGACTCCAGAGCCATTCCCCGTTCCCCATTCAACACGACCGGTGGCTCGACTTCCTTCAGGCAACTACAGAGATGCCCCGAGAACACTGTCCCAAGTCTAGAGGAACACCAACTTCAGCAAGGCAATTCGAGGAATGCTCCGTGTACCCCAAATCGTCTCGAGATGAGAGCTGATTCCCTGGCTTAGGCTCAAGACGTATGCCAACTTTCCAGAAGCACCTCAGGAGGGGGCTTCTCTCAGCAATAGGTATGTGGGAGGGACCCCGAGTTTGCTCCCTCAAGGGGAATATACAGCGAGAAACCCTAACTTGAAAGGAGGCCGGATTTCCTTGCAGTGGCTTGAATACAGGCACGTCTTTAATCTCACAACATGAAGGGATGTCTGAATCCCCTGTGGAGACCTTAGAGAAAGCCTTAGGTCCCTGCCTCATTTTGACGGCATGCCTCACATCCCGCTGACACCTCGAGAGGCACGCGGAGTTGATTGCTTCAAAAGGTGACGATGCCTGACTCCTCTTGAATATTGATAGGAATCCCAAAATCACTGTGGGTACTGGAAAGTGTCCTTGGGTGCCTTGACTCACCTCGAGAAGAGTCCCTTTTGCCCTGCCAAGCCTCGAAGAGATTCCTGAGGTGTCCCTCGTTACTAGACAGGAGTCCTTACGTCACTGAAGAAACTCGTGTTTTGAAGGGCCATCCCCGCCGTAAGTCGAGAATATACCCCAGGTCCCCGCCACAACTCGAGAAAAACCAGGAGACTTCCCCCTAGAGGCGAGATGAGGCCCCATTCCCCTGCAGTGCATGCAGAGCTATTGCCTGATCCCATTCAAACAAGTCAGGAGCTTCGACTTGCTTAATGGATCTCGAGACAGTCCCCAAGAACACTGTCACCAGTCCAGACGGACCCTGAGGTCACCCCAGCAACACAAAGCAGCTCCAGGTGCCCCAAATCAACTCGAGATGAGGCCCGATTCCCCTGCATTGACTCCAGAGCCATTCCTCGTTCCCCATTCTACACGACCGGTGGCTCGACTTCCTTCAGGCAACTCCAGAGATGCCCCTAGAACACTGTCCCATGTCTAGAGGAACACCAACTTCAGCACAGCAACTCGGGGAATGCTCCGTGTACACCAAATCGTCTCGAGATGAGAGCTGATTCCCAGGCTTAGGATCAATACGTATGCCAACTTTCCAGAAGCACCTCAAGAGGAGGCTTCTCTCAGCAAATGGTATGTGGGAGGGACCCCGAGTTTGCTGCCTCAAGTGGAATATACAGCGAGAAGCCCTAACTTGAAAGGAGGCCGGATTTCCTTGCAGTGGCTTGAATACAGGCTCGTCTTTGATCTCACAACATGGAGGGATGTCTGAATCCCCTGTGGAGACCTTAGAGAAAGCCCTAGGTCCCTGCCTCATTTTGACGGAATGCCTCACATCCCGCTGACACCTCGAGAGGCAAGCACAATTTACTGCTTCAAAAGGTGAGGATGCCTGACTCCTCTTGAATACTGATAGGAATCCCAAAATCCCTGTGGCTACTGGAAAGGGTCCTTGGGTGCCCTGCCTCACCTCGACAAGTGTCCCATTTGCCCTGCCAAGACTCGAAGAGATTCCTGAGGTGTCCCTCGTTACTAGACAGGAGTCCTGACGTCACAGAAGAAACTCGTGTTTTGAAGGGTCATCCCTGCCATAAGTCGAGAACATACCCCAGGTCCTCGCCGCAACTCGAGAAAAACCATGAGACTTCCCCCTAGAAGCGAGATGAGGCCCCAATCCCCTGCAGTGTATGCAGAGCTATTCCGTGATCCCATTCAAACAAGTCAGGAGCTTCGACTTGCTTAATGGATCTCGAGACAGTCCCCAAGAACACTGTCACCAGTCTAGACGGACCCTGAGGTGACCCCAGCAAAGCAAAGCAGCTCCATGTGCCCCAAATCAACTCGAGATGAGGCCCGATTCCCCTCCATTGATTCCAGAGCCATTCCCCGTTCCCCATTCAACACGACCGGTGTCTCAACTTCCTTCAGGCAACTCCAGAGATGCCCCGAGAACACTGTCCCAAGTCTAGAGGAACACCAACTTCAGCACAGCAACTCGAGGAATGCTCCGTGTACCCCAAACCGTCTCGAGATGAGAGCTGATTCCCTTGCTTAGGCTCAAGACGTATGCACACTTTCCAGAAGCAACTCAGGAGGAGGTTTCTCTCAGCAACAGTTATGTGGGAGGGACCCCGAGTTTGCTGCCTCAATGGGAATATACAGCCAGAAGCCCTAACTTGAAAGGAGGCCAGATTTCCTTGCAGTGGCTTGAATACAGGCTCGTCTTTGATCTCACAATATGGAGGGATGTCTGAATCCCCTGTGGAGACCTTAGAGAATGCCCTAGGTCCCTGTCTCATTTTGACGGAATGCCTCACATCCCCCTGACACCTCGAGAGGCATGCGGACTACATCGCTTCAAAAGGTGACGATGCCTGACTCCTCTTGAATACTGATAGGAATCCCAAAATCCCTGTGGCTACTGGAAAGTGTCCTTGGATGCCCTGATTCACCTCGAGAAGGGTCCCTTTTGCCCTGCCAAGCCTCGAAGAGATTCGTGAGGTGTCCATCGTTACTAGCGAGGAGTCCTGACGTCACTGAAGAACCTCGTGTTTTGAAGGGCCATCCCCGCCGTAAGTCGAGAACATACCCCAGGTCCCTGCCGCAACTCGAGAAAAACCATGAGACTTCCCCCTAGAGGCGAGGTGAGGCCCCATTCCCATACAGTGCATGCAGAGCTATTCCGTGATCCCATTCAAACAAGTCAGGAGCTTCGACTTGCTTAATGTATCTCGAGACAGTCGCCAAGAACACTGTCACCAGTCTAGACGGACCCTGAGGTCACCCAAGCAACGCAAAGCAGCTCCATGTGCCCCAAATCAACTCGAGATGAGGCCCGATTCCCCTGAATTGACTCCAGAGCCATTCCCCGTTCCCCATTCAACACGACCGGTGGCTCGACTTCCTTCAGGCAACTCCAGAGATGCCCCGAGAACACTGTCCCAAGTCTAGAGGAACACAAACTTCAGTACAGCAACTCGAGGAATGCTCCGTGTACACCAAAGCGTCTCGAGATGAGAGCTGATTCCCGGGCTTAGGCTCAATACGTATGCCAACTTCCCAGAAGCACATAAAGAGGAGGCTTCTCTCAGCAAAAGGTATGTTAGAGGGACCCCGAGTTTGCTGCCTCAAGGGGAATATACAGCGAGAAGCCCTAACTTGAAAGGAGGCCGGATTTCCTTGCAGTGGCTTGAATACAGGCTCGTCTTTCATCTCACAACATGAAGGGATGACTGAATCCCCTGTGGAGACCTTTGAGAAAGCCCTAGGTCCCTGCCTCATTTTGACGGAATGCCTCACATCCAGCTGACACCTCGAGAGGCACGCGGAGTTCATTGTTTCAAAAGGTGACGATGCCTGACTCCTCTTGAATACTGATAGGAATCCCAAAATCCCTGTGGCTACTGGAAAGGGTCCTTGGGTGCCCTGCCTCACCTCGAGAAGCGTCCCTTTTGCCCTGCCAAGCCTCGAAGAGATTCCTGAGGTGTCCCTCGTTACTAGACAGGAGTCCTGACGTCACTGAAGAAACTCGTGTTTTGAAGGGCCATCCCCGCCGTAAGTCGAGAACATACCCCAGGTCCCCGCCGCAACTCGAGAAAAACCATGAGACTTCCCCCTAGAGGCGAGATGAGGCCCCATTCAGCTGCAGTGCATGCAGAGCTATTCCGTGATCCCATTCAAACAAGTCAGGAGCTTCGACTTGCTTAATGGATCTCGAGACAGTCCCCAAGAACCCTGTCACCAGTCTAGACGGACCCTGAGATCAACCCAGCAAGGCAAAGCAGATCCATGTGCCCCAAATCAACTCGAGATGAGGCCCGATTCCCCTGCATTGACCCCAGGGCCTTTCCCCGTTCCCCATTCAACAGGACCGGTGGCTCGACTTCCTTCAGGCAACTCCAGAGATGCCCCGAGAACACTGTCCCAAGTCGAGAGGAACACGAACTTCAGCACAGCAACTCGAGGAATGCTCCGTGTACCCCAAATCGTCTCGAGATGAGAGCTGATTCCCTGGCTTAGGCTCAAGAGGTATGCCAAATTTCCAGAAGCACCTCAGGAGGAGGCTTCTCTCAGCAATAGGTATGAGGGAGGGACCCCGAGTTTGCTGCCTCTAGGGGAATATACAGCGAGAAGCCCTAACTTGAAAGGAGGCCGGATTTCCTTGCAGTGGCTTGAATACAGGCTCGTCTTTCATCTCACAACAAGAAGGGTTTTCTGAATCCCCTGTGGAGACCTTAGGGAAAGCCCTAGGTCCCTGCCTCATTTTGACGGAATGCCTCACATCCCGCTGACACCTCGAGAGGTACGAGGAGTTCATTGCTTCAAAAGGTGACGATGCCTGACTCCTCTTGAATACTGATAGGAATCCCAAAATCCCTGTGGCTACTGGAAAGGGTCATTGGGTGCCCTGCCTCACCTCGAGAAGCGTCCCTTTTGCCCTTTCAAGCCTCGAAGAGATTCCTGAGGTGTCCCTCGTTACTAGACAGGAGTCCTGACGTCACTGAAGAAACTCGTGTTTTGAAGGGCCATCCCCGCTGTAAGTCGAGAACATACCCCAGTTCCCCGTGGCAACTCGAGAAAAACCATGAGACTTCCCCCTAGAGGCGAGTTGAGGCCCCATTCCACTACAGTGCATGCAGAGCTATTCCGTGACCCCGTTCAAACAGGTCAGGAGCTTCTACTTGTTTAATGGATCTCGAGACAGTCCCCAAGAACAGTGTCACCAGTCTAGACGGACCCTGAGGTCACCCGAGCAACGTAAAGCAGCACCATGCGCCCCAAATCAACTCGAGATGAGGCCCGATTCCCCTGCATTGACTCCAGTGCCATTCCCCGTTCCCCATTCAAGACGACCGGTGGCTAGACTTTCTTCAGGCCACTCCAGAGATGCCCCGAGAACACTGTCCCAAGTCGAGAGGAACACCAACTTCAGCACAGCAACTCGAGGAATGTTCCGTGTACCCCAAATCGTCTCGAGATGAGAGCTAATTCCCTGGTTAGGCTCAAGACGTATGCCAACTTTCCAGAAGCATCTCAGGAGGACGCTTCTCTCAGCAATAGGTATGTGGGAGGGACACCGAGTTTGCTGCCTCAAGGGGAATATACAGCGAGAAGACATAACTTGAAAGGAGGCCGGATTTCCTTGCAGTGGCTTGATTACAGGCTCGTCTTTCATCTCACAACATGAAGGGATGAATGAATTCCCTGTGGAGACCTTAGAGAAAGCCCTACGTCCCTGCCTCATTTTGACGGAATGCCTCACATCCAGCTGACACCTCGAGAGGCACGCGGAGTTCATTGCTTCAAAAGGTGACGATGCCTGACTCCTCTTGAATACTGATAGGAATGCAAAAATCCCTGTGGCTACTGGAAAGGGTCTTTGGGTGCCCTGCCTCACCTCGAGAAGCGTCCCTTTTGCCCTGCCAAGCCTCGAAGAGATTCCTGAGGTGATCCTCGTTACTAGACAGAAGTTCTGACGTCACTGAGGAAACTCGTGTTTTGAAGGGCCATCCCCGGCGTAAGTCGAGAACATATCCCAGGTCCCCGCCGCAACTCGAGAAAAACCATGAGACTTCCCCCTAGAGGCGAGATGATGCCACATTCCCCTGCAGTGCATGCAGAGCTATTCGTGAACCCATTCAAACAAGTCAGGAGCTTCGACTTGCTTAATGGATCTCGAGACAGTCCCCAAGAACACTGTCACCAGTCTAGACGGACCCTGAGGTCACCCCAGCAATGCAAAGCAGCTCCATGTGCCCCAAATCAACTCGAGATGAGGCCCGATTCCCCTGCATTGACTCCAGAGCCATTCCCCGTTCCCCATTCAACACGACCGGTTGCTCGACTTCCTTGAGGCAACTCCAGGGATGCCCCGAGAACACTGCCCCAAGTCTAGAGGAACACCAACTTCAGCACAGCAACTCGAGGAATGCTCCGTGTACCCCAAATCGTCTCGAGATGAGAGCTGATTCCCTGGCTTAGGCTCAAGACGTATGCCAACTTTCCAGAAGCACCTCAGGAGGAGGCTTCTCTCAGCAATAGGTATGTGGGAGGGACCCCGAGTTTGCTGCCTGAAGGGGAATATACAGCGAGAAGCCCTAACTTGAAAGGAGGCCGGATTTCCTTGCAGTGGCTTGAATACAGGCACGTCTTTAATCTCACAACATGAAGGGATGTCTGAACCCCTGTGGAGACCTTAGAGAAAGCCTTAGGTCCCTGCCTCATTTTGACGGCATGCCTCACATCCCGCTGACACATCGAGAGGCACGCGGAGTTGATTGCTTCAAAAGGTGACGATGCCTGACTCCTCTTGAATACTGATAGGAATCCCAAAATCCCTGTGGCTACTGGAAAGTGTCCTTGGATGCCCTGCCTCACCTCGAGAAGCGTCCCTTTTGCCCTGCCAAGCCTCGAAGAGATTCCTGAGGTGTCCCTCGTTACTAGATAGGAGTCCTGACGTCACTGAAGAAACTCGTGTTTTGAAGGGCCATCCCCGCCGTAAGTCGAGAACATACCCCAGGTCCCTGCCGCAACTCGAGAAAAACCATGAGACTTCCCCCTAGAGGCGAGGTGAGGCCCCATTCCCATACAGTGCATGCAGAGCTATTCCGTGATCCCATTCAAACAAGTCAGGAGCTTCGACTTGCTTAATGTATCTCGAGACAGACGCCAAGAACACTTTCACCAGTCTAGACGGACCCTGAGGTCACCCAAGCAACGCAAAGCAGCTCCATGTGCCCCAAATCAACTCGAGATGAGGCCCGATTCCCCTGCATTGACTCCAGAGCCATTCCCCGTTCCCCATTCAACACGACCGGTGGCTCGACTTCCTTCAGGCAACTCCAGAGATGCCCCGAGAACACTGTCCCAAGTCTAGAGGAACACAAACTTCAGTACAGCAACTCGAGGAATGCTCCGTGTACACCAAAGCGTCTCGAGATGAGAGCTGATTCCCTGGCTTAGGCTCAATACGTATGCCAACTTTCCAGAAGCACCTAAAGAGGAGGCTTCTCTCAGCAAAAGGTATGTTAGAGGGACCCCGAGTTTGCTGCCTCAAGGGGAATATACAGCGAGAAGCCCTAACTTGAAAGGAGGCCGGATTTCCTTGCAGTGGCTTGAATAAAGGCTCGTCTTTGATCTCACAACATGGAGGGATGTCTGAATCCCCTGTGGAGACCTTAGAGAAAGCCCTAGGTCCCTGCGTCATTTTGACGGAATGCCTCACAACCCGCTGACACCTCGAGAGGCAAGCAGAATTTACTGCTTCAAAAGGTGAGGATGCCTGACTCCTCTTGAATACTGATAGGAATCCCAAAATCACTGTGGCTACTGGAAAGGGTCCTTGGGTGCCCTGCCTCACCTCGGCAAGTGTCCCATTTGCCCTGCCAAGACTCGAAGAGATTCCTGAGGTGTCCCTCGTTACTAGACAGGAGTCCTGACATCACAGAAGAAACTCGTGTTTTGAAGGGCCACCCCCGCCGTAATTCGAGAACATACCCCAGGTCCTCGCCGCAACTCGAGAAAAACCATGAGACTTCCCCCTAGAAGCGAGATGAGGCCCCAATCCCCTGCAGTGCATGCAGAGCTATTCCGTGATCCCATTCAAACAAGTCAGGAGCTTCGACTTGCTTAATGGATCTCGAGACAGTCCCCAAGAACACTGTCACCAGTCTAGACGGACCCTGAGGTGACCCCAGCAAAGCAAAGCAGATCCATGTGCCCCAAATCAACTCGAGATGAGGCCCGATTACCCTCCATTGATTCCAGAGCCATTCCCCGTTCCCCATTCAACACGACCGGTGTCTCAACTTCCTTCAGGCAACTCCAGAGATGCCCCGAGAATACTGTCCCAAGTCTAGAGGAAAACCAACTTCAGCACAGCAACTCGAGGAATGCTCCGTGTACACCAAATCGTCTCGAGATGAGAGCTGATTCCCTTGCTTAGGTTCAAGACGTATGCAAACTTTCCAGAAGCAACTCAGCAGGAGGTTTCTCTCAGCAACAGTTATGTGGGAGGGACACCGAGTTTGCTGCCTCAATGGGAATATACAGCCAGAAGCCCTAACTTGAAAGGAGGCCAGATTTCCTTGCAGTGGCTTGAATACAGGCTCGTCTTTGATCTCAAAATATGGAGGGATGTCTGAATCCCCTGTGGAGACCTTAGAGAAAGCCCTAGGTCCCTGTCTCATTTTGACGGAATGCCTCACATCGCCCTGACACCTCGAGAGGCACGCGGAGTACATCGCTTCAAAAGGTGACGATGCCTGACTCCTCTTGAATACTGATAGGAATCCCAAAATCCCTGTGGCTACTGGAAAGTGTCCTTGGATGCCCTTCCTCACCTCGAGAAGCGTCCCTTTTGCCCTGCCAAGCCTCGAAGAGATTCCTGAGGTGTCCCTCGTTACTAGATAGGAGTCCTGACGTCACTGAAGAAACTCGTGTTTTGAAGGGCCATCCCCGCCGTAAGTCGAGAACATACCCCAGGTCCCTGCCGCAACTCGAGAAAAACCATGAGACTTCCCCCTAGAGGCGAGGTGAGGCCCCATTCCCATACAGTGCATGCAGAGCTATTCCGTGATCCCATTCAAACAAGTCAGGAGCTTCGACTTGCTTAATGTATCTCGAGACAGACGCCAAGAACACTTTCACCAGTCTAGACGGACCCTGAGGTCACCCAAGCAACGCAAAGCAGCTCCATGTGCCCCAAATCAACTCGAGATGAGGCCCGATTCCCCTGCATTGACTCCAGAGCCATTCCCCGTTCCCCATTCAACACGACCGGTGGCTCGACTTCCTTCAGGCAACTCCAGAGATGCCCCGAGAACACTGTCCCAAGTCTAGAGGAACACAAACTTCAGTACAGCAACTCGAGGAATGCTCCGTGTACACCAAAGCGTCTCGAGATGAGAGCTGATTCCCGGGCTTAGGCTCAATACGTATGCCAACTTTCCAGAAGCACCTAAAGAGGAGGCTTCTCTCAGCAAAAGGTATGTTAGAGGGACCCCGAGTTTGCTGCCTCAAGGGGAATATACAGCGAGAAGCCCTAACTTGAAAGGAGGCCAGATTTCCTTGCAGTGGCTTGAATACAGGCTTGTCTTTCATCTCACAACAAGAAGGGTTGTCTGAATCCCCTGTGGAGACCTTAGAGAAAGCCCTAGGTCCCTGCTTCATTTTGACGGAATGCCTCACATCCCGCTGACACTTCGAGAGGCACGCGGAGTTAATTGCTTCAAAAGGTAACGATGCCTGACTCCTCTTGAATACTGATAGGAATGCCAAAATCACTGTGGCTACTGGAAAGGGTCCTTGGGTGTCCTTCCTCACTTCGAGAATCGTCCCTTTTGCCCTGCCAAGCCTCGAAGAGATTCCTGAGGTGTCCCTCGTTACTAGACAGGAGTCCTGACGTCACTGAAGAAACTCGTGTTTTGAAGGGCCATCCCCGCCTTAAGTCGAGAACATACCCCAGGTCCAAGCCGCAACTCGAGAAAAACCATGAGACTTCCCCCTAGAGGCGAGGTGAGGCCCCATTCCCATACAGTGCATGCAGAGCTATTCCGTGATCCCATTCAAACAAGTCAGGAGCTTCGACTTGCTTAATGTACCTCGAGAGAGTCGCCAAGAACACTGTCACCAGTCTAGACGGACCCTGAGGTCACCCCAGCAACGCAAAGCAGCTCCATGTGCCCCAAATCAACTCGAGATGAGGCCCGATTCCCCTGCATTGACTCCAGAGCCATTCCCCATTCCCCATTCAACACGACCGGTGGCTCGACTTCCTTCAGGCAACTCCAGAGATGCCCCTAGAACACTGTCCCATGTCTAGAGGAACACCAACTTCAGCACAGCAACTCGGGGAATGCTCCGTGTACACCAAATCGTCTCGAGATGAGAGCTGATTCCCAGGCTTAGGATCAATACGTATGCCAACTTTCCAGAAGCACCTCAAGAGGAGGCTTCTCTCAGCAAATGGTATGTGGGAGGGACCCCGAGTTTGCTGCCTCAAGTGGAATATACAGCGAGAAGCCCTAACTTGAAAGGAGGCCGGATTTCCTTGCAGTGGCTTGAATACAGGCTCGTCTTTGATCTCACAACATGGAGGGATGTCTGAATCCCCTGTGGAGACCTTAGAGAAAGCCCTAGGTCCCTGCCTCATTTTGACGGAATGCCTCACATCCCGCTGACACCTCGAGAGGCAAGCACAATTTACTGCTTCAAAAGGTGAGGATGCCTGACTCCTCTTGAATACTGATAGGAATCCCAAAATCCCTGTGGCTACTGGAAAGGGTCCTTGGGTGCCCTGCCTCACCTCGACAAGTGTCCCATTTGCCCTGCCAAGACTCGAAGAGATTCCTGAGGTGTCCCTCGTTACTAGACAGGAGTCCTGACGTCACAGAAGAAACTCGTGTTTTGAAGGGTCATCCCTGCCATAAGTCGAGAACATACCCCAGGTCCTCGCCGCAACTCGAGAAAAACCATGAGACTTCCCCCTAGAAGCGAGATGAGGCCCCAATCCCCTGCAGTGTATGCAGAGCTATTCCGTGATCCCATTCAAACAAGTCAGGAGCTTCGACTTGCTTAATGGATCTCGAGACAGTCCCCAAGAACACTGTCACCAGTCTAGACGGACCCTGAGGTGACCCCAGCAAAGCAAAGCACCTCCATGTGCCCCAAATCAACTCGAGATGAGGCCCGATTCCCCTCCATTGATTCCAGAGCCATTCCCCGTTCCCCATTCAACACGACCGGTGTCTCAACTTCCTTCAGGCAACTCCAGAGATGCCCCGAGAACACTGTCCCAAGTCTAGAGGAACACCAACTTCAGCACAGCAACTCGAGGAATGCTCCGTGTACCCCAAACCGTCTCGAGATGAGAGCTGATTCCCTTGCTTAGGCTCAAGACGTATGCACACTTTCCAGAAGCAACTCAGGAGGAGGTTTCTCTCAGCAACAGTTATGTGGGAGGGACCCCGAGTTTGCTGCCTCAATGGGAATATACAGCCAGAAGCCCTAACTTGAAAGGAGGCCAGATTTCCTTGCAGTGGCTTGAATACAGGCTCGTCTTTGATCTCACAATATGGAGGGATGTCTGAATCCCCTGTGGAGACCTTAGAGAATGCCCTAGGTCCCTGTCTCATTTTGACGGAATGCCTCACATCCCCCTGACACCTCGAGAGGCATGCGGACTACATCGCTTCAAAAGGTGACGATGCCTGACTCCTCTTGAATACTGATAGGAATCCCAAAATCCCTGTGGCTACTGGAAAGTGTCCTTGGATGCCCTGATTCACCTCGAGAAGGGTCCCTTTTGCCCTGCCAAGCCTCGAAGAGATTCGTGAGGTGTCCATCGTTACTAGCGAGGAGTCCTGACGTCACTGAAGAACCTCGTGTTTTGAAGGGCCATCCCCGCCGTAAGTCGAGAACATACCCCAGGTCCCTGCCGCAACTCGAGAAAAACCATGAGACTTCCCCCTAGAGGCGAGGTGAGGCCCCATTCCCATACAGTGCATGCAGAGCTATTCCGTGATCCCATTCAAACAAGTCAGGAGCTTCGACTTGCTTAATGTATCTCGAGACAGTCGCCAAGAACACTGTCACCAGTCTAGACGGACCCTGAGGTCACCCAAGCAATGCAAAGCAGCTACATGTGCCCCAAATCAACTCGAGATGAGGCCCGATTCCCCTGCATTGACTCCAGAGCCATTCCCCGTTCCCCATTCAACACGACCGGTGGCTCGACTTCCTTCAGGCAACTCCAGAGATGCCCCGAGAACACTGTCCCAAGTCTAGAGGAACACAAACTTCAGTACAGCAACTCGAGGAATGCTCCGTGTACACCAAAGCGTCTCGAGATGAGAGCTGATTCCCGGGCTTAGGCTCAATACGTATGCCAACTTCCCAGAAGCACATAAAGAGGAGGCTTCTCTCAGCAAAAGGTATGTTAGAGGGACCCCGAGTTTGCTGCCTCAAGGGGAATATACAGCGAGAAGCCCTAACTTGAAAGGAGGCCGGATTTCCTTGCAGTGGCTTGAATACAGGCTCGTCTTTCATCTCACAACATGAAGGGATGACTGAATCCCCTGTGGAGACCTTTGAGAAAGCCCTAGGTCCCTGCCTCATTTTGACGGAATGCCTCACATCCAGCTGACACCTCGAGAGGCACGCGGAGTTCATTGTTTCAAAAGGTGACGATGCCTGACTCCTCTTGAATACTGATAGGAATCCCAAAATCCCTGTGGCTACTGGAAAGGGTCCTTGGGTGCCCTGCCTCACCTCGAGAAGCGTCCCTTTTGCCCTGCCAAGCCTCGAAGAGATTCCTGAGGTGTCCCTCGTTACTAGACAGGAGTCCTGACGTCACTGAAGAAACTCGTGTTTTGAAGGGCCATCCCCGCCGTAAGTCGAGAACATACCCCAGGTCCCCGCCGCAACTCGAGAAAAACCATGAGACTTCCCCCTAGAGGCGAGATGAGGCTCCATTCCCCTGCAGAGCATGCAGAGCTATTCCGTGATCCCATTCAAACAAGTCAGGAGCTTCGACTTGCTTAATGGATCTCGAGACAGTCCCCAAGAACACTGTCACCAGTCTAGACGGACCCTGAGGTCACCCCAGCAACGCAAAGCAGCTCCATGTGCCCCAAATCAACTCGAGATGAGGCCCGATTCCCCTGCATTGACTCCAGAGCCATTCCCCGTTCCCCATTCAACACGACCGGTGGCTCGACTTCCTTCAGGCAACTCCAGAGATGCCCCGAAAACACTGTCCCAGGTCTAGAGGAAGACCCACTTCAGCACAGCAACTCGAGGAATGCTCCGTGTACCCCAAATCATCTCGAGATGAGAGCTGATTCCCTGGCTTAGTCCCAAGACGTATGCCAACTTTCCAGAAGCACCTCAGGAGGAGGCTTCTCTCAGCAATATTCATGTGGGAGGGACCCCGAGTTTGCTGCCTCAAGGGGAATATACAGCGAGAAGCCCTAACTTGAAAGGAGCCCGGATTTCCTTGCAGTGGCTTGAATACAGGCTCGTCTTTCATCTCACAACATGAAGGGATGTCTGAATCCCCTGTGGAGACCTTAGAGAAAGCCCTAGGTCCCTGCCTCATTTTGACGGAATGCCTCACATCCCGTTGACACCTCGAGAGGAATGCAGAGTTCATTGCTTCAAAAGGTGACGATGCCTGACTCCTCTTCAATATTGTTAGGAATCCCAAAATCACTGTGGCTACTGGAAAGGGTCCTTGGGTGCCCTGCCTCACCTCGAGAAGCGTCCCTTTTGCCCTGCCAAGCCTCGAAGAGATTCCTGAGGTGTCCCTCATTACTAGACAGGAGTTCTGACGTCATTGAAGAAACTCGTGTTTTGAAGGGCCATCCCCGCCGTAAGTCGAGAACATACCCCAGGTCCCCGCCGCAACTCGAGAAAAACCATGAGACTTCCCCCTAGAGGCGAGATGAGGCTCCATTCCCCTGCAGAGCATGCAGAGCTATTCCGTGATCCCATTCAAACAAGTCAGGAGCTTCGACTTGCTTAATGGATCTCGAGACAGTCCCGAAGAACACTGTCACCAGTCTAGACGGACCCTGAGGATACCCCAGCAACGCAAAGCAGCTCCTTTTCTGCCATTTCAACTCGAGATGAGGCCCGATTCCCCTGCATTGACTCCAGAGCCATTCCCCGTTCCCCATTCAACACGATCGGTGGCTCGACTTCCTTCAGGCAACTCCAGAGATGCCCCGAGAACACTGTCCCAAGTCTAGAGGAACACCAACTTCACCACAGCAACTCGAGGAATGCTCCGTGTACCGCAAATCGTCTCGAGATGAGAGCTGATTCCCTGGCTTAGGCTCAAGACGTATGCCAACTTTCCAGAAGCACCTCAGGAGGAGGCTTCTCTCAGCAATAGGTATGTGGGAGGGACCCCGAGTTTGCTGCCTCAAGGGGAATATACAGCGAGAAGCCCTAACTTGAAAGGAGGCCGGATTTCCTTGCAGTGGCTTGAATACAGGCTCGTGTTTCATCTCACAACATGAAGGGATGTCTGAATCCCCTGTGGAGACCTTAGAGAAAGCCCTAGGTCCCTGCCTCATTTTGACGGAAATCCTCACATCCCGCTGACACCTCGAGAGGCACGCGGAGTTCATTGCTTCAAAAGGTGACGATGCCTGACTCCTCTTGAATACTGATAGGAATCCCAAAATCCCTGTGGCTACTGGAAAGGGTACTTGGGTGCGCTGCCTCACCTCGAGAAGCGTCCCTTTTGCCCTGCCAAGCCTCGAAGAGATTCCTGAGGTGTCCCTCATTACTAGACAGGAGTCCTGACGTCACTGAAGAAACTCGTGTTTTAAAGGGCCATCCCCGCCGTAAGTCGAGAACATACCCCAGGTCCCCGCCACAACTCCAGAAAAACCATGAGATTTCCTCCTAGAGCCGAGATGAGGCCCCATTCCCCTGCAGTGCATGCAGAGCTATTCCGTGATCCCATTCAAACAAGTCAGGAGCTTCGACTTGCTTAATGGATCTCGAGACAGTCCCCAAGAACACTGTCACCAGTCTAGATGGACCCTGAGGTCACCCCAGCAACGCAAAGCAGCTCCATGTGCCCCAAATCAACTCGAGATGAGGCCCGATTCCCCTGCATTGACTCCAGAGCCATTCCCCGTTCCCCATTCAACATGACCGGTGGCTCGACTTCCTTCAGGAAACTCCAGAGATGCCCCGAGAACACTCTCCCAAATCAAGAGGAACTACAACTTCAGCACAGCAACTCGAGGAATGCTCCATGTACCCCAAATCATCTCGAGATGAGAGCTGATTCCCTGGCTTAGTCTCCAGACGTATGCCAACTTTCCAGAAACACCTCAGGAGGAGGCTTCTCTCAGCAATAGGTATGTGGGAGGGACCCCGAGTTTGCTGCCTCAAGCGGAATATACAGCGAGAAGCCCTAACTTGAAAGGAGGCCGGATTTCCTTGCAGTGGCTTGAATACAGGCTTTCTTTCATCTCACAACATGAAGGGATGTCTGAATCCCCTGTGGAGACCTTAGAGAAAGCCGTAGGTCCCTGCCTCATTTTGACGGAATGCCTCACATCCCGTTGACACCTCGAGAGGCACGCAGAGTTCATAGCTTCAAAAGGTGACGATGCCTGACTCCTCTTGAATACTGATAGGAATCCCAAAATCCCTGTGGCTACTGGAAAGGGTACTTGGGTGCCCTGCATCACCTCGAGAAGCGTCCCTTTTGCCCTGCCAAGTCTCGAAGAGATTCCTGAGGTGTCCCTCGTTACTAGACAGGAGTCCTGACGTCACTGAAGAAACTCGTGTTTTGAAGGGCCATCCCCGCCATAAGTCAAGAACATACACCAGGTCCCCGCCGCAACTCGAGAAAAACCATGAGACTTCCCCCTAGAGGCGAGATGAGGCTCCATTCCCCTGCAGAGCATGCAGAGCTATTCCGTGATCCCATTCAAACAAGTCAGGAGCTTCGACTTGCTTAATGGATCTCGAGACAGTCCCCAAGAACACTGTCACCAGTCTAGACGGACCCTGACGTCACCCCAGCAACGCAAAGCAGCTCCATGTGCCCCAAATCAATTCGAGATGAGGCCGATTCCCCTGCATTGACTCCAGAGCCATTCCCCGTTCCCCATTCAACAAGACCGGTGGCTCGACGTCCTTCAGGCAACTCCAGAGATGCCCCGAGAACACTGTCCCAAGTCTAGAGGAACACCAACTTCAGCACAGCAACTCGAGGAATGCTCTGTGTACCCCAAATCGTCTCGAGAAGAGAGCTGATTCCCTGGCTTAGGCTCAAGACGTATGCCAACTTTCCAGAAGCACCTCAGGAGGAGGCTTCTCTCAGCAATAGTTATGTGGGAGGGACCACGAGTTTGCTGCCTCAAGGGGAATATACAGCGAGAAGCCCTATCTTGAAAGGAGGCAGGATTTCCTTGCAGTGGCTAGAATACAGGCTCGTCTTTGATCTCAAAACCTGAAGGGTTGTCTGAGTCCCCTGTGGAGACCTTAGAGAAAGCCGTAGGTCCCTGCCTCATTTTGACGGAATGCCTCACATCCAGTTGACACCTCGAGAGGCACACAGAGTTCATTGCTTCAAAAGGTGACGATGCCTGACTCCTCTTGAATACTGATAGGAATCCCAAAATCACTGTGGCTACTGGAAAGGGTCCTTAGGTGCCCTGCCTCACCTCGAGAAGCGTCCCTATTGCCCTGCCAAGCCTCGAAGAGATTCCTGAGTTGTCCCTCGTTTCCAGACAGGTGTCCTGACGTCACTGAGGAAACTCGAGTTTTGAAGGGCCATCCCCGCCGTAAGTCGAGAACATAACCCAGGTCACCGCCGCAACTCGAGAAAAACCATGAGACTTCCCCCTAGAGGCGAGATGAGGCCCCATTCCCCTGCAGAGCATGCAGATCTATTCCGTGATCCCATTCAAACAAGTCAGGAGCTTCGACTTGCTTAATGGATCTCGAGACAGTCCCCAAGAACACTGTCACCAGTCTAGACGGACCCTGAGGTCACCCCAGCAATGCAAAGCAGTTCCATGTGCCCCAAGTTAACTCGAGATGAGGCGCGATTCCCTTGCATTGACTCCAGAGCTATTCCCCGTACCACATTCAACACGACCGGTGGCTCGACTTCCTTCAGGCAACTCCAGAGATGCCCCGAGAACACTGTCCCAAGTCTAGAGGAACTCCAACTTCAGCACAGCAACTCGAGGAATGTTCCGTGTACCCCAAATCGTCTCGAGATGAGAGCTGATTCCCTGGCTTAGGCTCAAGACATATGCCAACTTTCCAGAAGCACCACAGGTGGAGGCTTCTCTCAGCAATAGATATGTGGGAGGGACCCCGAGTTTGCTGCCTCAAGCGGAATATACAGCGAGAAGCCCTAACTTGAAAGGAGGCCGGATTTCCTTGCAGTGGCTAGAATACAGGCTCGTCTTTGATCTCAAAACCTGAAGGGTTGTCTGAATCCCCTGAGGAGACCTTAGAGAAAGCCCTAGGTCCCTGCCTCATTTTGACGGAATGCCTCACATCCCGTTGACACCTTGAGAGGCACGCAGAGTTTATTGCTTCAAAAGGTGACGATGCCTGACTCCTCTGGAACACTGATAGGAATCCCAAAATCCCTGTGGCTACTGGAAAGGGTCCTTGGGTGCCCTGCCTCACCTCGAGAAGCGTCCCTTTTGCCCTGCCAAGCCTCGAAGAGATTCCTGAGGTGTCCCTCGTTACTAGACAGGAGTCCTGACGTCACTGAAGAAACTCGTGTTTTGAAAGGCCATCCCCGCCGTAAGTCGAGAACATACCCCAGGTCCCCGCCCCAACTCGAGAAAAACCATGAGACTTCCCCCTAGAGGCGAGATGAGGCTCCATTCCCCTGCAGAGCATGCAGAGCTATTCCGTGATCAGATTCAAACAAGTCAGGAGCTTCGACTTGCTTAATGGATCTCGAGACAGTCCCGAAGAACACTGTCACCAGTCTAGACGGACCCTGAGGTCACCCCAGCAACGCAAAGCAGCTCCATGTGCCCCAAATCAACTCGAGATGAGGCCCGATTCCCCTGCATTGACCCAGAGCCATTCCCCGTTCCCCATTCAACACGACCGGTGGCTCGACTTCCTTCAGGCAACTCCAGAGATGCCCCGAGAACACTGTCCCAAGTCTAGAGGAACACCAACTTCAGCACAGCAACTCGAGGAATGCTCCGTGTACCCCAAAACGTCTCGAGATGACAGCTGATTCCCTGGCTTAGGCTCAAGACGTATGCCAACTTTCCAGAAGCACCTCAGGAGGAGGCTTCTCTCAGCAATAGGTATGTGGGAGGGACCCCGAGTTTGCTGCCTCAAGGGGAATATACAGCGAGAAGCCCTAACTTGAAAGGAGGCCGGATTTCCTTGCAGTGGCTTGAATACAGGGTCGTGTTTCATCTCAAAACATGAAGGGATGTCTGAATCCCCTGTGGAGACCTTAGAGAAAGCCCTAGGTCCCTGCCTCATTTTGACGGAATGCCTCACATCCCGCTAACATCTCGAGAGGCACGCAGAGTTCATTGCTTCAAAAGGTGACGATGCCTGACTCCTCTTGAATACTGATAGGAATCCCAAAATCCCTGTGGCTACTGGAAAGGGTCCTTGTGTGCCCTGCCTCACCTCGAGAAGCGGCCCTTTTGCCCTGCCAAGCCTCGAAGAGATTCCTGAGGTGTCCCTCGTTACTAGACAGGAGTCCTGACCTCACTGAAGAAACTCGTGTTTTGAAAGGCCATCCCCGCTATAAGTCGAGAACATACCCAAAGTCCCCGCCGCAACTCGAGAAAAACCATGAGACTTCCCCCTAGAGGCGAGATGAGGCCCCATTCCCATGCAGTGCATGCAGAGCTATTCTGTGATGCCATTCAAACAAGTCAGGAGCATCGACTTGTTTAATGGATCTCGAGAGAGTCCCCAAGAACACTTTCACCAGTCTAGACGGACCCTGAGGTCACCCCAGCAACGCAAAGCAGCTCCATGTGCCCCAAATCAACTCGAGATGAGGCCCGATTCCCCTGCATTGACTCCAGAGCCATTCCCCGTTCCCCATTCAACACGACCGGTGGCTCGACTTCCTTCAGGCAACTCCAGAGATGCCCCGAGAACACTGTCCCAAGTCTAGAGGAACACCAACTTCAGCACAGAAACTCGAGGAATGCTCCGTGTACCCCAAATCGTCTGGATATAAGAGCTGATTCCCTGGCTTAGGCTAAAGACGTATGCCAACTTTCCAGAAGCACCTCAGGAGGAAGCTTCTCTCAGTGATAGGTATGTGGGAGGGACCCCGAGTTTGCTGCCTCAAGGGGAATATACAGCGAGAAGCCCTAATTTGAAAGGAGGCCGGATTTCCTTGCAGTGGCTTGAATACAGGCTCGTCTTTCATCTCACAACATGATGGGATGTCTGAATCCCTGTGGAGACCTTAGAGAAAGCCCTAGGTCCCTGCCTCATTTTGACGGACTGCCTCACATCCAGCTGACACCTCGAGAGGCCCGCGGAGTTCATTGTTTCAAAAGGTGACGATGCCTGACTCCTCTTGAATACTGATAGGAATCCCAAAATCCCTGTGGCTACTGGAAAGGGTCCTTGGGTGCCCTGCCTCACCTCGAGAAGCATCCCTTTTGCCCTGACAAGCCTCGAAGAGATTCCTCAGGTGTCCCTCGTTACTAGACAGGAGTCCTGACGTCACTGAAGAAACTCGTGTTTTGAAGGGCCATCCCCGCCGTAAGTCGAGAACATACCCCAGGTCCCCGCCGCAACTCGAGAAAAACCATGAGACTTCCCCCTAGAGGCGAGATGAGGCTCCATTCCCCTGCAGAGCATGCAGAGCTATTCCGTGATCCCATTCAAACAAGTCAGGAGCTTCGACTTGCTTAATGGATCTCGAGACAGTCCCCAAGAACACTGTCACCAGTCTAGACGGACCCTGACGTCACCCCAGCAACGCAAAGCAGCTCCATGTGCCCCAAATCAACTCGAGATGAGGCCGATTCCCCTGCATTGACTCCAGAGCCATTCCCCGTTCCCCATTCAACAAGACCGGTGGCTCGACGTCCTTCAGGCAACTCCAGAGATGCCCCGAGAACACTGTCCCAAGTCTAGAGGAACACCAACTTCAGCACAGCAACTCGAGGAATGCTCTGTGTACCCCAAATCGTCTCGAGAAGAGAGCTGATTCCCTGGCTTAGGCTCAAGACGTATGCCAACTTTCCAGAAGCACCTCAGGAGGAGGCTTCTCTCAGCAATAGTTATGTGGGAGGGACCACGAGTTTGCTGCCTCAAGGGGAATATACAGCGAGAAGCCCTATCTTGAAAGGAGGCAGGATTTCCTTGCAGTGGCTAGAATACAGGCTCGTCTTTGATCTCAAAACCTGAAGGGTTGTCTGAGTCCCCTGTGGAGACCTTAGAGAAAGCACTAGGTCCCTGCCTCATTTTGACGGAATGCCTCACATCCAGTTGACACCTCGAGAGGCACACAGAGTTCATTGCTTCAAAAGGTGACGATGCCTGACTCCTCTTGAATACTGATAGGAATCCCAAAATCACTGTGGCTACTGGAAAGGGTCCTTAGGTGCCCTGCCTCACCTCGAGAAGCGTCCCTATTGCCCTGCCAAGCCTCGAAGAGATTCCTGAGTTGTCCCTCGTTTCCAGACAGGTGTCCTGACGTCACTGAGGAAACTCGAGTTTTGAAGGGCCATCCCCGCCGTAAGTCGAGAACATAACCCAGGTCACCGCCGCAACTCGAGAAAAACCATGAGACTTCCCCCTAGAGGCGAGATGAGGCCCCATTCCCCTGCAGAGCATGCAGATCTATTCCGTGATCCCATTCAAACAAGTCAGGAGCTTCGACTTGCTTAATGGATCTCGAGACAGTACCCAAGAACACTGTCACCAGTCTAGACGGACCCTGAGGTCACCCCAGCAATGCAAAGCAGTTCCATGTGCCCCAAGTCAACTCGAGATGAGGCGCGATTCCCTTGCATTGACTCCAGAGCTATTCCCCGTACCACATTCAACACGACCGGTGGCTCGACTTCCTTCAGGCAACTCCAGAGATGCCCCGAGAACACTGTCCCAAGTCTAGAGGAACTCCAACTTCAGCACAGCAACTCGAGGAATGTTCCGTGTACCCCAAATCGTCTCGAGATGAGAGCTGATTCCCTGGCTTAGGCTCAAGACATATGCCAACTTTCCAGAAGCACCACAGGTGGAGGCTTCTCTCAGCAATAGATATGTGGGAGGGACCCCGAGTTTGCTGCCTCAAGCGGAATATACAGCGAGAAGCCCTAACTTGAAAGGAGGCCGGATTTCCTTGCAGTGGCTAGAATACAGGCTCGTCTTTGATCTCAAAACCTGAAGGGTTGTCTGAATCCCCTGAGGAGACCTTAGAGAAAGCCCTAGGTCCCTGCCTCATTTTGACGGAATGCCTCACATCCCGTTGACACCTTGAGAGGCACGCAGAGTTTATTGCTTCAAAAGGTGACGATGCCTGACTCCTCTGGAACACTGATAGGAATCCCAAAATCCCTGTGGCTACTGGAAAGGGTCCTTGGGTGCCCTGCCTCACCTCGAGAAGCTTCCCTTTTGCCCTGCCAAGCCTCGAAGAGATTCCTGAGGTGTCCCTCGTTACTAGACAGGAGTCCTGACGTCACTGAAGAAACTCGTGTTTTGAAAGGCCATCCCCGCCGTAAGTCGAGAACATACCCCAGGTCCCCGCCCCAACTCGAGAAAAACCATGAGACTTCCCCCTAGAGGCGAGATGAGGCTCCATTCCCCTGCAGAGCATGCAGAGCTATTCCGTGATCAGATTCAAACAAGTCAGGAGCTTGGACTTGCTTAATGGATCTCGAGACAGTCCCGAAGAACACTGTCACCAGTCTAGACGGACCCTGAGGTCACCCCAGCAACGCAAAGCAGGTCCATGTGCCCCAAATCAACTCGAGATGAGGCCCGATTCCCCTGCATTGACCCAGAGCCATTCCCCGTTCCCCATTCAACACGACCGGTGGCTCGACTTCCTTCAGGCAACTCCAGAGATGCCCCGAGAACACTGTCCCAAGTCTAGAGGAACACCAACTTCAGCACAGCAACTCGAGGAATGCTCCGTGTACCCCAAAACGTTTCGAGATGACAGCTGATTCCCTGGCTTAGGCTCAAGACGTATGCCAACTTTCCAGAAGCACCTCAGGAGGAGGCTTCTCTCAGCAATAGGTATGTGGGAGGGACCCCGAGTTTGCTGCCTCAAGGGGAATATACAGCGAGAAGCCCTAACTTGAAAGGAGGCCGGATTTCCTTGCAGTGGCTTGAATACAGGCTCGTGTTTCATCTCACAACATGAAGGGATGTCTGAATCCCCTGTGGAGACCTTAGAGAAAGCCCTAGGTCCCTGCCTCATTTTGACGGAATGCCTCACATCCCGCTAACATCTCGAGAGGCACGCAGAGTTCATTGCTTCAAAAGGTGACGATGCCTGACTCCTCTTGAATACTGATAGGAATCCCAAAATCCCTGTGGCTACTGGAAAGGGTCCTTGTGTGCCCTGCCTCACCTCGAGAAGCGGCCCTTTTGCCCTGCCAAGCCTCGAAGAGATTCCTGAGGTGTCCCTCGTTACTAGACAGGAGTCCTGACCTCACTGAAGAAACTCGTGTTTTGAAAGGCCATCCCCGCTGTAAGTCGAGAACATACCCCAGGTCCCCGCCGCAACTCGAGAAAAACCATGAGACTTCCCCCTAGAGGCGAGATGAGGCCCCATTCCCATGCAGTGCATGCAGAGCTATTCTGTGATGCCATTCAAACAAGTCAGGAGCATCGACTTGCTTAATGGATCTCGAGACAGTCCCCAAGAACACTTTCACCAGTCTAGACGGACCCTGAGGTCACCCCAGCAACGCAAAGCAGCTCCATGTGCCCCAAATCAACTCGAGATGAGGCCCGATTCCCCTGCATTGACTCCAGAGCCATTCCCCGTTCCCCATTCAACACGACCGGTGGCTCGACTTCCTTCAGGCAACTCCAGAGATGCCCCGAGAACACTGTCCCAAGTCTAGAGGAACACCAACTTCAGCACAGCAACTCGAGGAATGCTCCGTGTACCCCAAATCGTCTGGAGATAAGAGCTGATTCCCTGGCTTAGGCTCAAGACGTATGCCAACTTTCCAGAAGCACCTCAGGAGGAAGCTTCTCTCAGTGATAGGTATGTGGGAGGGACCCCGAGTTTGCTGCCTCAAGGGGAATATACAGCGAGAAGCCCTAATTTGAAAGGAGGCCGGATTTCCTTGCAGTGGCTTGAATACAGGCTCGTCTCTCATCTCACAACATGAAGGGATGTCTGAATCCCTGTGGAGACCTTAGAGAAAGCCCTAGGTCCCTGCCTCATTTTGACGGACTGCCTCACATCCAGCTGACACCTCGAGAGGACCGCGGAGTTCATTGTTTCAAAAGGTGACGATGCCTGACTCCTCTTGAATACTGATAGGAATCCCAAAATCCCTGTGGCTACTGGAAAGGGTCCTTGGGTGCCCTGCCTCACCTCGAGAAGCGTCCCTTTTGCCCTGACAAGCCTCGAAGAGATTCCTCAGGTGTCCCTCGTTACTAGACAGGAGTCCTGACGTCACTGAAGAAACTCGTGTTTTGAAGGGCCATCCCCGCCGTAAGTCAAGAACATACCCCAGGTCCCCGCCGCAACTCGAGAAAAACCATGAGACTTCCCCCTAGAGGCGAGATGAGGCTCCATTCCCGTGCAGAGCATGCAGAGCTATTCCGAGATCCCATTCAAACAAGTCAGGAGCTTCGACTTGCTTAATGGATCTCGAGACAATCCCGAAGAACACTTTCACCAGTCTAGACGGACCCTGAGGTCACCCCAGCAACGCAAAGCAGCTCCATGTGCCCCAAATCAACTCGAGATGAGGCCCGATTCCCCTGCATTGACTCCAGAGCCATTCCCCGTTCCCCATTCAACACGACCGGTGGGTCGACTTCCTTCAGGCAACTCCAGAGATGCCCCGAAAACACTGTCCCAAGTCTAGAGGAAGACCCACTTCAGCACAGCAACTCGAGGAATGCTCCGTGTACCCCAAATCATCTCGAGATGAGAGCTGATTCCCTGGCTTAGTCCCAAGACGTATGCCAACTTTCCAGAAGCACCTCAGGAGGAGGCTTCTCTCAGGAATAGGTATGTCGGAGGGACCCTGAGTTTGCTGCCTCAAGGGGAATATACAGCGAGAAGCCCTAACTTGAAAGGAGGCCGGATTTCCTTGCAGTGGCTTGAATACAGGCTTGTGTTTCATCTCACAACATGAAGGGATGTCTGAATCCCCTGTGGAGACCTTAGAGAAAGCCCTAGGTCCCTGCCTCATTTTGACGGAATGCCTCACATCCCGCTGACACCTCGAGAGGCCCGCGGAGTTCATTGTTTCAAAAGGTGACGATGCCTGCCTCCTCTTGAATACTGATAGGAATCCCAAAATCCCTGTGGCTACTGGAAAGGGCCCTTGGGTGCCCTGCCTCACCTCGAGAAGCGTCCCTTTTGCCCTGACAAGCCTCGAAGAGATTCCTGAGGTGTCCCTCGTTACTAGACAGGAGTCCTGACGTCACTGAAGAAACTCGTGTTTTGAAGGGCCATCCCCGCCGTAAGTCGAGAACATACCCCAGGTCCCCGCCGCAACTCGAGAAAAACCATGAGACTTCCCCCTAGAGGCGAGATGAGGCTCCATTCCCCTGCAGAGCATGCAGAGCTATTCCGTGATCCCATTCAAACAAGTCAGGAGCTTCGACTTGCTTAATGGATCTCGAGACAGTCCCGAAGAACACTGTCACCAGTCTAGACGGACCCTGAGGTCACCCCAGCAACGCAAAGCAGCTCCATGTGCCCCAAATCAACTCGAGATGAGGCCCGATTCCCCTGCATTGACTCCAGAGCCATTCCCCGTTCCCCATTCAACACGACCGGTGGCTCGACTTCCTTCAGGAAACTCCAGAGATGCCCCGAAAACACTGTCCCAGGTCTAGAGGAAGACCCACTTCAGCACAGCAACTCGAGGAATGCTCCGTGTACCCCAAATCATCTCGAGATGAGAGCTGATTCCCTGGCTTAGTCCCAAGACGTATGCCAACTTTCCAGAAGCACCTCAGGAGGAGGCTTCTCTCAGGAATAGGTATGTGGGAGGGACCCTGAGTTTGCTGCCTCAAGGGGAATATAGAGCGAGAAGCCCTAACTTGAAAGGAGGCCGGATTTCCTTGCAGTGGCTTGAATACAGGCTCGTGTTTCATCTCACAACATGAAGGGATGACTGAATCCCCTGTGGAGACCTTAGAGAAAGCCCTAGGTCCCTGCCTCATTTTGACGGAATGCCTCACATCCTGTTGACACCTCGAGAGGCACACGGAGTTCATTGCTTCAAAAGGTGACGATGCCTGACTCCTCTTGAATACTGATAGGAATCCCAAAATCCCTGTGGCTACTGGAAAGGGTCCTTGGGTGCCCTGCCTCACCTCGAGAAGCGTCCCTTTTGCACTGCCAAGCCTCGAAGAGATTGCTGAGGTGTCCCTCGTTACTAGACAGGAGTCCTGACGTCACTGAAGAAACTCGTGTTTTGAAGGGCCATCCCCGCCGTAAGTCGAGAACATACCTCAGGTCCCCGCCGCAACTCGAGAAAAACCATGAGACTTCCCCCTAGAGGCGAGATGAGTCCCCATTCCCCTGCAGTGCATGCAGAGCTATTCCGTGATCCCAATCAAACAAATCAGGAGCTTCGACTTGCTTAATGGATCTCGAGACAGTCCCCAAGAACACTGTCACCAGTCTAGACGGACCCTGAGGTCACTCCAGCAACGCAAAGCAGCTCCATGTGCCCCAAATCAACTCGAGATGAGGCCGATTCCCCTGCATTGACTCCAGAGCCATTCCCCGTTCCCCATTCAACACGACCGGTGGCTCGACGTCCTTCAGGCAACTCCAGAGATGCCCCGAGAACAGTGTCCCAAGTCTAGAGGAACACCAACTTCAGCACTGCAACTCGAGGAATGCTCTGTGTACCCCAAAACGTCTCGAGATGAGAGCTGATTCCCTGGCTTAGGCTAAAGACGTATGCCAATTTTCCAGAAGCACCTCAGGAGGAGGCTTCTCTCAGCAATAAGTATGTGGGTGGGACCCCGAGTTTGCTGCCTCAAGGGGAATATACAGCGAGAAGCCCTAACTTGAAAGGAGGACGGATTTCCTTGCAGTGGCTTGAATACAGGCTCGTCTTTCATCTCACAACATGAAGGGATGACTGAATCCCCTGTGGAGACCTTTGAGAAAGCCCTAGGTCCCTGCCTCATTTTGACGGAATGCCTCACATCCAGCTGACACCTCGAGAGGCACGCGGAGTTCATTGTTTCAAAAGGTGACGATGCCTGACTCCTCTTGAATACTGATAGGAATCCCAAAATCCCTGTGGCTACTGGAAAGGGTCCTTGGGTGCCCTGCCTCACCTCGAGAAGCGTCCCTTTTGCCCTGCCAAGCCTCGAAGAGATTCCTGAGGTGTCCCTCGTTACTAGACAGGAGTCCTGACGTCACTGAAGAAACTCGTGTTTTGAAGGGCCATCCCCGCCGTAAGTCGAGAACATACCCCAGGTCCCCGCCCCAACTCGAGAAAAACCATGAGATTTCCCCCTAGAGGCGAGATGAGGCCCCATTCCCCTGCAGAGCATGCAGAGCTATTCCGTGATCCCATTCAAACAAGTCAGGAGCTTCGACTTGCTTAATGGATCTCGAGACAGTCCCCAAGAACACTGTCACCAGTCTAGACGGACCCTGAGGTCACCCCAGCAACACAAAGCAGCTCCATGTGCCCCAAATCAACTCAAGATGAGGCCCGATTCCCCTGCATTGACTCCAGAGCCATTCCCCGTTCCCCATTCAACACGACCGGTGGATCGACTTCCTTCAGGCAACTCCAGAGATGCCCCGACAACACTGTGCCAAGTCTAGAGGAACACCAACTTCAGCACAGCAACTCGAGGAATGCTCCGTGTACCCCAAATCATCTCGAGATGAGAGCTGATTCCCTGGCTTAAGCTCAAGTCATATGCCAACTTTCCAGAAGCACCTCAGGAGGAGGCTTCTCTCAGTAATAGGTATGTGGAAGGGACCCCGAGTTTGCTGCCTCAAGGGGAATATACAGCGAGAAGCCCTAACTTGAAAGGAGGCCGGATTATCTTGCAGTGGCTTGAATACAGGCTCGTCTTTCATCTCGCAACATGAAGGGATGACTGAATCCCCTGTGGAGACCTTTGAGAAAGCCCTAGGTCCCTGCCTCATTTTGACGGAATGCCTCACATCCAGCTGACACCTCGAGAGGCACGTGGAGTTCATTGTTTCAAAAGGTGACGATGCCTGACTCCTCTTGAATACTGATAGGAATCCCAAAATCCCTGTGGCTACTGGAAAGGGTCCTTGGGTGCCCTGCCTCACCTCGAGAAGCGTCCCTTTTGCCCTGCCAAGCCTCGAAGAGATTCCTGAGGTGTCCCTCGTTACTAGACAGGAGTCCTGACGTCACTGAAGAAACTCGTGTTTTGAAGGGCCATCCCCGCCGTAAGTCGAGAACATACCCCAGGTCCCCGCCGCAACTCGAGAAAAACCATGAGACTTCCCCCTAGAGGCGAGATGAGGCTCCATTCCACTGCAGAGCATGCAGAGCTATTCCGTGATCCCATTCAAACAAGTCAGGAGCTTCGACTTGCTTAATGGATCTCGAGACAGTCCCCAAGAACACTGTCACCAGTCTAGAAGGACCCTGAGGTCACCCCAGCAACGCAAAGCAGCTCCATGTGCCCCAAATCAACTCGAGATGAGGCCCGATTCCCCTGCATTGACTCCAGAGCCATTCCCCGTTCCCAATTCAACACGACCGGTGGCTCGACTTCCTTCAGGCAACTCCAGAGATGCCCCGAAATCACTGTCCCAGGTCTAGAGGAAGACCCACTTCAGCACAGCAACTCGAGGAATGCTCCGTGTACCCCAAATCATCTCGAGATGAGAGCTGATTCCCTGGCTTAATCCCAAGACGTATGCCAACTTTCCAGAAGCACCTCAGGAGGAGGCTTCTCTCAGCAATATTCATGTGGGAGGGACCCCGAGTTTGCTGCCTCAAGGGGAATATACAGCGAGAAGCCCTAACTTGAAAGGAGCCCGGATTTCCTTGCAGTGGCTTGAATACAGGCTCTTCTTTCATCTCACAACATGAAGGGATGTCTGAATCCCCTGTGGAGACCTTAGAGAAAGCCCTAGGTCCCTGCCTCATTTTGACGGAATGCCTCACATCCCGTTGACACCTCGAGAGGCATGCAGAGTTCATTGCTTCAAAAGGTGACGATGCCTGACTCCTCTTCAATATTGATAGGAATCCCAAAATCACTGTGGCTACTGGAAAGGGTCCTTGGGTGCCCTGCCTCACCTCGAGAAGCGTCCCTTTTGCCCTGCCAAGACTCGAAGAGATTCCTGAGGTGTCCCTCATTACTAGACAGGAGTTCTGACGTCATTGAAGAAACTCGTGTTTTGAAGGGCCATCCCCGCCGTAAGTCGAGAACATACCCCAGGTCCCCGCCGCAACTCGAGAAAAACCATGAGACTTCCCCCTACAGGCGAGATGAGGCTCCATTCCCCTGCAGAGCATGCAGAGCTATTCCGTGATCCCATTCAAACAAGTCAGGAGCTTCGACTTGCTTAATGGATCTCGAGACAATCCCGAAGAACACTGTCACCAGTCTAGACGGACCCTGAGGATACCCCAGCAACGCAAAGCAGCTCCTTTTCCCCCATTTCAACTCGAGATGAGGCCCGATTCCCCTGCATTGACTCCAGAGCCATTCCCCGTTCCCCATTCAACACGATTGGTGGCTCGACTTCCTTCAGGCAACTCCAGAGATGCCCCGAGAACACTGTCCCAAGTCTAGAGGAACACCAACTTCACCACAGCAACTCGAGGAATGCTCCGTGTACCGCAAATCGTCTCGTGATGAGAGCTGATTCCCTGGCTTAGGCTCAAGACGTATGCCAACTTTCCAGAAGCACCTCAGGAGGAGGCTTCTCTCAGCAATAGGTATGTGGGAGGGACCCCGAGTTTGCTGCCTCAAGGGGAATATACAGCGAGAAGCCCTAACTTGAAAGGAGGCCGGATTTCCTTGCAGTGGCTTGAATACAGGTTCGTGTTTCATCTCACAACATGAAGGGATGCCTGAATCCCCTGTGGAGACCTTAGAGAAAGCCCTAGGTCCCTGCCTCATTTTGACGGAATGCCTCACCTCCCGTTGACACCTCGAGAGGCACGCGGAGTTCATTGCTTCAAAAGGTGACGATACCTGACTCCTTTTGAATACTGATAGGCATCCGAAAAACCCTGTGGCTACTGGAAAGGGACCTTGGTAGCCCTGCCTCACAGGTAGAAGCGTCCCTTTTGCCCTGCCAAGCCTCGAAGAGATTCCTGAGGTGTCCCTCGTTACTAGACAGGACTCCTAACGTCACTGAAGAAACTCGTGTTTTGAAGGGCCATCCCAGCCGTAAGTCGAGAACATACCCCATGTCCCCGCCGCAACTCGAGAAAAACCATGAGACTTCCCCCTAGAGGCGAGATGAGGACCCATTCCCCTGCAGTGCATGCAGAGCTATTCCGTGATCCCATGCAAACAAGTCAGGAGCTTCGACTTGCTTAATGGATCTCGAGACAGTCCCCAAGAACACTGTCAGCAGTCTAGACGGACCCTGAGGCCAACCCAGCAACGCAAAGCAGCTCCATGTGCCCCAAATCAACTCGAGATGAGGCCCGATTCCCCTGCATTGACTTCAGAGCCATTCCCCATTCCCCATTCAACACGACCGGTGGCTCGACTTCCTTCAGGGAACTCCAGAGATGCACGGAGAACACTGTCCCAAGTCTAGAGGAACACCCACTTCAGCACAGCAACTCGAGTAATGCTCCGTGTACCCCAAATCATCTCGAGATGAGAGCTGATTCCCTGGCTTAAGCTCAAGTCGTATTCCAACTTTCCAGAAGAATCTCAGGAGGAGGCTTCTCTCAGTAATAGGTATGTGGGAGGGACCCCGAATTTGCTGCCTCAATGGGAATATACAGCGCAAAGCCCTAACTTGAAAGGAGGCCGGATTTCCTTGCAGTGGCTAGAATACAGGCTCGTCTTTGATCTCAAAACCTGAAGGGTTGTCTGAATCCCCTGTGGAGACCTTAGAGAAAGCCCTAGGTCCCTGCCTCATTTTGACGGAATGCCTCACATCCCGTTGACACCTCGAGAGGCACGCAGAGTTCATTGCTTCAAAAGGTGATGATGCGTGACCCCTCTTGAATACTGATAGGAATCCCAAAATCCCTGTGGCTACTGGAAAGGGTCCTTGGGTGCCCTGCCTCACCTCGAGAAGTGTCCCTTTTGCACTGCCAAGCCTCGAAGAGATTCCTGAGGTGTCCCTCGTTACTAGACAGGAGTCCTGACGTCACTGAAGAAACTCGTGTTTTGAAGGGCCATCCCCGCCGTAAGTCGAGAACATAACCCAGGTCACCACCGCAACTCGAGAAAAACCATGAGACTTCCCCCTAGAGGCGAGATGAGGCCCCATTCCCCTGCAGTGCATGCAGAGCTATTCCGTGATCCCAATCAAACAAATCAGGAGCTTCGACTTGCTTAATGGATCTCGAGAACGTCCCCAAGAACACTGTCACCAGTCTAGACGGACCCTGAGCTCACCCCAGCAACGCAAAGCAGCTCCATGTGCCCCAAATCAACTCGAGATGAGGCCGATTCCCCTGCATTGACTCCAGAGCCATTCCCCGTTCCCCATTCAACAAGACCGGTGGCTCGACGTCCTTCAGGCAACTCCAGAGATGCCCCGAGAACACTCTCCCAAGTCTAGAGGAACACCAACTTCAGCACAGCAACTCGAGGAATGCTCTGTGTACCCCAAATCGTCTCGAGATGAGAGCTGATTCCCTGGCTTAGGCTCAAGACGTATGCCAACTTTCCAGAAGCACCTCAGGAGGAGGCTTCTCTCAGCAATAGGTATGTGGGAGGGACCCCGAGTTTGCTGCCTCAAGGGGAATATACAGCGAGAAGCCCTAACTTGAAAATAGGCCGGATTTCCTTGCAGTGGCTTGAATACACGTTCGTCTTTCATCTCACAACATGAAGGGATGACTGAATTCCCGGTGGAGACCTTTGAGAAAGCCCTAGGTCCCTGCCTCATTTTGACGGAATGCCTCACTTCCAGCTGACACCTCGAGAGGCACGCGGAGTTCATTGTTTCAGAAGTTGACGATGCCTGACTCCTCTTGAATACTGATAGGAATGCCAAAATCCCTGTGGCTACTGGAAAGGGTCCTTGGGTGCCCTGCCTCACCTCGAGAAGCGTCCCTTTTGCCCTGCCAAGCCTCGAAGAGATTCCTGAGGTGTCCCTCATTACTAGACAGGAGTCCTGACGTCACTGAAGAAACTCGTGTTTTAAAGGGCCATCCCCGCCGTAAGTCGAGAACATACCCCAGGTCCCCGCCGCAACTCGAGAAAAACCATGAGACTTCCCCCTAGAGGCGAGATGAGGCCCCATTCCACAGCAGGGCATGCAGCGCTATTCCGTGATCCCATTCAAACAAGTCAGGAGCTTCCACTTGCTTAATGGATCTCGAGACAGTCCCCAAGAACACTGTCACCAGTCTAGACGGACCCTGAGGTCACGCCAGCAACGCAAAGCAGCTCCATGTGCCCCAAATCAACTCGAGATGAGGCCCGATTCCCCTGCATTGACACCAGAGCCATTCCCCGTTCCCCATTCAACACGACCGGTGGCTCGACTTCCTTCAGGCAACTCCAGAGATGCCCCGAGAACACTGTCCCAAGTCTAGAGGAACACCGACTTCAGCACAGCAACTCGAGGAATGCTCCGTGTACAACAAATCGTCTCGAGATGAGAGCTGATTCCCTGGCTTAGGCTCAAGACCTATGCCAACATTCCAGAAGCACCTCAGGAGGACGCTTCTCTCAGCAATTGGTACGTGGGAGGGACCCCGAGTTTGCTGCCTCAAGGGGAATATACAGGGAGAAGACCTAACTTGAAAGCAGGCCGGATTTCCTTGCAGTGGCTTGAATACAGGCTCGTCTTTCATCTCACAACATGAAGGGATGAATGAATTCCCTGTGGAGACCTTAGAGAAAGCCCTAGGTTCCTGCCTCATTTTGACGGAATGCCTCACATCCCGCTGACACCTCGAGAGGCATGCGGAGTTCATTGCTTCAAAAGGTGACGATGCCTGATTCCACTTGAATACTGATAGGAATACCAAAATCCCTGTGGCTACTGGAAAGGGTCCTTGGGTGCCCTGCCTCACCTCAAGAAGCGTCCCTTTTGCCCTTCCAAGCCTCGAACAGATTCCTGAGGTGCTCCACGTTACTAGACAGGAGTCCTAATGTCACTGAGGAAACTCGTGTTTTGAAGAGCCATCCCCGCCGTAAGTCGAGAACATACCCCAGGTCCCCGCCGCAACTCGAGAAAAACCATGAGACTTCCCCCTAGAGGCGAGATGAGGCCCCATTCCCCTGCAGTGCATGCAGAGATATTCAGTGATCCCATTCAAACGAGTCAGTAGCTTCGACTTGCTTAATGGATCTCAAGACAGTCCCCAAGAACACTGTCACCAGTCTAGACGGACCCTGAGGTCACCCCAGCAACGCAGAGCAGCTCCATGTGCCCCAAATCAACTCGAGATGAGGCCCGATTCCCCTGCATTGACTCCAGAGCCATTCCCCGTTCCCCATTCACAACGATCTGTAGCTCGACTTCCTTCAGGCAACTCCAGAGATGCCCCAAGAACACTCTCCCAAGTAGAGAGGAACACCAACTTCAGAACAGCAACTCGAGGAATGCTCCGTGTTCCCCAAATCGTCTCGAGATGAGAGCGGATTCCCTGGCTTAGGCTCAAGACGTATGCCACCTTTCCAGAAGCACCTCAGGAGGAGGCTTCTCTCAGCAATAGGTATGTGGGAGGGACCCCGAGTTTGCTGCCTCAAGGGGAATATACAGCGAGAAGCCCTAACTTGAAAGGAGGCCAGATTTCCTTGCAGTGTCTTGAATACAGGCTCGTCTTTCATCTCACAACATGAAGGGATGCCTGAATCCTCTGTGGAGACCTTAGAGAAAGCCCTAGGTCCCTGCCTCATTTTGACGGAATGCCTCACATCCCGCTGACACCTCGAGAGGCACGCGGAGTTCAGTGCTTCAAAATGTGACGATGCCTGTCTCTTCTTGAATACTGATAGGAATCCCAAAATCCCTGTGGCTACTGGAAAGGGTCCTTGGGTGCCCTGCCTCACCTCCAGAAGCGTCCCTTTTGCCCTGCCAAGCCTCGAAGAGATTCCTGAGGTGTCCCTCGTCACTAGACAGGAGTCCTGACGTCACTGAAGAAACTCGTGTTTTGAAGGGCCATCCCCGCCGTAATACGAGAACATAGCCCAGGTCCCCGCCGCAACTCGAGAAAAACCATGAGACTTCCCCCTAGAGGCGAGATGAGTCCCCATTCCACAGCAGTGCGTGCAGAGCTATTCCGTATTCCATTTCAAACAAGTCAGGAGCTTCGACTTGCTTAATGGATCTCGAGACAGTCCCCAAGAACACTGTCACCAGTCTAGACGGACCCTGAGGTCACCCCAGCAACGCAAAGCAGGTCCATGTGCCCCAAATCAACTCGAGATGAGGCCCGATTCCCATGCATTGACTCCAGAGCCATTCCCCGTTCCCCATTCAACACGACCGGTGGCTCGACTTCCTTCAGGCAACTCCAGAGATGCCCCGAGAACACTGTCCCAAGTCTAGAGGAACACCACCTTCAGCACAGCAACTCGAGGAATGCTCCGTGAACCCCAAATCGTCTCGAAATGAGAGCTGATTCCCTGGCTTAGGCTCAAGAGGTATGCCAACTTTCCAGAAGCACTTCAGGAGGAGGCTTCTCTCAGCAATAGGTATGTGGGAAGGACCCCGAATTTGCTGCCTCAAGGGGAATATACAGCGAGAAGCCCTAACTTGAAAGGAGGCCAGATTTCCTTGCAGTGGCTTGAATACAGGCTCGTCTTTCATCTCACAACATGAAGGGTTGTCTGAAACCCCTGTGGAGGCCTGAGAGAAAGCCCTAGGTCCCTGCCTCATTTTGACGGAATGCCTCACATCCCGCATAGAGCTCGAGAGGCACGCGGAGTTCATTGCTTCAAAAGGTGACGATGCCTGACCTCTCTTGAATACTGTTAGGAATCCCAAAATCCCTGTGGCTACTGGAAAGGGTCCTTGGGTGCCCTACATCACTTCGAGGAGCGTCCCTTTTGCCCTGCCAAGCCTCGAAGAGATTCCTGAGGTGTCCCTCGTTACTAGACAGGAGTCCTGACGTCACTGAAGAAACTCGTGTTTTGAAGGGCCATCCCCGCCGTAAGTCGAGAACATACCCCAGGTCCCCGCCGCAACTCGAGAAAAACCATGAGACTTCCCCCTAGAGGCGAGATGAGGCCCCATTCCCCTGCAGTGCATGCAGAGCTATTCCGTGATCCCATTCAAACAAGTCAGGAGCTTCGACTTGCTTAATGGATCTCGAGACAGTCCCCAAGAACACTGTCACCAGTCTAGACGGACCCTGAGGTCAACCCAGCAATGCAAAGCAGCTCCATGTGCCCCAAATCAACTCGAGATGAGGCCCGATTCCCCTGCATTGACTTCAGAGCCATTCCCCGTTCCCCATTCTACAAGACCGGTGACTCGACTTCCTTCAGGCAACTCCAGAGATGCCCCGAGAACACTGTCCCAAGTCTAGAGGAACACCAGCTTCAGCACAGCAACTCGAGGAATGCTCCGTGTACCCCAAATCGTCTCGAGGGGAGAGCTGATTCCCAGGCTTTGGCTCAAGACGTATGCCAACTTTGCAGAAGCACCTCAGGAGGAGGTTTCTCTCAGCAATAGGTATGTGGGAGGGACCCCAAGGTTGCTGCCTCAAGGGGAATATACAGCGAGAAGCCCTAACTTGAATGGAGGCCGGATTTCCTTGCAGTGTCTTGAATACAGGCTCGTCTTTCATCTCACAACATGAAGGGATGCCTGAATCCTCTGTGGAGACCTTAGAGAAAGCCCTAGGTCCCTGCCTCATTTTGACGGAATGCCTCACATCCCGCTGACACCTCGAGAGGCACGCGGAGTTCATTGCTTCAAAATGTGACGATGCCTGTCTCTTCTTGAATACTGATAGGAATCCCAAAATCCCTGTGGCTACTGGAAAGGGTCCTTGGGTGCCCTGCCTCACCTCCAGAAGCGTCCCTTTTGCCCTGCCAAGCCTCGAAGAGATTCCTGAGGTGTCCCTCGTCACTAGACAGGAGTCCTGACGTCACTGAAGAAACTCGTGTTTTGAAGGGCCATCCCCGCCGTAATACGAGAACATAGCCCAGGTCCCCGCCGCAACTCGAGAAAAACCATGAGACTTCCCCCTAGAGGCGAGATGAGTCCCCATTCCACAGCAGTGCGTGCAGAGCTATTCCGTATTCCATTTCAAACAAGTCACGAGCTTCGACTTGCTTAATGGATCTCGAGACAGTCCCCAAGAACACTGTCACCAGTCTAGACGGACCCTGAGGTCACCGAAGCAACGCAAAGCAGGTCCATGTGCCCCAAATCAACTCGAGATGAGGCCCGATTCCCATGCATTGACTCCAGAGCCATTCCCCGTTCCCCATTCAACACGACCGGTGGCTCGACTTCCTTCAGGCAACTCCAGAGATGCCCCGAGAACACTGTCCCAAGTCTAGAGGAACACCACCTTCAGCACAGCAACTCGAGGAATGCTCCGTGAACCCCAAATCGTCTCGAAATGAGAGCTGATTCCCTGGCTTAGGCTCAAGAGGTATGCCAACTTTCCAGAAGCACTTCAGGAGGAGGCTTCTCTCAGCAATAGGTATGTGCGAGGGACCCCGAGTTTGCTGCCTCAAGGGGAATGTACAGCGAGAAGCCCTAACTTGAAAGGAGGCCAGACTTCCTTGCAGTGGCTTGAATACAGGCTCGTCTTTCATCCCACAACATGAAGGGTTGTCTGAAACCCCTGTGGAGACCTTAGAGAAAGCCCTAGGTCCCTGCCTCATTTTGACGGAATGCCTCACATCCCGCTGACACCTCGAGAGGCACGCGGAGTTCATTGCTTCAAAAGGTGACGATGCCTGACTCCTCTTGAATACTGATAGGAATCCCAAAATCCCTGTGGCTAATGGAAAGGGTCCTTGGGTGCCCTGCCTCACCTCGAGAAGCGTCCCTTTTGCCCTGCCAAGCCTCGAAGAGATTCCTGAGGTGTCCCTCGTTACTAGACAGGAGTCCTGACGTCACTGAAGAAACTCGTGTTTTGAAGGTCCATCCCCGCCGTAAGTCGAGAACATACCCCAAGTCCCCGGCGCAACTCGAGAAAAACAATGAGACTTCTCCCTAGAGGCGAGATGAGGCCCCATTCCCCTACAGTGCATGCATAGCTATTCCGTGATCCCATTCAAACAAGTCAGGAGCTTCGACTTGCTTAATGGATCTCGTTACAGTCCCCAAGGACACTGTCACCAGTCTAGACAGACCCTGAGGTCACCCCAGCAACGCAAAGTAGCTCCATGTGCCCCAAATCAACTCGAGATGAGGCCCGATTCCCCTGCATTGACTCCAGAGCCATTCCCCGTTCCCCATTCTACATGACCGGTGACTCGACTTCCTTCAGGCAACTCCAGAGATGCCCCGAGAACACTGTCCCAAGTTAGAGGAACAGCAGCTTCAGCACAGCAACTCGAGGAATGCTCGTGTACCCCAAATCGTCTCGAGGTGAGAGCTGATTCCCAGGCTTAGGCTCAAGACGTATGCCAACTTTGCAGAAGCACCTCAGGAGGAGGTTTCTCTCAGCAATAGGTATGTGGGAGGGACCCCGAGTTTGCTGCCTCAAGGGGAATATACTGGGAGAAGCCCTAACTTGAAAGGAGGCCGGATTTCCTTGCAGTGGCTGGAATACAGGCTCGTCTTTCATCTCACTACATGAAGGGATGTCTGAATCCCCTGTGGAGACCTTAGAGAAAGCCCTAGGTCCCTGCCTCATTTTGACGGAATGCCTCACATCCCGCTGACACCTCGAGAGGCACGCAGAGTTCATTGCTTCAAAAGGTGACGATGCCTGACTCCTCTTGAATACTGATAGGAATCCCAAAATCCATGTGGCTAATGGAAAGGGTCCTTGGGTGCCCTGCCTCACCTCGAGAAGCGTCCCTTTTGCCCTGCCAAGCCTCGAAGAGATTCCTGAGGTGTCCCTCGTTACTAGGCAGGAGTCCTGACGTCACTGAAGGAACTCGTGTTTTGAAGGACCATCCCCGCCGAAAGTCGAGAACATACACCAAGTCCCCTCCGCAACTCGAGAAAAACCATGAGACTTCCCCCTAGAGGCGAGATGAGGCCCCATTCCCCTAAAGTGCATGCAGAGCTATTCCGTGATCCCATTCAAACAAGTCAGGAGCTTCCACTTGCTTAATGGATCTCGAGACAGTCCCCAAGAACACTGTCACCAGTCTAGACGGACCCTGAGGTCACCGAAGCAACGCAAAGCAGCTCCATGTGCCCCAAATCAACTCGAGATGAGGCCCGATTCCCCTGCATTGACTCCAGAGCCATTCCCCGTTCCCCATTCAACACGACCGGTGGCTCGACTTCGTTCAGGCAACCCCAGAGATGCCCCGAGAACACTCTCCCAAGTCTAGAGAAAAACCAACTTCAGCACAGCAAATCGAGGAATGCTCCGTGTACCCCAAATCGTCTCGAAATGAGAGCTGATTCCCGGGCTTAGGCTCAAGAGGTATGCCAACTTTCCAGAAGCACTTCAGGAGGAGGCTTCTCTCAGCAATAGGTATGTGGGAGGGACCCCGAGTTTGCTGCCTCAAGGGGAATATACAGAGAGAAGCCCTAAATTGAAAGGAGGCCAGATTTCCTTGCAGTGGCTTGAATACAGGCTCGTCTTTCATGTCACAACATGAAGGGTTGTCTGAAACCCCTGTGGAGACCTTAGAGAAAGCCCTAGGTCCCTGCCTCATTTTGACGGAATTCCTCACATCCCGCTGACACCTCGAGAGGCACGCGGAGTTCATTGCTTCAAAAGGTGACGATGCCTGACTCCTCTTGAATACTGATAGGAATCCCAAAATCCCTGTGGCTACTGGAAAGGGTCCTTGGGTGCCCTGCCTCACATCGAGAAGCGTCCCTATTGCCCTGCCAAGCCTCGAAGAGATTCCTGAGGTGTCCCTCGTTACTAGACAGGAGTCCTGACGTCACGGAAGAAACTCATGTTTTGAAGGGCCATCCCCGCCGTAAGTCGAGAACATACCCCAGGTCCCCGCCGCAACTCAAGAAAAACAATGAGACTTCCACCTAGAGGCGAGATGAGGCCCCATTCCCCTCCAGTGCATGCAGAGATATTCCGTGATCCCATTCAAACAAGTCAGGAGCTTCGACTTGCTTAATGGATCTCGAGACAGTCCCCAAGAACACTGTCACCAGTCTAGACGGACCCTGAGGTCACCCAAGCAACGTAAAGCAGCTCCATGTGCCCCAAATCAACTCGAGATGAGGCCCGATTACCCTGCATAGAATCCAGAGCCATTCCCCGTTCCCCATTTAACACGACTGGTGGCTCGACTTCCTTCAGGCAACTCCAGAGATGCCCCGAGAACACTGTCCCAAGTCTAGAGGAACACCAACTTCAGCACAACAACTCGAGGAATGCTCCGTGTACCGCAAATCGTCTCGAGATGAGAGCTGATTCCCTGGCTTAGGCTCAAGACGTATGCCAACTTTCCAGAAGCACCTCAGGAGGAGGTTTCTCTCAGCAACAGTTATGTGGGAGGGACCCCGAGTTTGCTGCCTCAAGGGGAATATACAGCGAGAAGCCCTAACTTGAAAGGAGGCCGGATTTCCTTGCAGTGTCTTGAATACAGGCTCGTCTTTCATCTCACAACATTAAGGGATGTCTGAATCCCCTGTGGAGACCTTAGAGAAAGCCCTAGGTCCCTGCCTCATTTTCACGGAATTCCTCACATCCCGCTGACACCTGGAAAGGCACGCGGAGTTCACTGCTTCAAAAGGTGATGATGCCTGACTCCTCTTGAATACTGATAGGAATCGCAAAATCCCTGTGGCTACTGGAAAGGGTCCTTGGGTGCCCTGCCTCACCTCGAGGAGCGTCCCTTTTGCCCTGCCAAGCCTCGAAGAGATTCCTGAGGTGTTCCTCGTTACTAGACAGGAGTCCTGACGTCACTGAGGAAACTCGTGTTTTGAAGGGCCATCCCCGCCGTAAGTCGAGAACTTACCCCAGGTCCCCGCCGCAACTCGAGAAAAACCATGAGACTTCCCACTAGAGGCGAGATGAGGCCCCATTCCCCTGCAGTGCATGCAGAGCTATTCCGTGATCCCATTCAAACAAGTCAGGAGCTTCGACTTGCTTAATGGATCTCGAGAAAGTCCCCAAGAACACTGTCACCAGTCTAGACGGACCCTGAGGTCACCCCAGCAACGCAAAGCAGCTCCATGTGCCCCAAATCACTCGAGATGAGGCCCGATTCCCCTGCATTGACTCCAGAGCCATTCCTCATTCCCCATTCAACACGACCGGTGGCTCAACTCCCTTCAGGCAACTCCAGAGATGCCCCTAGAACACTGTCCCAAGTCTAGAGGAACACCAACTTCAGCACAGCAACTCGAGGAATGTTCCGTGTACACCAAATCGTCTCGAGATGAGAGCTGATTCCCTGGCTTAGGATCAATACGTATGCCAACTTTCCAGAAGCACCTCAAGAGGAGGCTTCTCTCAGCAAAAGGTATGTGGGAGGGACCCCGAGTTTGCTGCCTCAATGGGAATATACAGCGAGAAGCCCTAACTTGAAAGTAGGCCGGATTTCCTTGCAGTGGCTTGAATACAGGCTCGTCTTTGATCTCACAACATGGAGGGATGTCTGAATCCCCTGTGGAGACATTAGAGAAAGCCCTAGGTCCTGCCTCATTTTGACGGAATGCCTCACATCCCGCTGACACCTCGAAAGGCACGCGGAGTACATCGCTTCAAAAGGTGACGATGCCTGACTCCTCTTGAATACTGATAGGAAACCTAAAATCCCTGTGGCTACTGGAAAGGGTCCTTGGGTGCCCTGCCTCACCTCGAGAAGCGTCCCTTTTGCCCTGCCAAGCCTCGAAGAGATTCCTGAGGTGTCCCTCGTTATTAGACAGGAGTCCTGACGTCACTGAAGAAACTCGTGTTTTGAAGGGCCATCCCCGCCGAAAGTCGAGAACATACCCCAGGTCCCCGCCGCAACTCGAGAAAAACCATGAGACTTCCCCCTAGAGGCGAGATGAGGCCCCATTCACCTGCAGTGCATGCTGAGCTATTCGGTGATCCCATCCTAACAAGTCAGGAGCTTCGACTTGCTTAATGGATCTCGAGACAGTCCCCAAGAACACTGTCACCAGTCTAGACGGACCCTGAGATCAACCCAGCAAGGCAAAGCAGCTCCATGTGCCCCAAATCAAATCGAGATGAGGCCCGATTCCCCTGCATTGACTGCAGAGCCATTCCCCGTTCCCCATTCAACACGACCGGTGGCTCGACTTCCTTCAGGCAACTCCAGAGATGCCCCGAGAACACTCTCCCAAGGCTAGAGGAACACCAACTTCAGCAGAGCAACTCAAGTAATGCTCCGTGTACCCCAAATCGTCTCGAGATGAGAGCTGATTGCCTTGCTTCGGCTCAAGACGTATGCCAACTTTCCAGAAGCACCTCAGGAGGAGGTTTCTCTCAGCAATAGGTATGTGGGGGGACCCCGAGTTTGCTGCCTCAAGGGGAATATACAGCGAGAAGCCCTAACTTCAAAGGAGGCCGGATTTCCCTGCAGTGGCTTGAATACAGGCTCGTCTTTCATCTCACAACATGAAGGGATGTCTGAATCCCCTGTGGAGACCTTAGAGAAAGACCTAGCTCCCTGCTTCTTTTTGACGGAATGCCTGACATCCCGCTGACACCTCGAGAGGCATTCGGAGTTCATTGCTTCAAAAGGTGAAGATGCCTGACTCCTCTTGAATACTGATAGGAATCCCAAAATCCCTGTGGCTACTGGAAAGGGTCCTTGGGTGCCCTTCCTCACCTCGAGAAGCATCCCTTTTGCCCTGCCAAGCCTCGAAGAGATAACTGAGGTGTCCCTCGTCACTAGACAGGAGTCCTGACGTCACTGAAGAAACTCGTGTTTTGAATTGCCATCCCCGCCGTAAGTCGAGAACATACCCCAGGTCCCCTCCGCAACTCGAGAAAAACCATGAGACTTCCCCCTAGAGGCGAGATGAGGCCCCATTACCCTGCAGTCCATGCAGAGCTATTCCGTGATCCCATTCAAACAAGTCAGGAGCTTCGACTTGCTTAATGGATCTCGAGACAGTCCCCAAGAACCCTGTCACCAGTCTAGACGGACCCTGAGATCAACCCAGCAAGGCAAAGCAGTTCCATGTGCCCCAAATCAACATGAGATGAGGCCCGATTCCCCTGCATTGACTCCAGAGCCATTCCCCGTTCCCCATTCAACAGTACCGGTGGCTCGACTTCCTTCAGGCAACTCCAGAGATGCCCCGAGAACACTGTCCCAAGTCGAGAGGAACACCAACTTCAGCACAGCAACTCGAGGAATGCTCCGTGTACCCCAAATCGTCTCGAGATGAGAGCTGATTCCCTGGCTTAGGCTCAAGAGGTATGCCAAATTTCCAGAAGCACCTCAGGAGGAGGCTTCTCTCAGCAAAAGGTATGAGGGAGGGACCCCGAGTTTGCTGCCTCAAAGGGAATATACAGCGAGAAGCCCTAACTTGAAAGGAGGCCAGATTTCCTTGCAGTGGCTTGAATACAGGCTCGTCTTTCATCTCACAAAAAGAAGGGTTTTCTGAATCCCCTGTGGAGACCTTAGGGAAAGCCCTAGGTCCCTGCCTCATTTTGACGGAATGCCTCACATCCCGCTGACACCTCGAGAGGTACGCGGAGTTCATTGCTTCAAAAGGTGACGATGCCTGACTCCTCTTGAATACTGATAGGAATCCCAAAATCCCTGTGGCTACTGGAAAGGGTCATTGGGTGCCCTGCCTCACCTCGAGAAGCGTCCCTTTTGCCCTTCCAAGCCTCGAAGAGATTCCTGAGGTGTCCCTCGTTACTAGACAGGAGTCCTGACGTCACTGAAGAAACTCGTGTTTTGAAGGGCCATCCCCGCTGTAAGTCGAGAACATACCCCAGGTCCCCGTGGCAACTCGAGAAAAACCATGAGACTTCCCCCTAGAGGCGAGTTGAGGCCCCATTCCCCTACAGTGCATGCAGAGCTATACCGTGACCCCGTTCAAACAAGTCAGGAGCTTCGACTTGTTTAATGGATCTCGAGAGAGTCCCCAAGAACACTGTCACCAGTCTAGACGGACCCTGAGGTCACCCGAGCAACGCAAAGCAGCTCCTTGCGCCCCAAATCAACTCGAGATGAGGCCCGATTCCCCTGCATTGACTCCAGAGCCATTCCCCGTTCCCCATTCAAGACGACCGGTGGCTAGACTTCTTTCAGGCCACTCCAGAGATGCCCCGAGAACACTGTCCCAAGTCTAGAGGAACACCAACTTCAGCACAGCAACTCGAGGAATGCTCCGTGTACCCCAAATCGTCTCGAGATGAGAGCTGATTCCCTTGCTTAGGCTCAAGACGTATGCAAACTTTCCAGAAGCAACTCAGGAGGAGGTTTCTCTCAGCAACAGTTATGTGGGAGGGACACCGAGTTTGCTGCCTCAATGGGAATATACAGCCAGAAGCCCTAACTTGAAAGGAGGCCAGTTTTCCTTGCAGTGGCTTGAATACCGGCTCGTCTTTGATCCCACAATATGGAGGGATGTCTGAATCCCCTGTGGAGACCTTAGATAAAGCCCTAGGTCCCTGTCTCATTTTGACGGAATGCCTCACATCCCCCTGACAACTCGAGAGGCACGCGGAGTACATCGCTTCAAAAGGTGACGATGCCTGACTCCTCTTGAATACTGATAGGAATCCCAAAATCCCTGTGGCTACTGGAAAGTGTCCTTGGATGCCCTGCCTCACCTCGAGAAGCGTCCCTTTTGCCCTGCCAAGCCTCGAAGAGATTCCTGAGGTGTCCCTCGTTACTAGATAGGAGTCCTGACGTCACTGAAGAAACTCGTGTTTTGAAGGGCCATCCCCGCCGTAAGTCGAGAACATACCCCAGGTCCCTGCCGCAACTCGAGAAAAACCATGAGACTTCCCCCTAGAGGCGAGGTGAGGCCCCATTCCCATACAGTGCATGCAGAGCTATTCCGTGATCCCATTCAAACAAGTCAGGAGCTTCGACTTGCTTAATGTATCTCGAGACAGACGCCAAGACACTTTCACCAGTCTAGACGGACCCTGAGGTCACCCAAGCAACGCAAAGCAGCTCCATGTGCCCCAAATCAACTCGAGATGAGGCCCGATTCCCCTGCATTGACTCCAGAGCCATTCCCCGTTCCCCATTCAACACGACCGGTGGCTCGACTTCCTTCAGGCAACTCCAGAGATGCCCCGAGAACACTGTCCCATGTCTAGAGGAACACCAACTTCAGCACAGCAACTCGGGGAATGCTCCGTGTACACCAAATCGTCTCGAGATGAGAGCTGATTCCCAGGCTTAGGATCAATACGTATGCCAACTTTCCAGAAGCACCTCAAGAGGAGGCTTCTCTCAGCAAAAGGTATGTGGGAGGGACCCCGAGTTTGCTGCCTCAAGTGGAATATACAGCGAGAAGCCCTAACTTGAAAGGAGGCCGGATTTCCTTGCAGTGGCTTGAATACAGGCTCGTCTTTGATCTCACAACATGGAGGGATGTCTGAATCCCCTGTGGAGACCTTAGAGAAAGCCCTAGGTCCCTGCCTCATTTTGACGGAATGCCTCACATCCCGCTGACACCTCGAGAGGCAAGCAGAATTTACTGCTTCAAAAGGTGAGGATGCCTGACTCCTCTTGAATACTGATAGGAATCCCAAAATCCCTGTGGCTACTGGAAAGGGTCCTTGGGTGCCCTGCCTCACCTCGACAAGTGTCCCATTTGCCCTGCCAAGACTCGAAGAGATTCCTGAGGTGTCCCTCGTTACTTGACAGGAGTCCTGACGTCACAGAAGAAACTCGTGTTTTGAAGGGTCATCCCTGCCATAAGTCGAGAACATACCCCAGGTCCTCGCCGCAACTCGAGAAAAACCATGAGACTTCCCCCTAGAAGCGAGATGAGGCCCCAATCCCCTGCAGTGTATGCAGAGCTATTCCGTGATCCCATTCAAACAAGTCAGGAGCTTCGACTTGCTTAATGGATCTCGAGACAGTCCCCAAGAACACTGTCACCAGTCTAGACGGACCCTGAGGTGACCCCAGCAAAGCAAAGCAGCTCCATGTGCCCCAAATCAACTCGAGATGAGGCCCGATTCCCCTCCATTGATTCCAGAGCCATTCCCCGTTCCCCATTCAACACGACCGGTGTCTCAACTTCCTTCAGGCAACTCCAGAGATGCCCCGAGAACACTGTCCCAAGTCTAGAGGAACACCAACTTCAGCACAGCAACTCGAGGAATGCTCCGTGTACCCCAAATCATCTCGAGATGAGAGCTGATTCCCTTGCTTAGGCTCAAGACGTATGCAAACTATCCAGAAGCAACTCAGGAGGAGGTTTCTCTCAGCAACAGTTATGTGGGAGGGACCCCGAGTTTGCTGCCTCAATGGGAATATACAGCCAGAAGCCCTAACTTGAAAGGAGGCCAGATTTCCTTGCAGTGGCT